ACTATTATAATTTGTAACATAAAAATATTAGAATCAACTATACTTAATAGATTGCAAATCTAAGAATAAACTCATATGATCAGGTTAAAGAGGAGAAAAGAAAATAAAGAACAGAGAACTTGTAAATTTCCATAATTATTTGCAGAAAAGTTTGTTTTTTTATATTTGGGCCATTCTGGAGTCTGCCAACCGCCACATGCTCTAATAAAATTGCAGAAATTGTGATTTGCAAACATATTACTTAATTACATTTCTGCTTCGCTCTAAGATCAGGAAAAGAAAACATTATACTTGTAAATATAAACCAAAATGAATGCTAGTCATAAAAATACCATATGCATCCAAACGTTTTTATTAAAATGATTGTGCTCCAAAAAAGCGATCAAAATTGTCAGACGACAGAGAATAAAAACTTGAATCAAAAACATTAAAAAGTAACATCTAGCTTCGAAAACTTAAACATCTGACTTTTTTCTGATGTAAAATCTTTTTTTCTGAAATGTTAACAGTCATTAATGACGCACAAATCTGAAAAATCGTTATTTTTGGTGTCGATAATTTTATTGACTACAATTGCTTGCGAATTATTGTACAATCCATTGTGGAATTACTGTGCAATTCCTTTGACCAAATAGATAAAATCTCTTGCATGTATATTGCATTTTTTGTTTGTTTCCTGTTTGTACTTTATAATTGATCCAGATGAAGAACAATAAACATAAATTCAGTCGATTTTTGGCGAGTAAGCTTCTATCAATAGATATAAGAAGATGTGGTATGAGTGCCAATGAGACAACTCTCCATCCAAGTCAAAATTTATAAAAGTAAACCATTATAGGTCAAAGTACGGTCTTCAACAAGTATACCTTACTAGATGTAACTATAAAGACAAACTCAGAATACCCATAGCACAGGGAGTAATTTAAGTCAAAACAAAAATAGTACAACACAAATGTAAATACAAAATAATAAATAATAAATAGATATATAACATGGCCATCAAATCCCATAGAATCATACTCAAATGATATGAATACAAACGCGTTGGTGCAACTTTCTGATAGGAAAGGTACTAAATATTTTACACTTTGCAAGGTAAGTTCTCTTTTTACATTATTAATAACCTTTTTTTACAATTATATAAGAATGTGATTCGATCCTTTACAAAGTTATCTTTCACATTTTATCATCACTTGGTTGAATGTTGCTTAATTTGTTTCCCCGCAAGAACATTTGTTCAGGTAAATTATCAAAAAAATCTGTACGGATATCTCTATCTAATCGCTGCATAATTAAGAGTTTTGGGATTAAGAGGTACCATTTATGATCACACGACAAATTATTAATAAAATATGTCATTGATAATTTCACTTTTGTGCTATATTTTAATAAACAGATATATTAGTCACAGTTGCTCAATTCCAAAATGTACCCTGCTTTCGTGTTGTATCTATAATGATTTTTCCAAAATGCATTTTTACAAATACAGTCTGTTTTTATTTGTTGAGATGAAAAATAACGAGGTCTAAGGCTCCGTGAAAATACCATTTAACATTTGAATTGCTGTACACTAATAAGATATGATAGCTAGGCCTTCCATTAAAACTTTGTGTCTTGTATCTTTATGTTGCATATCTAGAGAATTTATATTAGAGAGGTGAAAGATACCAAAGGGACATTCATACTCATAGGTCGAAAATAAACTGAGAACGCCACGGCCTAAAAAGAAAAAGACAAACAGACAAACAATTGTACACAAAACACAACATAGAAAACTGAAGACTGAGCAACACGAACCCTACCAAAAACTGGGGTGATCTCAGGTGCTCCAGAAGGGAAGCAAATCCTGCTCCACATGCGACACCCGTCGCATTACTCCTATAAAATACGTTGATAAGCTATATCAAGTGGTTAGACACCACGCAATAGCAGATTGGTAGTTGACTCTTATCTAACCCTAAGGCTTTACCAAATTCTAGACCATCGGTCATGTAAAATTTTCTAACCCTGAAAATTGACCGAATGTGAAATTTTGATATTGAAACTTGTTTTTCATGACAAAGGATAGACGACACTGTTACCGGTATAAACAACACAAACATTGAAAAATTAAGAAGCACAAAGAACAACACTTATAATTTAAACAAGAGAAACACGAACCCCTTTAAAACAAAACTAGGGTAATCTCAGACCCTACTCCGCATGTGGCACCCGCCGTGTTGCTCATGTAAGTACAATGGTGACGGGATTGTAGTTACTACAATTGAAACATATTCGTCGTCATCTGTGAAACACATATTCCATAACGATCAACAAACCCGTGACGGCGTCCGTAAAATTTAATTTCACCACTTGAAACTCTTGATTTAATAGCTTCCTTGTGAGCAGCAATCCTCTATCAAGGAAATGATGATAGTAAATATAAGCCCTGGAATATCGTATCACATGGGAGATGTATACTCCGTATGCAGGCGCTGCCGGAATGTTGCTACATAGAAATGGAAAATTCACAATTTGGAAGCTAAAATCATCTCTTTCGTCGTAAAGTTTTGTTTTCAACCGACCCTCATTGTCAATTTCTAGATGTAAGTCAAAATATGAGGCAGGCTTAACTGTATCTGTTGTACCCTTTATCTAAAGTTCGATGGGATAGATGCGTTCAACATAATAAAATATTTTTTTTAATTATTTAATGAGAGAACATCATCTTTATAGCGGAAATTGAAGTTAAAGGATATTGCTAACTTTTGTTCTTTCTTCTTAAGAAGTTCCTGTATGAAGTCAGCCTCATATGAATAAAAGAACAAGTCTGCAAGAAGAAGAGCTCTGTTGGTTCCAATGGGAATGCCGTTTGTTTGTTGAAAAACACATCCTCCAATCGTTACAAATATGTTGTCAATCAAGAAATCAAGCATCTTGATAATGGCAGTTTCAGAGAATTTTTTGTTTGAATCAGAGTGACTTTTTACAAAGTACGATTTATCCCTCCCTAAGACAAGATACTTGTATCTACATTAGCCTTTTTTTTTTATGAAACAAAGCATATATATATTATCATGGTAAATAAGAAGTTATTGAACTAAATAAACTCATCATAGATAAAATGATTAAAATTTACGCCAGACGCGTGTTTGGTCAACAAAAAACTCACCAGTGACGCTCGAATCAAAAAAGTTAAAAAGGCCAAATAAAGTAGAAGAACATTGATGACCCAAAATTCCGAAATGTTTTGACAAATACAGCTAAGGTAATCTATTCCGGGGGTAGAAAAACCTTAGTACTTCGAAAAATATTTTGGAAACAGTTAATTTATAACTATGACCATATCAACGATAATTCATGTCAACACACAAGTTCTGACTACTTGGCTGGTAATACTAAAGGAGATACTCATCATTCCAGGGCACTCGCTCTAACAACTTGCATTGAGAGGGAGTTTCTGAAAGCTTTTTTTTTTAAATCGTCTATATATCCTCATTTGTGTTGTATCGTATTTGTCTTGTATACACATGTCGATTTTGATTACTACCTGATATCGAAATTTTACGTTTATCTTAAAATGTGTACTTAACTGACGTTTACTCGCCTAAATTGACTAAATGTTCGATATTCATAATAATATAACATCTAAATTTCAATACGACAGTTAAAATTTAAGAAGGAAAAAAACTTTCTTATATCAGAAACAGTTAAGGCCACATTTAAAAGAATGTCTGTTTCCCCTCCCCCAGGTCTACCCTTTGTAAACAGACCAGGAAGGCTGGTTATTTTTTTTATTTTTTTTTATAACTGTATGTCATAGCCTGGACCCGTGAATGGTTTGACTTGTCCAGTACAGGCCACTCATCAGTTGATTGTGCTCAATTTGAGTTTATTTATTTAGATTATCAATCCTTTTGTTTTCAAGCAAACTTTACAAAATTGGAAACGAATTATTTTCAGGAATAAAAATAATTTTGATTTTTTTGTGGAAAATAATTTTTTGACCAGTGGGCTTATTTTTGACCCGGGTGGGGGGAGGGGAAACACACATATTTTTTATTTTGGCCTAAGATGTTAAAAACTGTCCATGCAATCAACAAGTTGCTTCTTTGGAAACTAGAAGGAAAACGTTTTGATGTATAAGGATTTATTATTATTCTATTTCTACTTTAAGATCTGGTAACGAAAACATATTAATGGTTTATATATATCCATTAATATGTTTTCGTTAATAGATCTTAAAGTAGAAATAGAATATAGTAATGTGTTAGCAAATCAAAACTAACATTCTACAACGTGTTATTGAAACAGTGACAGAGCCCCGCTTGACAGACTCTCGAATGACCGAAACACGAGTCAAACGTACAGTTCTTTCCCCTCACTGTGACAAGGAAAACAACCCAGCTCATATCCGTATCATCATATTTTGACCTTATAGCAACTGCGAGTGATAATGATAAATAAGTTGAGGCTATGCATTTCACAAGAACGAAATAGACACTACGCAAAGATTACGCGTCTCATATCCGAAATTATATATATCTGCCCAAACTATATAATTTTTTTTTTCTTCAACTTAGAAACTATTTTGATTTTTCTAGAAGCATTTTAAAACAGTTCGTATGAAAGGTATATTAAAAAAAATTAAATACACGATGTTTTTTTTCAATTAAGAGGTATTTGACCTGCCAAAAAGTAAAGATAGGTGAAAACTTGGGTTCTTAATTTAAATGCTGTTATCTAATTTTCTTGTTGAGTAACATTCAAATTGACGATAACTTATATTATCCTACCGGCTTTACTATCAATCATCATGATTAAGAGTAAATATATATATGCTAAAAATTTCACATTTGTTTACATATACCCGGGAAGAAAATAACTATTGGGAATTCAGGTTTTCCTTATGACGTCAATATGATATATCACACCCAGCATATACCAAGTACAAGATTAATGGTTTATTATACGTTCTGTTTTATATTTCATATTTTACTTTATGTGCGCTGCCACCTGTACTTAAATTGTTCATAAAATAACAGTTTTCGAACATTATAGCACTACCTCATAGTCTTTACTTAAAACCTTCACTGTGCGTACCTCGCTATAATGACTTTCAGTTTTAAAATAACGCGACGCTGTATTTAATCCCGTTCTAATGGAACAAATACAGCTTCTTTCGTGGTAAATGTTCAACATGAATTCAGAAGATGAGGAAATAATGAAAAATCTTCATCAAGAATTCATGGATTCATTGGATGCCAAATTTCTTGTTGATTTCTTGTATAACCACAAAGTATTGGAAGTAGAGGATTGTGAAAGAATTAAAAGTATGGAACCGGTAAGTGAGAGAACCAGGAAACTGTTATTTCTTCTTCCGATGATTGTTCCGTCTTTAGAATTGTTTTACAACGCGCTTAATGAATGTGGATACGATTTTTTGGCAGCTAGGATAAAAGACAGAAAGTCGTGTATAGCTAGACAGCATAAGTGCAAACGTTTTGGAACACGAAGATTTCAACTTGTGAATTATCGTCATAAATTAAAAAGGTTAATTCATACTGGAAAACATTACCAGCTAAGAGAGAAAATCAACAAAATACAAAGAAGATGGGAAAAGGCAGTAGAAGCAAATTTTAAAGGTATGACAGAAAACACTATACGCGGTCTTGCAGATCGATATTTTTATGCTTTAGATACCGATTGCGAATTTAGACGAGTTATATTGGATAAAACATTAATAGAGTGTGACTTATTCCAGAGAATTCGTGACTTGTCTAACTATACGTCGGAAGTTAATGTACCCAACATGCTTTGCAGTGCCCGATATGGCTCGGCTGTCTTTATGGCCAACGAAAAAGATTTTGAAAAGGCACATGGCTATATCAAGGAGGCTAAACAGCGATTTGACTATATTAAATCTTGCCGAGAGACAGGAATAGTTTTGTATATCGAATATAACATGTTCAATATCATGTATTCTGAAACAATGAACTATTCCCAAAAGGAACACTTATTACTTTTAGGTCACGAAGCTATCAAACATTTTAAAAAAGAGAGAAAAACAAACCCAGAGGTGGCTGAAGATTTTTTTAGAATGTTTAACTTGAAACTTGCACACCTTTACCTAGGCATTGGACTATTTGGGAATTATTTGAAGTCGAATGTACCGAATAAAGACATTGAAGAAGGAAAACGTCTGCTTAAAACAATAAAAGACAACAACAAAATGTGGGGAAGAATGGAGGTTCGTTGGAAATGGTTTTATTATACCGCTTCGGCAAGAATTAAATATCTGGAACATTGTCCATTTGAAGCGTTAGAAAATACAAGACTCGCCTTAAGTGTTGCTGAAAATGGAAAAGGAAATAGTTTAAAGGAAATAAAAAGTTCAAAAGACACTATGAAGTGCTTAGAAAAATTAATAACAGATCAAATTTCTTGACCATAAAGGTGTTAATTGGAAATATAATTCAGCCGTTGCTATTTTAAAATCTAGACAAAATCATCGTTTACACAATTGAATAGTTTGTAGTAGATTGTATTTGTATGCACACAGGTAGTATTGTTTTATAAATGTTTAGCAAGTTTAAGCATAAACTGAATCATTACAGGACAGGAACAAAAAGACAGGCGAAATATACCAAAGGGACATTCAAACTTCAAAGTCCAAAACACACTGACCGCTATGGCAAAAAAAAAACGAAAAAGACAAACAACAGTATACAAAACACAACATAGAAAACTAAAGACTGACCAACAAGAACCCAACCAAAAACCGGGGTTGATCTCACGCGCTCCCGAAGGATAAGCTGATTCTGCTCCACATGCAACAAAACTGCAGACACAGCGAGTCATCAGCGGAATACTAATCACATAACGGAATACTTCACCTCTAAAACGACAGAATATAACCAATCACCCTTATCAGCGCATGTTTTCCTCGATAAGCTCACATATTAATTTTGTTAATTTTTTAACGATGGTAATGCAAAATGATTTTATATAGGTGGTGGAATTAAAGTACATCTAGAATGCTGATTTTTGAAATTTGTATGAGCTCAAAGTTGACCATCGTTATGACTATCTACCCTCTCAGCTTTATTTTATACTATTGAACAGTTACTTGATAATTCATCATGTACATGTATAAGTTAATTGTATATACTTATGGTGCTAGGGACCGTCTAAAACTCAGTAAGTTGTTTATTTTTTCTCTATGTTGAAGCCCTCGCTGTTATTTTGAGACGAAGAACGGCAATAAAACTTTCCTTTGCTTTTGGTTTGTTTATGTTTGTGAAGTGATTTTGTGACATGAATGTATATACAATATCCTGTATTGTCCATTAAAGTTAGGTTGCCCTCTCTCAGTCAAAGTTAATCTTCTGTTGTTCTTCTTATGTTTTTTTTCTCTGTTTTTATGAACATTACTGAACACTGATGTTGTTTAAACCACTTCTCCTAGAATCCTTATTCTTTTTTACTATCCATCCTTTTTTTAATATTGAAATTTCTGTCACGAATATCTTATTTCGCCATTATGCTATTCATTTTGGCATTGTTTCAATAACAGATCCTTTTCGAATTTGTGTCTAAAAAAATTTACTCTAACTTTAATTCGAGCTCTAGCTCCAACTATCATCCAAACTCAAAGTGTATCTCGAAATGCAATTCGAACTCTAACTGGATGTTCAATCGAAATCCGGCTAGGTTTCTAAGTCAAACTCAAAGCCGCATAATTCGATCTATTACTCGACCCCGATCTATAACACTAACCTAAACTCGAACTCAATGTTTCTCTCCATACTTTTAAAGTAGAGTTTTAAAAAAAATAGTTCTCTTGTTTAGTTTTCGAAGATAAAAGTTTTAAATATTGACCAATCAGAATCAATAATTCCTCCTTGCGGTCAAGTTTTTCGTCCGATCAGAAACAAATGGAAAACAATAGTTTGTAGAGGCACTTCTATATGTATATATCATTCCTGTCATTTCACCATGTAGTTTCAGAGCAATCTTATTGAAATAAAAATATTGTATCCAAGAATCGCTTACAAGGCCTTGGTAGCGTACTGTGTACATTGGGTCTGTATTTCAATCAAATTGATTTTAGAGTATGTGAAAATATTTTTTTGTCAAACGGTAACAAATATGAATCATTTGTCGAGTATACCTACTATAGTTTTATACCGTAGTCGTTCTTGTTGCCAAGTTTGATGACAATTGACCATGTAGTTCCAGAGAAAATTTGATTTGACATAGGGTTTTGCTGCGAACTATATGCTATAAGTTTCAAATGTTTGCCACCCGATCAATATTTCAATCATTTGAATTCGGAAAGGGTCCAATAATCAATCATGTATAGAGAAAAAAAAAGGTCTTTGTAGTTATTTGAAAATTGACCAATTAGAATTTAAAAAGATATACCTCTAACAGTCATTATTATGTCCGATCAAGACAACTGTACTGGTAAATGAGGATCGTGCATACATCAGTCATCAAGTGTTGTTATAATTTCAGAGATTTGCTGAAGCTGTACTTTCCCAGAGGATTCTAATGTGAACAACTAGTATGTCAAACCAATGTCACCATATTTGCTACCCGATCATCATAAAACGAGGTCATTTGCGGAAAAGGGGGGGGGGGGGGCGGGGTCCCTATCATCCAGCCTGTAAAGATCCAAATCATTTTCCTCGTTGTTTCAGAGAAATTATTTCCAAATTGTGTAATGAAAATATAACAATTGCCTCTGATGGCCACGCTTTTCGTCCGTAAAAAAATCCATATCGTTTACAGAAGACTGTTTAAATATTGTTCCTTCCAAATTGAAAAAGTGATGAACATGTTATTTTACATATGATTTGACCGGGAACTATGTGCCACCAATGTGCCACCAATGTCAACATGTTTGCCACCGATCAACATTAAATTAGAACTGTTCTCAGAGGGCCTCCAAATCAACAATTCTAACATAATAACAAAAATTAATGGACAGTAATTAAGAACATACCAAACCGCCTCGTCCGAAAAAAAAAACCAGACGTACAAACAAAAACAAACATTAACAAACAATATATAGTCCAGAAAATATTTTTGAAAATTGGATGATCAGAATAGAATATGCCTTTGGCGGCCATGCTTATTGTCCGATCGGAACCAAAGCAGTTTAATTGGTTCATAGAATATCGTCCATATATCATTTTTGCAATGTGTCGTTAAAATTTGTCAATTAGTTTTAGAGAAGGTTTCAATGAGAACTATGTATCACCATGTTTGCCATCCGATCAAAATTCAATGAAGAAAGTTTGTAAAGGGTATTCCCATTATCCTAAAAAAAAATGTATCAGTTTCCCTTGTAGTTCCAAAGAGGAGTTGTAAATTGTATCAATCGCAAACAAAAATTGTATATGGACAGTTTTGCGTCCATTCGGACCAAACGAAAATCGTTTGTAGATAGCCATCCAATTAAGATTCCTATCATGTCTAGTTTATTTCAAATTAGCTTTTTAGTTTTAGAGAAATAATTAATGGAAATGTGATTTCCTCAAGACTTTCAAAATCGTCAATCTTTTAAAGATTCAACGCATTTTCCTTTGTAGTTTTAGATAAGATTTATGAAAATTGGCTTATTGGAATGTTTTTTTTAAATTTGCCTGTAGTTTCAGATAAGAATATACAAATATGAAAACTTTTTTTAATTACGAACGATTAACGCCAAGTGTTGCAATCAGCTCAAACTGCTGTTCCAGCCAGGTGAACAAAAAGAATAAGAAAATTATATGAAAGCGAAAACACGATAGTCAAAAGAAAAGAATAACAAACAAACAAAAACACTACCTGGGCACATAAAGCTAAAAGAGTGGGCGAAGCAAATCCAACCAAAACCGGGTGGTGAACGTGAACGAGGGTGTTCTAGATCTAGAAGGGATAGATCGGCCACTACTGTCAAACCTTGTCGTTAAATGAGTTAACGAAGTAGTTATTTGTTCATTATGAAAAAAAAAAAGACAAATAACAGATCCATTGAAGTTCGGTATAAAACATTTTGACATCAAATAAATTGTGCAATAATAAGGGTCTACGTTTCTACTTTCACTAGGACAATGTCAAGAAATCGGAAAAAAGTTTTTTTTCTATTAAATAAGAAACATTTATTTGGAAAGTTTATTATTTCATGCTTATTTGCCTAGATATTAATGGCATCTTGTCGAAACCTATGATTTACTCGAGAACCTTACTGACATAGTGTATACAGAGAGAAAAGACAAATTAATGAGATAGCAACCCAACGACGCAATGTATTAACGCACACCCAGTAGTCAGAACATTAGAGCTGTGCTGTAAGGTTTAAATGATACAGTTTGACCGTAAAAATCCAGGCTATAAATTATGCCACTGCTAATAAACTAAGGTTGTATCTCCTCATGCAAAGTTGGTCTAAGACAGTTTCGGCTTTCTATCTTAGTCTGTTTTTTGCGCTTACTGTGTGACGTTTTATACGTTCAGCTTTCAAAACTTTTGATCTCGTGCGTATAGGATAAGGCTTTAGCCAGAAACACGTGTTGTGCGCACGGATATCACAACTTTCTTATATGATTTGCATATATACAAATGCTTGAATGTGATTTGTCCATATAATTTCCTTCCTTCGTTTACACATCCATACACCATGTTTCACTACTTTCGCCTATGTAAACTTTGTCGATTTGCATCGGCCCAATTTACAAAATAATAAGCTTTAAAAAAGTGATTAATTCTATAATGCATATTTTATCTACAGGATAAGATTAACTTAGGAAACAGACACTAATACTGAATACCACTAAATAATGATAGGTTTTGGAACACATAAAATGGACCTTTTATGCCTAAATGACTTTTAAGAATTTACCATAGATATTAAGTAGAATAAAATGTAACTATTTCATGTAATGCCATTTTTTATTTAAAGATTAAAACATATAACAGCCAAATTTCATTCGAGTCCATGTCTTCAAATGCCTACAAAATAAAATGCACGCAATGAAAACAATTTTTAGCATTCGAGCAAGGACACACTTCAAAATGCCCATTTGATATTTCTATTAACTTACAACTCTAAGTCTTAACATTGAAGTTCTTTAAGAGGAAATGAGATTTCTGAAAGTTCGATTGAAAAATAGCGTTGCAAACGATATTTCATAATTTTGTTTATAAAGTACTAACAAAATATGAGAATGTGCTTTAAAATTATATCACACATAAATTACCTTCTGAGATCAGCAACTGTTCAACAGCTGATTTTGCTGTATCTAATGAAGATCTATTGTTTTCCATAGCAGATCTAAATTTTTCCAATGCATTTCCTGAAAAATGAGGATAAACAAGAATCAGATTCAATTACCTTTCTAAAGCTAACACAAAAAATATTAAATAAAAAAGTAACAGACCATAAGGTTGAGAATTAGATGACTATCATGTCTTGTATCGAAAATGAATATTTTTTCTGGAAACCTTTTAACGATTTGGGCTGATAAAATAAAAATAAATATACCTATATAATCTCTTAAATTATCAAGTTCGCTTGCTATCTGTGGTGCTTCAATGCTGGCTACTAAAACACTTTCTGGTGTATTATTGTGTGGTTTGGACTGTTCCAACCAATCTCCTTTGAACGATGTGAACTGGGACTGAATCTTTTCCAGTTCAGTAGTGTGGTTTTCAATTTCCGTGACCAATTTATTTATATTCCTGTTAAGTTTCCTCAATGGCATCTCAATACATGAATTCTTGCTTCGGCAGTCTGAAAACAGAGTATCTTAATAAAACATTTAATCGTCTGACTATATTAACTAATCTTATGATTGTAAAACGAGGGAGAGAGAAACAAAGTTTTGGATGAAATATACTATATGAATATACTGTACTGTAATTGTCAAAAAGACAACAACATAACATCTCAATGAGAACAGGAATGTCTATGTAAAAAATACGGTCTTCTACGATAGAGTCATTATCACATTATTATCATACTGAGTCTAGACAATGTATGATGTAATCATAGATCTGTTAGTAATAAGAAATAATTGGCATAATACATTCATATATTTAAAAAACAAAGATAGCTTAAAGATAAAATACATACCCTCGAGAAAGGGGGACAATCTGCTCACAAGTAAATCGTGGTGTACTGACGTTCTCCTCAGCAGTTCAATTTCTGCAAAAATATATAGTTGTTATCAAAATGACTTAGATAGGCATTAAAGAACAGAATTGCTATTTCAGTGTCTCGTCATAATTAAGCTGGTAAGCAAAGAACTTTTATGGAATAGACTGAGTTAATTAGATAAGAAAATTTAAGACAACTGAGAGCTATACTTCTTTTGTAAATCTGCAAACAAAAGCCCGCAGATTGTGTATTATGGGAGTGGAAATACTGACATTGACCAATTCATAGGGGCGTATCAGCCCTAAAATCGACAAAAAATATTTACGGCATGTAACCAGCCAAAAATTTGTTAGGATCACTTGATTGAAAATGCTAACTCTTATTCAATTATAAGATTTATAATTAACTCAATGTATAAACCTACGTTTCTTCAATCTTCTATTGAATCTGTATCGTTCTAATACAATAGAAGAAACAACAAAACATAAAAACACCAGGATCACATCTAACCAGTTAACGCCAATCTGAAAAGAAATTATTATTTTATTCTTTTGGAATTTGTCAAAAATGCAATGGTTTACTTTTATAAATTGTAACTTGGATGGAGAGTTGTCTCATTGGCACTCATACCACATCTTCCTATATCTATATATATGTGTGTGTTTGTGTCTATAAGTTTTTGAAAATTTAGAAACACCGTTAGGTGTAACAGAATTTCAAATTTTAAAAAATCACGTTTCCAGAATAACCGGACAACCATGTAAACAAGGTTTCACTTATAAGATCAAATGAAACATAAGCTGACTTCCTCACTTTTTTCGTTGAAACTTATTTTATTTTTGGCTTACGCAATGCATAGCAAGTTATTAATCCAATTGTATTCTAAACACAACTTGTTTTTACAACAACAAAAATATGAAAGTTTATCCCTATGATATTCGTGCAAAAAAACCCAACGGAAATGATTTAATATTCATACAATTTTCTTTTCAGCACAGTTATTTTCATATGCAAACATTTCCAGATAGTCTCTAAATGTCATTCAACACATTTTATATTCGTTATCATGCATTTATTCATCATATATCTATTAGTTTAGAGATTACGTCTTTACAACTAAGTTTTTCGAGGCATGCTATCCTTTTTTTACTCGAAACTAGTTTCCTTACCTCATTTTTCAAACCATTTGTCCGATCATTTACTGAGACAAAGCTGTCTGGTTGTATCCTCAGTCTGAAACCAAAAGACTGTCAATTAGGACTTACTTTGCTATTTTGTTATTGGATGTTTGATAAGAAATAGTATATATCCTTTTCACAGAACATTCAAAACATGTCTTGCAAATCAAATAATTAAGTTATATTATCTTCTCTTCAAACAGTCGCACACTTACATGTTTGCTGCACCTTGTATGTACCAGATTTCCTTGAAATCCATCAGACGGACAAGAAAGGACATAATCTATAGAAAACTGAATAGCTATGTAATAGTTGATAGGTCAAATATTTACCTTGAACTGGTATTTCTATTGCTAACTGCCACCTGTATCAGAAAACACATTAAAATCAGGAAGTGTTTCATCATTTATCATTCGTGGTATCGCTCTAACAGACATAGAAATAGAATGGTTGCTGCTAGGGACGTTGGCGTCACAATAACAGACGCCAGCTAATAATACAACGTTGTCCAATGAAACCACAACGGCATCATTGCATTTCGGTACGTTTCAACTATTATTTCATCAGTATCATTAAATAACTTGCTTAATTAAAGTTTTTTGTTTGTGTGTTTTTAAGGGGAAGCGTGCAGAACAGGTTGTTTTTATAATCAAGAACCTGTGGTTTGAAAGTTCTGGTTTGATTTTCTCTAAAATAATATATAGATATAAATCACGAAGCTACCGTCATCAAGGTTTCCGATTTGTTAAGAAGCAAAAGCATCTGATATGTGGTTTCGGCTATGCGACTATTGCATTTATTTCCCCCCTTGAATGAAAGCCGATTTAATCACACGCCTACTCAGACGTGCAGCAACAGATATTACAGTGCAAGAATGCACAATTCCTATTTCAGTCGTCTTAGTACTTGGGCGGGTTTTCAGTGACTACGAGTGTTCTTCTATACAATATAAGCTAGTATTATCTTACTTGCACCTGTTTTGTCGTCTAGAGGTATGTGCTTTTTTAGAACAAATGTACCGTTTAACCGCCTCGGTGATCTCATGGTTTTGCGCTCGCCTCTAGTGCGGAAGGTCAAGTGTTCGATTCTCGACTGAGTCAAACCAAGGACTTGAAAATTGGTATTGATTGCTTCTCCTGCTAAGTGAGCATATCAGAAGAGAATATGTTAATGTGATGTTAACATGAGTCCTGTATAGTAACATATCTTCCTATTGCCGTTTTAATTAGCACGTTAACAATTCGACTCAGTGTGTAGGTTTATAAGTACAAAGAAGGCTCATATTAACACCACGTTAGCATGTTCTCTTCTGATATGCATGAAATATCTGACACTGGACGTTAAACACCAATCCATCCATCTATTTACCCTTTTTATTCATCTGATGGAGATAAAATGAGAAGGATTGAGTACTAAAACGTCTAGTTTAATCGAAACATTTGTTCATGTACCGCGGTCTCAAGCAATAAGTATCATGACTACCGTTGTTTAGATATAGTTAGCATTTTTATCCTTTATATTGATTTGGCTAGTGTTCGTGACTTTTCTAGTATATGACGTAGACACTTTTGAAGACTGCATATTTTAAATCTCTAGATGTCGAAATGGTTTGATTAGATGGAATTGACAGGATTCTGAATAAAATGTTAATAAAAATATAAAGATGTGCTCATACCGTTCTTAGAGGAAATGTTCAACAGGGTGTTTATTATTATCTGGTTACTTTCCGACAACACAGAGAGTCATGATACTTGTTCCCGTAAACTATCGCTGGGGGGGGGGGGGGTCTTCATTAACTGTAATTCAGAAAATACTCTTCAGCAAGAATTGTTTGTGTTGCTGTATTGTGTACAGTATGTAGACTGAATTTTATGGTTGAAATTGTCAAAAATTAGTATCACAGGGAAACTTTTATCATTACTTAAATCAGAGACATATAATACATATAATGTATTATATATCTCTGCTTAAACATATGTATGCAAATGCGAAATCATGTGTACGGATTGATGGTTTTTGTTCAGGGCAGTTCACTAGTAGAGTTGGCTTAACCAAGGCGAAGAACTCTTTGCAATACTTTTTTCGTTGTTTGTGAACGATTTTGAAATGATGGAATTTCTAAGTAACGGTAATGCACCCTGTGAAGTACAGGAATTGTCTTTATTTTTACTTATGTATGCCAATAAAACGATTGTGTTTTCTGATTCGGTAAAAGGTTTACAAAATATGTTAGACACACTTTTATTGTACATTCATCAATGGGGTTTAACTGTAAAAAAAAACAATGCCAAAACAAAAATTATGGTTTTTAAAAATGGTAGTAATGCAGTGAAACATTGGGGTTTCATAAAGCTCCGAATATTGAAAAGGTTTAGTTAGATTTTTGCAAAAGTCATTTGGGGTGTAAAACAGTGTACCACGAATGCAATTGTGTATTGTGAGCTTGGTAGATATCCTTTGATATATCTTAGATTGTATAATATTATAAAGTACTGGTTTAAACTTTTCAACAAATAATTGTGATCAAGGACAGGTACGGAATCAATGTAATGACATAATTAGTTGGATTCATTAGCTGAAGTATTTATTGTTTAATTTGGGTCTGAACGATTTCTGGTATAACCAATGCTTAATATAGGTCATTATTCTTCTCTGATGTATTCATTTATCAGTTCTATATCATGTATTAATTTATCATTTATTGTATTTGCATATCTGATCATATATATACTTTATACATATACATTTGTATATAATTTTGTTGATGAACTAAAGTATGAAAAGAATTGAATCGATTAGGAATTGTGCTCACTGCTTGCTCACTCATTGACGTGGATTTCGACTGGAACTATTTAACGTTAGTATAATAGTCCCAGATCTCGATCTCTATTCTTTATTTAAAAATTCAATGCCCAGTGTAGTACTAGTGTCATGCTGTTCTCTACGCGTCAAATATCTCTTACAAAAACTATATATATCTGGGTGGTCCATATGTGGCCTGTTGATAGGTAAAATGTATGTCCCTATCAAATATGTCCTCATTTACCAGTGGCAGTCCAAATTTCATCGATCTACATCCCCTGCAGATCCCATCCATTGTATTTAAAAATGTTTATTTGTTTTCGTCTTCAAGTTGGCATGAAATATTCATACCACTGGATGTTAAGAAAGCAACAATCAATATATTTATTTAAATGTTAAATTATTTTTTCTAGCCATGATTATATTCGTAATTAACAATTCCACTTTGAAGCAATATTTAGAATCATTCAAAAAAATATTAGAACTTATAAGGCTTGGGTATAAATGACCCAATTGTTGTACTTTAGTGTTGGCTTGGGTATAAATGTCCCGATTGTTATACTTTGTGTTGGCTTCGGTATATTCCGATATTTGTACTTTAGTGTTGGCTTGGATATAAATGTCCCGATTATTGTACTTTAGTGTTGGCTTGGGTATAAATGTCCCAATTGTTGTACTTTGTGATGGCTTAGGTATAAACATCCCGATTGTTGTACTTTGTGTTGGCTTAGGTATAAACGTCCCGATTGTTGTACTTTGTGTTGGCTTAGGTATAAACGTCCAGATTGTTGTACTTTGTGTTGGCTTAGGTATAAACGTCCAGATTGTTGTACTTTGTGTTGGCTTAGGTATAAACGTCCCGATTGTTGTACTTTGTGTTGGCTTAGGTATAAACGTCCCGATTGTTGTACTTTGTGTTGGCTTAGGTATAAACGTCCCGATTGTTGTACTTTGTGTTGGCTTAGGTATAAACGTCCCGATTGTTGTACTTTGTGTTGGCTTAGGTATAAACGTCCCGATTGTTGTACTTTGTGTTGGCTTAGGTATAAATGTCCCGATTGTTGTACTTTGTGTTGGCTTAGGTATAAACGTCCCGATTGTTGTACTTTGTGTTGGCTTAGGTATAAATGTCCCGATTGTTGTACTTTGTGTTGGCTTGGGTATAAATGTCCCGATTGTTATACTTTAGTGTTGGCTTGGGTATAAATGTCCCGAATGTTGTACTTTGTGTTGGCTTGGATATAAATGTCCCTATTGTTGTACTTTGTGTTGGCTTGGGTATGAATGTCCCTATTGTTAGACTTTGTGTGATGGCTTGGGTATAAATGTCCCGATTGTTATACTTTGTGTTGGCTTGGGCAAAATGTCCCAATTGTTGTACTTTGTGTTGGCTTGGGTATGAATGTCCCGATTGTTAAACTTTGTGTGATGGCTTGGGTATAAATGTCCCGATTGTTGTACTTAAGTATTGGCTTTGGTATAAACATCCTTATTGTTATACTTTGTGTTGGCTTGGATATAAATGTTCAGATATTTGTACTTTAGTGTTGGCTTGGGTATAAATGTCCCGATTGTTATACTTTGTGATGGCTTGGGTATAAATGTCCCTATTGTTATACTTTGTGTTGGCTTGGGTATAAACGTCCCGATTGTTGTACTTTAGTGTTGGCTTGGATATAAATGTCCCTACTGTTGTACTTTAATGTTTGCTTGGGTATAAACGTCCCTATTGTTATACTTTGTGAAATATTTTGATTTTTGTTATTTCTAAATAAGTTAAACATGAAAACAATTTAAGAATAAGCAAAAATGTATGCTTTATTGAAAAAGAAAGCAAACTTCTGCTTTGAACAATTCAGTAGCTATGACATGAAGGTACCATTGGAATTTTCAATGTACATCTGGTCGTCAAGGCAGGTTTGACTGTAAGTTGGGGTTTTTGATTAATGATGAAAAGACATTTTAAATCCCTTCCAAACTGATAAAAAAAATAAGCTAACTAGCAAAATGGAATTGTTATGATTTTATTAAAAAATGAACATGTTACTGAACAACCATATTCTTTGACATGGCACAATTTCCTCAAATTTTCATTTTTTTTCATACAAGATAGATAAAAAAAACAATGGAAAAGCTTGATTATACTGATCATATGAATTGATTTTAACATTCATTTGTTAGTCCATCTTGTCTATACAAACTTCATTATCACTTCAAAATTCTGCTGTGTCCCATCCAAGCTAAAACTGATTCATACAGTAAGATATTAATACAGCCCTAGCACAATTACTACAGCATAAAAGGGATGGTAAAAGCAAATATGGTTCTTTGGCTCAAATGGTTAATAAAAATATGTGTTATCTGGATAAAATACTACTGATAATGGAATTATTTTAATTGAACAGACTACCCCACAAAAGGTCTGTGAAAAATAATCAGAGTCAACTAGATTAAGAATCAGTTAATGCTTTACTTCTGCCAAAATAGACTGGAATATAATATAAGGTAACTAGAGGCTCTCAAGAGCATGTGTCGCTCACCTGTATTTACTGATGCTTTGGAAATCATGTAAAATAAGGTTAAAATCATAATTAATACTATTAGATATTAGATATAATGATATCTAAAATAATAACAAAAAACTGCAAAATTTCTGTAAAATTACTAACTCGGGGGCAGCAACCCAACAACGGGTTGTTGGATTCGTCTGAAAATTTCAGGGCACATAAATCTAAATCTGATGAACAAATTTTGCCACCTGTCAGATTTGCTCTAAATACTTTAGTTTCAGAGATATAAACCAAAAACTGCATTTTACCCCTATGTTCTATTTTTAACCATGTCGGCCATGATGGTTGGAAGGCGGGGTCATCAGACAATTTTTTTAAACTAGATACCCTAATAATGATTAAGGCCAATTTTTCTCTCAGTAGTTTCAGAGAAGAAGATTTTTGTAAAAGGTTACAAAAATTAACGAAAAATTGTTAAAAATTGACTATAAAGGGAAATAACTCCTAAAGGAGTCGACTGACAATTTTGGTCATGACGACTTAATTGTAGATCTTACTTTGCTGAACATCATTGCTGTTTACAGTTTATCTCTATCTATAATAATATTCAAGATAATAACCAAAAACTGCAAAATTTCCTTAAAATTACCAATTCAGGGGCAGCAAGCCAGCAATGGGTTGTCAGATTTGTCTGAAAATTTCAGGGCAGATAGATCTTGACCTAATAATCAGTTTTACCCTCTGTCAGATTTACTCTAAATGCTTTGGTTTCAGAGATATAAGCCAAAATCTATATTTTACCCCTATGTTCTATTTTTAGCCATGGCGGCCATCTTGGTTGGTTGGCGGGGTCATCGGACAAATTTTTAAAACTAGATACCCTAATGATAATTGTGGCCAAGTTTGGTTAAATTTGGTCCAGTGGTTTCAGAGGAGAAGATTTTTGTAAAAGCTAAAACTACAGAGGTGACGGACGACGGACGCCAAGTGATGAGAAAAGCTCACATGGCCTTTTGGGCCAGGTGAGCTAAAAATGCATTCCCTTCCAAGGGCTGGGTAAAAACTGAAAAAAAAAAATCATAACAAAATTGAGTGTAGCGCCAAGATCACTAATTTTTCAGATCCATAACAACTAAGGATATAACAAAACAAAAACAATATTAATGCAAGTTGTGACTGGTGTTGTTGTAGTTTGTTACATTTAAACAGAGGTAGTTATGTTGTGTCTAGCTTTGTATCTGAAGCACCAGTTTCTATAGTAACACCATTCCCATTACATTTTACTTCCTTTGTTGATTGTTTTGCGTTTGAATTGTCGTCTGACCCGCCATTAACGTCCATTTGAACACTATTTTCTGCTGATTCATTTTTATGAGACAATAAATGCACAACATTGTTTAATTTGACTTGTGAGTCCCAACCACATGTATATAACTGTAAGTCATTCATCCATGACACTCCTCGTACATAATCTTTATGTGAACAATCTCTATATCTGAAAATAGATACAATTTGTGATAAAAATGTCTTTTAGAAAAAGGAATATTGAGAAATTACTGAAGAACAACTGAGAAATGATTCTCTGATTCTGTATTTTAGAAAAATCATTGCAAGGACTTCCATGCCCTAACCACCCCTATATAATTTGTTGTTGAAATCAAAATTGTTTGACAGGAACATTTAAGTGCAGGCAATTAGGATTCTATTTAGGATGTCCGTGCAATAATACATCAATCTTTACCTAGGATTCTAATTGGCATCATCAACCAAAAATCTAAAGAAAACTGTTAATATAGAATGTCTTTTAATTGTTAAAGTTCAATGGAATTACCTATATAGTGCAATATCATGGACAGAGTCATTAAAAAAATAGATGTACTGTAGATTCATTATTATTTTTGGGATACCAATTTTTGTTGATTTCGTAGATAAAGGTTAACCACATATTTAAATGTACTTCAAGATTTACACTTTTTTACTCGTTTTTTATGTAGATTAGACCGTTGGTTTTCCTTTTTGAACGGTTTTACACTAGAAATTTTTGGGGCCCTTTATAGCTTGCTGTTCGATGTGAGCCAAGGCTCTGTGTTGAAGCCGTACTTTGACCTATAATGGTTTACTTTTATAAATTTTGACTTGGATGGAGAGTTGTCTCATTGGCACTCATACCACATCTTCTTATATCTAATTACACTTTCAAAATTTGTATACAGATTGTGGCAAATCCACGAAATTATATGTTTTCCTCAATCCACAAAAATTGCTATCCATGAAAAAATAATAAATATGAATCCACAGTATTAAGCAATGAAAAATAATATATGTATTTCAATTTGACTGTTGAAACGGAATGATATTTAACTAATAATATATGTATTTCAATTTGACTGTTGAAATGGAATGATATTTAACTATTAATATATGTATTTCAATTTGACTGTTGAAATGGAATGATATTTTAACTATTATAATTAATATATGTATTTCAATTTGACTGTTGAAATGGAATGATATTTAACTATTAATATATGTATTTCAATTTGACTGTTGAAATGGAATGATATTTAACTAATAATATCGCAACATACTTTGACATACCATGTATTTGTATTTTTTCCCCAACCATATTTATTGCCAATATCTACTTATATATATACTTGTTTTCATTTAAAAAGTCTTAGTACAGTGATGGATCTAAATTTGAAAATCTTTTTTTCATTTCTGATTCCTCAGCTAAATATTTTTAAATTGTGGTAAGTATGTCACAATAAACTTTAATACTTACACTTGTTTCTGTGTTTCCATTGATGTAACAACAGTTGTACAATCCTCTGATACAGAGGCCAATAACTGAGGTCTGCAAAATAAAATTATATGTGACTCAATTTCTAAACACTACATGTACCTAAACTAAGGACATCATGAAAATAAAATATGTGCATTATCCATGGAATACCTGTTGCCTGCCTTTCCAAATCATGTACGTAGAAATGAGAAAATTCACGTTTTGGTTTGGGAAACTTTAAAAAAAGATACAGAAGTAAAAAATTAAAATATATGAACAACTTCATGTCCTGTAACAGAATCTGTGCAAGTTTGTTGGAATTCCCATGTATGGCATAGCATGTCAGTCTAACAGAACTTATATGAACATTTGTCACGTTTAGTAATTGAAGCATAATGTAGAGAACCTTGTTTTAAACTATGTAATCCTAGTCTTATCTTGATTTTACTAAGTTAAATAAGAACTTTAGTGGGTTCTTAAGATTCATCAAAATTTCACACAATTCAAACTTTACAATTTTGTTTTACTTCTGTAATTGGAATTTTACTCTTTCATTGGTATAATTTACGATATCCCTTAATAAATTTCATGTCAAATACCAGAGACAAGTAGAATTTATGAAATTTGTGAAAAAATGTAATTGCTATCAGCCAATCAAAATGCCACATTTTTTATGTGAGGTTGAATATATAGCTCAAACACACTTACCTATTACTACAGAATTCTAATTTATACACATCCCTTGTGTGCGGTGTAAATGATAGAGGAGTTCCGATTGAGGTTCGTGTATCCTTGAAGACAATCTGCCCTGTGCTACTACCAACAGCAAACATGTTCTTAGACTGTGGTTGCCATGATAAGCATCTCGGTGAGTTTTCTAATGGCGAAGAATCTGTTGGAAAATATTGGAAAACAGAATTCTTGGTAAATACAACAATGTTTATTGACAGCAATACTATAATTAGCTTTATTGTGTAACTACAAATAGTAATTTGACTTAACATATAATGTACAAATAAGTGCATGCAATAACATTACCATACAATTATCTCCTAGTATCCTGCTTCAGTATAAGGGAGTTGTAAAACTTTACATAAAATACCCGCTAATATTTCTTTTAATACTTCCCATGAGTGACTGCTTAATACAGGTTCGACTGTACCCATGGCCAAAAGACATCTTGAGATCAACATTCAGCCCTCAACAATAGACATTATTGTGTCTATATGCATTTGTCCTGAGAAGTCTTAATCAGAGCATAACTAACACAAATTTCAACTCCATTCGATTATCAAGTTTACTCAGGACTATCTATCATTATGTGATAAAAATAAACAAGTTTTTAAGAATGTATGCAGAATTTCTTTTGGTCATTAAAAACTAGCAATGCTTTGACCCCTTACATTGAAGATTTCAATATTCTGCATATTTGAGAGGAAAGCATCCTGTTAATATCAATTACTAGCATAAAACCATTTATTACTTGATTTTAATACAAACTAGAACTGTGAGCGAAATCACAAAAAAAACGTCTCCAAGGAACTGTGCTTACAGGGGATCATTACCAACTTTTGCAATATCAAAAGAAAAATTGATTATCTCCTCTTGAACATGTGGAACCATGGTTATATTTAATTCACATTCTCAGTGTTCTACAATTGTGAAAAGTTTGATGAAAATTCTGGTAAGTCTTTATTTAGAATAGTGCTTATGAGAGACTATTACCACATATTCAATATTGAAGAAAGTAAGTTCAATTACCTCCCCTTTAACATGTAGGACAGAGATTATATTGCTTTTCCTCAAGTAGTTTTCTTAAATTAATATCCATACAGCCTGTTTGTTAGGACAAGTTGGGCTTACAAGGCAAATGGACAGACAGGATGATTCCTATATAGCCCCCAAAATATTGTTTGGAAAAGCAGAAGGGGGTATACATATAATATAAAAACCTACTAGTTTGTGCTACTGACAAACTGATATACAACCATTGTTTGTTTACATATATGCTTTTTGTACCAAGAAAACTAACTCAATTTTCTTAATGAAAAAAATTCAAAAGCCATAAAATAGGTGACCAAAAACACCCAGGAATTCTAAAGGCAAACAATTTTTTGTTTGCCCTTAGAATAAACCTCATCAGCTTTCAAAATGAGTGCTTATCTGTAGGCCTAGGACATGTGAAAATCAATTTGACTTTGTGGACCTAAATTGTTTTTGGTACTCGAATGCAATAGAAGTATTGACTTTGAGTACTTAATTTTGTATTTTCCTGTCTTTATTTTGAAATATAAATGTACATTTTCACGTGAGAAAACCTTTTTAACAAATTTCTTTAATTGGCAAGCAATATACATATTTTCTGAGTGTCAAATAAAATCTGTGATTTTGAACAAATACGTTTCATTATACATTCAATCAATGGAGTGAGTCATGTAATTTTCTGGATATAAGTACTTGTATAATAACTGTTTAAAAAAATTTTCTATGTAGTTTGCTTCTGATGATCTGATAATATTTTTTATTACAAGAAAACTGGTACCTAAAAATGACTTTTTTGAGTGATTTTTCATTTTGGAGAAATTTAAAAAGTGTCTTGATTTGAATAAAGTATTAAAACAATCTTCTAGCTAACATGAACCTACCTACAATAGAGGGTATAAATTTTCGTTCTATAGGAAACATACCTACTACTGATGCAGGTCGAGGTTTCCGTGTATCCCATAGTAAAATTCTTTTATCCTGAAAAAATAATTGAAGTAAGTATTACAATATAAGTATAAATATAACACACTAAAGTATAAGTATATGAATCCTGTCAACTCATTTCTGCATGTTATATCCTGGAATTCAACTACTATGAAATTTACTGATAAAATTTGTCACTCCTCATACAAAAAAGTCCTGAAATTGAAAAATGTCAATTATCAACATCTGCAATTCGTTTGTTTTTTAAAAATTGTACTAAGGATCAAAATGGAGATCCACATTAGCAAAAATTATCTCAAAATATATATAAACAAATCATGATATGATGCCTCTGTTTATCAATGAAACTATATAGTTGCAATTTACACATTTTTGTAACCAAAAAGAGTGGAAAAATTTTTTGAACACCATTTCTGAATGTTTTTGGGGCAATGAACAGGATATTTCAGCATTTAATTTTTTCATGGTTATGTTTTTATTTTTGACAAAAAACGCAACAGGATGAGTATAAATATATTGGATTTTTTCTTGCTTATTTTTAAATAGTATTTCTTCTATTACTGGTGATTACCTTCAAATAAGACAATAGACATATATGATCTCTGTTAATAGGGAGGCAATGAAAAAATGTTTCATTTTAATTTTAGATTTGACATTATGTCCAATTATCCCTAATAAAGCAGCATACTCTTAGTTATATTATGAGCATCAATGATGAAAAGATCAATATATAATTTGCTCGCATAACATTGGAAAATGTTTCATGCGTATTCAGAGAACGAGTTAACAATGAATACAATTGGTAGGTCCTACAAGTAGTGGGTTTACAGAAAGGTCAACAGGAAGTGACAACACAATTACTGGTATTGCCATGTTAACAAGACCAAAACCGGGTCTGGACCTACTTTGCTACATGCAATTGATTGAGGCAATATGTATATTGGAGCATAACTGATCATCACTGATGCCAAGAAAACTTTGGATGAAACTTTTCCTTGTAGAATGAGTATTGTAAAATTTCGAACTATTGGCAAACAGGAAGTGGCTACACAGCAGATGTTAAAATTGCTTAATCGCTACAACTTAAATAAATATATATAAATTGTCCATATCATTTCCCAAATGGACATCACCTCAACGGTCATTCACATAATTCTAAAAGCCTCCTGACCATCTATCATACAATTATTTTTGGATTCATTCTTGTTTGTAATCTTTTTCAATAAGGCCAAAAAAAATACATGTCTGTTTCCTGCCTCCAACCATTATAAACTAGGTTAGTTCAGTCGGTCAGGATTTTATTTTATTCTATTTTTTGCACATAAACAAAATTCTGGGAAATTTTCATGTTTCTCTGAGTTGATCCTGTTTTACACTTTAATATGCATACCGTAATTTGCCCATGCATGTTGATACATTTATAACTTTCCACGGTTTGATAAGTTCGAAACTCGATATACTTTGATCTTATTACAAATTTGAGTGAATAATCCAGCAGAATTCTAATAATAAGACTCACAACGCTTTTTCTTGAATAATTTTTGGAAAGGCACAATAAAATATTTTAGGGTTAGCAATCAAATTTAGGGTCGGTCGGGAAGCAGGAAACAAGCTTATATTATTTTTTTGGCCTAACGAACATCATGAGGAAAGCTCATGTTTCTTAAACATTCAACCATTCTGTTGATAAAAACAATAACTTCAGTACTATTCTTTTGGTTTTGTCTTTTTTCACAGATGATTTGATATTATCTCATCATTATGTGCATTGCTCCTTATCTTTATTATCATCAATTTGTAATCTTACTTGTGAACAAGACAGGAACATGGCTGGTTCTAAAGGATGACATCTTACACATTCTACTATATCGAAATGCCCTACAATTAACAAAATCAATATTTTTTTTTATTTTTCTAAACTTCTGCATTGGATTGTTACATGTTTCTTGATGAAATTGTGCAATGAACCTTTAACCTCTTGATAGTTTCTTTGTTTTGCTGTTGAGTTGCTATCTCTTTGATGTATACCCACATCTCCTTTTGTTCATATTTAAAATAAAATGCTCCGCTGGGCGCAACTTGATACGACCGCAGAGGTCGAACCCTGAACAGTTGGGGCAAGTATGGACACAACATTCAAGCTTGATACAGCACTGAATTTGGATTGTGATTAAATATTTGACACAGCACAGGTTTCTGACACAGAATGAATGTGGTCTAAGAACTTAAGAATTTTTAATTTACCTTTTCAAACCATATCATTATTATTTGCTTTTATATATAAATCAGAAATAACCAATTTAAAATGGAAAATTTTAAAGAAGAAAAAATCCCCCCCCCTTTTTTGATCCCCCTTATGATTCATCACCCCCAAAACTCAATCCCAGCCTTCCCTTTGTGGTATGGTACCTGCAGTACAATTTCAGAGAGATCCATACACTTGAACACAAGTTATTGTCTGGAAACTAGAAAAATGCTTGTTTTTTGGCCCCAAATTCCTAAACGTTTAGGGCAATTACCCCCAAACTCAAACCCAGCTTTCCCTTTGTGATATGGAACCTTGTAGTACAATTTCATAAAGATCCATACACTTACACACAAGTTATTGTCCTGAAACTAGAAAAATGCTTGTTTTTTTGCCCTTTTATGGCCCCCTAATTACTAAAATTTTGAAGCAATTACCCCCAAAATCAATCCCAGCCTTCCCTTTGTGGTATGGTACCTTGCAGTACAATTTCAGAGAGATCCATACACTTGAACACAAGTTATTGTCTGGAAACTAGGAAAATGCTTATTTTTGGCCCCTTATTCCTAAACGTTTTGGGCAATTACCCCCAAACTCAATTCCAGCTTTCCCTTTGTGATATAGAACCTTGTAGTACAATTTCAGAAAGATCCATACACTCACACACAAGTTATTGTCATGAAACTAGAAAAATGCTTGTTTTTTGCCCCCTAATTCCTAATATTTTGAAGCAATTACCCCCAAAATCAATCCCAGCATTCCCTGTGTGATATGGAACCTTGTGTTACAATGTCAGAGAGATGCATACACTAACACACAAGTTATGTCTGGAAGTTACAAAAATGCTTATTTTTGGCCCCTAATTCCTTAACTGTTGGTACCATAACCCCCAAAATCAATCCCAACTTTCCTTTCCTTTTGTGGTATTGAACCTTTTGGTAAAATTTCATAGAGATTCATTCACTTAAACTAAAGTTATTGTGCGTACAACGACGACGACGCCAACGTCATACCAATATATGACCGCAAAATTTTTTGGCGGTCGTATAAAAATATAAAAACCCTAAACATTATCTGAATCTTACTCAACCTGTTTGTTAATGTAGGTATATAACATTTACTTACGATCAGCTTTAAATGTGTTAAATGAAATCTTAATAATGTATTCAATTGTATAAAAATGAATCAGAATATAAAAAGATCTGCCTTATGTCACAATACTTGTATGCTTGTAGCCAATCATAACTAAGGAGAAAATTTTGTAATGGTCCTAAACCATTTTTTATCATAAAAGCCTAATTTTCATTGATATAACCGGCTACTTACCTCTAAATGAGTGAACTGATGAGAGTGTTTCTACATCCCAAACTTTGATACTGAAATAAAAAAAAAAAAAAAACTATTTTGCTTGTATAAAGTTTATATTAGCAATAATATATTTGTAACTTTCTGGACATTTTTTACAGATCATGCATACATCCTACATTGAGAATATTGCTAAAAAATGACTGGAAAATCTGTGAAACCTCAAAATAATGCACAGCATGTTTTAGCTGGATGGACGACAGAGTACTAGGATACATTGGTCTTTGATGGCCTTAAAAAAGACACTTTCATAAACCATTTTCTAAATTTTTATTTTCAATTCAAGAGGTTATATAATTAAGATTAGTTGATTGGAATCAACATTTTTAAGTTTGTGTAAGGAAGAAAATTTACTGATCAATGTTAAAAACAATCTCTACTAAATATGGTATCATATATGCACCACACTATTTGTTATTCAAAGAGGCCTACAATATTTAAGATGTTATACACAAAATAGAAATGCAAAATTCTTCATGTTGTTTGTAATGTTCATTTTTTTGATTGGACAACACCCCAAATTTCAAGGCATCAATTCCATGACATCCAATTGAGGAGGGCTGATGTTGTGTGTGCATGATTTGGTAGCGTGATCGTTCAGGTATCAATTTTTGTTTTGATGTCACACATATCAGTTTACTGAGCTTTTAAATTGTGACCATCAAATCTCTCATTGATGCTCACAAATATTTAAATACAATACATCTCCTTATTGACACAACAATAAATAAGTTAATTCCTGTATTTAAATATTTATACTTCCGCAGCATCCGATTGTCTTATGGTCTTTTTCTTTTTTCGCCATAGTTTTTATTTTCGACTTACGAGTTTGAATGTCCCTTTGGTATCTTTCGCCTCTCTTTTATACATACCATTTATCATATCCACATGATACAGCTCGTTTGTTGTCACATGACAGATGTACACTACTGATGATGTTATCATGTTCTAAGGAGGAATGAACGTGTACAAATGTGTGGTAATTTTCTATCAACTCCCAGATTTCTATACCACCTGTCAAACAAATAATATTCATCAATTAATATAAGTTTAAATTGAATGTATTTTTAAGAATTACTATAGTGTAGTGGTTAATTCATTAGAACATGATGAAGCTATAAGGGTCTTTGTATTGAATGTTAAAAATGCTCAGTTAGTTTTTAATTCATGTATTCTCTTAGTGCAACCAAAGAGTAATAATAACCAGTAACAGTAGCCAATAATAACCATGATTATGTCTGTAATATGATGATATGCTCATTTAGTTGAAAATCCAATTTTATGTTCCCTGTAATGCATTTCAATACTGTATTATTTAACTTCCAAGTGTCTTTGAAGTGCCAAATCATCATACATTTTTTTGAAATCTGAGCGAAACACTAGCATCATTTGAAAGAATGGTCTTATGAAATCTTGCTAGTCCTTCGGAATAGTTTTTTGTTGTTAAAAGGGGAGTAACACCTTTAGTATCTAGTTTTCATGTAATTTCTTATCTTTAATGTTTTACTGACTTGAAAATGTCAAATAATTGGATGGTATGGATTCATAAATCTTAGTTTAACCAACATTTTTTTCTGTAACTGTCATCCATTTTGCAACAGCTGATCATGCTGATGTGCAAGTTTTACCAATAGACTATTTTCATAATACCATCTTTTGACTGTATTTTATAATTTTTCGACAAGTTACCTAATCTGTGGTAGGACATCCTGGTACCCAGTCAAGTAGGAGCAACCAAAAGAAGTAAAATAAAACATATAATCGGTGCATTTTGGGGGGAAGTTTACTGTTTTCGGATGACTTTGCCTTGTATAGAAAACATAAAACAGTTAATCCCCCCTACATTGTACTGATCGTAAGCTTGATTTTACTTCTTTAGGTGGCTCTTACTAGACCCAGATCCAAGATGTCGGAAAAATTTAAAACTCCGGAGTCAAGTCGGTAATATGAAAATAGTCTATTGTAAAGCAGGGATTTCTTAAAATTAAATGAATCCTATACCTAAGAGTAAAGTACAACTGTAATTTTCTTCATGTAAGCTGAAATGTCACTCTTAAACAAAGTAGATAGAAATACCTATAAAATATTCCTAAAGTCTGATTGTGGGAACAGCAAACCATTTAGTGAAAACTACCATTGCTTATCACGTTATTCTTATTCATATATACTATAGTCTAGAGACAGCACTAGTGTAGCACAAATTTCCCCAAAATAAATATTCACCAAAACTTATCTTATTATAATTGAACATCAGTTTAGTCATTGTAAGTTGTAATTGGAGAATTTTAACATAATTCTTTGATTCCATTTAGATTCAAATTTTTAGACCAAATTGAATAGGGTAGGCCAAATAAAATTTGTGCCTGTATACCTGTATCTAAGCCAACTATAACCTTGTTACTATCTATCCATCTGGCATCAGTAAGGCCAGCCTCTAATTGGACGCCAGCTGTACATTTTTCTACATCAGGTGCATTATTTGGATTCTGATAAAACCATAATGAACCAAGCCAATATCTGCCTGTTAAACTTGAAGCACCAAGTAACACTCCGCCATCTGAAATTACAAATCCATCAATTAATAAATACTGTCATGACTATTGGCTTAAACAACATTTAAAAGATATGAACTATGAATATACTACCGTAAGGCAGTCTGGTTTTGTGGTGCACAGGTGTGAAACTTCAGACTGTATTTGAAAACTTACAAAGTTGAAAATATATCATTTACATGTATGTTATCCCTGGGCAAGCATGTAACCGATAAAAAATCAACACATATTTTGCTTATTACTCATTTGTTCCATTTTTCTTTCTCTTTCATGTCAATAAAAGTCACAAATGTTTAACAATAAAACATATATATGTACATATATTCAAATAACATTCTGTTTAATAAAACTTACATTTAGAAATATACATAAATTTATATATAGTGAACCAACACCTAAAGTAGTAATTGTGCTGTTGGGTGGGTGGATACCAAAAGGTATCCACAGTTGTCTTTCACTAGATAAGTAAATAAAACAATAATAAAAACAACAACACCCATCAATTACCGCATGGTAAGGTCCTGAAGATGACAAACCTGTTGGCGAAACATGTAGACCACATAAAATCTTACCATGTGGTAATTGATGGGTGTTGTTTTCTTTATTATCATTTTATTTAGAAATATAACAAGCATTCTGAGAGTATTGCATGGCAATACATAGTCCCCTACTGGATAAAAATTCATTATACTGGAATAAAATGCTAACTTGTTCTACAACTTGTCATGGTGTAAACAAAAAGTAAATATCATGTCAATATCTTCAAGCATAACTAAAAACAGTGTGGAAAACTGATTATATGCATGAATTTTTCAAGTCCAAGGACCATAACTCTACACAAAGTTATTAGACCGAAACAAAAATTTGAACTTGATCTGTAACTTGTCATGATAAAACTATATATATACCAATTATCAATCAATATCTTATAAGCATGATGAAAAAAACATCAGATATGATTAATAGTTCTCTAAAATTAGATATGATGTAATACAGTGTATATCTATTTTCAAATTATAATCAAATGTAATTAATAGTTCCAAATATTTTTTCTTTCATTTGTCACAAACTAATATAGATTTTTAACTTATCTATAAAATGTCAACAACTTTTATCTACACAATGTAATGTATTGAAATATATACATTAATAAAAATAAATTATTATCTAATTAAAGGATTTCTCTTCATAATTTTTTTTTATATATATACAGCATTCAGAAAATTAGTTTATACTAAATAACAAACAAACCTGCCAAAAAAATCTTCAAATAATTTAACAAAGAATGTCTTTTAAAAAATGAGTTATCTCCCTTTGTACAGAAATATGGTTTAACATAGTACTCTTAACATTAGATATGGTCCAGAGTTATGGTCCATAACTCTGGACTAAATCATCAGACCGGAACAAAATTCGAACTTGATCTAAATGTATAACTTGTCATGATAAAACTAAATACCAAATATCAAATCAATATCTTCAAGAACGAAGAAAAAAAGTGTGGAAAGCTGATTTGCTGGACTGACGGATGGACAGACGGACGGACAGACGGACAGAGTGCAAACCTAAAGTCCCCTTCGACTTCGTCTGTAGGGGACTTATAATAAGCTAGATAATTATTAGACAGGATTAAAGCCAATTCTGAAATTTTCTTCTGTATGAAGACAATAAACATGATAAATATACAGTTAGCTTTTTGCGTAATGAAACATTACATAAATGACATGTATGGATAAGTAATAGTTTTGTTCTTTTCCATTATCTTATTATTCAGTATATATAAATACTTACACTATTGGAAGTTTACCTTAGATTAAGATATTTACATAGATTAGATAAATCTCAACTACATAAATGTACCAAATAAGTTGAACTAACCATTTGCTAACTGAGGAATCTACAGGCCACTTTAATACATTCAACAAAATTATTAAAATATTTTAGAAAGATTAAACTGTTCTACTTCCCTGTATCTATCTATATCATGTATATTGTGCTAACCACATGCATTTTTCTTGGCTTCTGTTATTTGTAGGTCAGCATATATATGTATGCATATGGTCCAACAAAAACAGTTGAAGTCTTCTAACAAAAAACTGTATTTGAAAAAAATATGTACCAAAACTGCTAATTAAGACCATTAATTAGAGAAAGTAGAAAATAACCTTATGACTGACATGACTGATAGACATGCATTTTTTTAAAAGCCTTATGACTTTTTCTGTGGATTTAAAGATATATAAGATCATGTTTTTATCATCCCTCCCTGGATTTATTTTTTAATTTTGCCTTCCAAATTTTCTTTAAATAATGTAGCAAACTAGGTAAAAATCAATAAGAAATCTAATTTTAAGACATTACATGTATGATGGCATGAGGTCTCTAAAACTAAAATTAGAAACAGAAAGTTTTCTACTAAAGACAGCAATATATTGCAGAAACTTTAGGATGGCTGTTCCTTTTAGGAACACAGTCAACTTATGACCACTTCTCAAAATTAGTTGACTTGAAATTCTTCATGTCAAAATATTTTTGTTGTCCTGCTCTAGAAACACAGTAATTCATATAAATTTACTCCATTTAAGTCAAATTTTGATTAGTTGAAATTTGGGGTAACTCCGGACAACTTAATCTACAATGTATGATCGGAAAGCATGATAAAAGATGAAATTTTGTTCATGAAGCCAGGAAACTATTACTCATAATAGATCACATACATTTCAGATGCATGAACTGATTTTATATTAAGAACATTTGATACAGAAAAGATCTCTCATTGATTTTTCCTTCAAATTTTGACATCAAGTCAATTTTAATACATGCATGCACTATAGAAATACGCAAAGAAAAATATACATTACTTTTTGAGATATTTCAAGTAAAAACAAAATTTCATTTTTCAATCATAACACATCTTTCAAATGGAAAGAAATCTTTTCCCCACTTTTCTCAAAGTGTTACTAAATTAATAGGCCTTTGAGTTAGTTCCTTGAATAAACATGATAAAGGTTGAATGTGATAAAACACAATTATTTGTAATAAAAAGCTGTAGACAATTTTCTTGCCAATTCAAATGCATATATAGAAAAAATTCTACCGTTGATTTTTTCTTGCACTTTTGATACAACATTCCACAAGTAGTACTTACATAGTCATTTGCAAATAGAAAAAAAAATGGACATCAATATGCTCATTTCTAAGCTAGAAATAGAAAATCTGCAGAGACCACATTTCCCTTTTCATGCTACATTACGTCACAAAATATTCTTGTGTGTTTTATATTAACCACAATGCATTAGCAGTTTAATCTTTCTCCCTGACCTGTGTATGGAGCAGCAATGTATTTATAATATTTCTAGGCCATGCAAGGCCATGTTTCAAATCCTATCATTTTGTATTTGTCCATTGTACAGTACAAACCAGTCATGGCAATTATGGGAATCGGTCAAATCTTCTATATCACTGATGATGATCGCTAAACAGAAATTTTAGACATTGAACGATAATCAATTCAAGAGTAATAATAATTTAGAGATTGACAACTTTTTAGTTGTTTAGAAATATATCAGCTTTTTGCAAATATATCATCTTTTTCAATTTCTGTAGTTGAAAAATAATGATACTAGTGTTGTATTTATCTTTTTAATACTGGTTAATGAAATCATAATACAGTGTGTACTGGCTGGTCATTATCGCGTAAGATACGATTTTGACATGCCTACATAGCTGATGAATATTCATGACTTTATAGATAAGGACAGCACGTGTAGCCAAACAGAGTGGAGTGGTAGATTTGTAGCATAACTGTACATATGTAGTTTATAGAATAGAAAATTAGATCAGAAATATAGTTATTAATTATTATAAAGCCAAGCGAGTTAAAACACGGATCTATCATAGGGACATAATTTGTGATCTCCTTAACCTGGGAACAGTATATCTAACGGGAAATGAATCTGATACGCTTTTCAGTATAAAATTGATAAAATCTCGGACTCCCCGAGACTTCCCGAGATTTACAGATTTTGGTAGCGTCTGACTGAAATACTATCAAAACTGCTCAACAAATAAACCACATAACTCTTATTGTAAATAAATACAAATTTTTATCATTTAGTAGATATATTTTGTCATATAAAATTACCAAAATAAGTTTGATTTATTTGATGTGAAGTGTTTTATAATAGTTTGGGAATTTGTAATCATCATCGAGGCAATGGCCGCCATTTTTTTATTACCTGGTTTGCATTCTGCACAATTCTGTGATGAAATGCTTTCGATTTTAACAAATTTGAAGTGACAGAATACAAGTTTGATACACTAGCTTCACTGTAAAACTAGTTTGAATGACATTTTATTGATAATATCAGAAATTATTAGGATAATAGCGAGTCCATGTCCGTTTCTGTATCGTATCTTTATTAACTATGGCACGACGATAAAATCGACTACAATCAGGTAGTGTCAAGTCCCGTCAATATATATGTTCCTGCCTTAACCTATAGAAAAAGCATGAACACTTCATTTTAGAATTGATTGATTGATTGTTGTTTGCTTAATGTCCAGTGACTTCCTTACAGTAATGACTTCTAGTAAAATGCGTATGATTTTTAAATTCTCTAGATCTGGACAACCATCTATTTGACATTTGGAGAATCTTGTATAATAATGTTTACCAAATATTTACATAATTTCATAAACATGATAAATGTTAATCATAATTATTTTTCTCTAAATATCATTTTTTTTTATAATAACCACGTGTATTTCCAATACAAATACATGTAATCTTGTAAACCGATTGAAAAAGTTAAAAGTGGCATTTAAATGGAAAGAAAAGGGAAACAAAGCACTGTGCTATTGAAGGAAACAAAGCCAATCATGCTTCCGCAGACGGACATACAGTTGTGTCTGATTAATCAAGTATTTCTACAAACCTGTGTGACACTGAATCACATCTAAGTGTCTATCCATGGCGGCCGGGATTTGATCCATCACTGCTCAACCGAAGCTTGTTTATTTTCCGGATAAGAAAAATTCGTCAACCAAAACCATGTGCACTGTTTGCCGCAAATGGGCGCGAGATTTAAATCACATTTTGATTATGTTTTTTAAAATAAGAAACAGGTGCCATTTTTTAAAGGTGGTCAGATATAAAATAATTTATTACTACTTACATATGTAGTGATTTTTCAAATCCTTAAGTGGTGATGTTCATCAAAGTTACGACATCAACTACTTTGGTACGTTGTATTGTATTTCGTTAAAAATTGAACGTTGGTAACTTGCTAGACCTAAAATTCTGATTCATTAGGATGCTTCTATTTTGACCTACAGTTCAAGTTTTTATAAAACGACAAAAGGGTAAAGATTTGGTATTTTTAATGAATATAGTTTGACAGATTGACGTCATGTACTTTTTTCGTGTTTTGATTCTACAGTCGTGTTGACACACATAAGGCATTATTTTAGCATGCCAAAAGATCTAAAAGAGTCAACTGAACCAGAGCAACTTGACAATCGATGGGATATAATGGAAGTAGAAGATAATATCGGTCATGCTGAGGATGTTGGCACCGGCGCCAGCATGGAAGGACAGTTTATGGAAGACAATACATTTACAGACTTACCGAATGCATTAATTGTCACTAACGTTGCTGAATGTGTATTCGATAATGAAGATGCAAAGGTGAGATACTCATTTTCCTGGAATTTGTTAGTTTAATATGAGAAATAGTGATGAGCTCCTTAAGGTTATCATTTCAAGACATTTGCATGGTTGCTAACAATAGGATTTAACAAGTCTGTTTGAATTACCATCTTCAATGTCAAGTGACTCCTCAGGTGGCCACCTCCCGCCTTACATTTACAAGGGACACAATGTATAATTTACAAATAGCCTTATTTACACTTGTATGCAAATTTGTCTGCTGTTACTTAAAATCACACTATTGTCACAATTTAAAAAAACTGATGTTTTAATCAGAAAGTGATTGTTGCTTGACGTCAAAAGGTTTTTAGGAGACAGATCTAATTCCTTTCGGAGACAAAATACTAAATACATATAATATGTAAATACGTTAATATAACATTATGATACAATAGGATTTTAAATAGGCTCATATATAATATACACGGAATGATTATGAAAATTTACAATTATGATGTAAGCATTGCAGTCCCAGAATCAAAAGGGCCTTAAAGGCAGATTCAAATTACCTTATGATATATATATATATATAGTAGTGTCAATTGATTGTAGGTTTAGAAAATAACGTACGATATATACATGTAGACATTGCTTTTGGGACACATGTTATACAGGGATTTTGTCAGCACTTGTCATTTTCACCTTGTACGATAAACTATTTTCAAATTGGCGGAAGTATTTCTGATCAATTTCTATATTTAGATTTGTCAAAAAATTGTATGAAATTTTACCTGCTGACATGTTTAGGACCCCAAGCTACATGTAATTAACCTTAACAACAGGTTTCACAATAGACTATTTTCATATTACTGACTCTTTGACTGCGGAGTTTAAAAGTTATAGACAGGTCAGTTCTCTGTGGTAGGACATTCTGGTACTTTTGGAAAAAATTAACTGTTCTCTGACATGTCTGATGATTTTGTCGTGTTTAAAAAACATAAAACAGTTAATTTTTCCACCAAATTGCCCCTGTTGTAAGCTTGATTTTACTTCTGTTAGTTGCACTTACTTGACCATGTTGACCGAATACCTTAATGTCCTACCACAGAGTATGTAAACTGTTGAAAAGATATACTCTTAAGTGGAGTCAAAAGCAGGGGTTAAAACATTTTGTTACAGCTTATATTTTATTACTAGCCCTGGACTTATTGCCAAGGTTATTGGTTGCAGGATTTTACTTGCCCTGTTGAAAGAACTGCTAGCCCATCAAAACTGACCTGCTAGACCTAGTATGCCTTATAAATTCAGAGTTTGCTGCATATTAATACAAAATGGGTGTCCCTTGTTTTGAAGGCAGCATTATACACTGTATTTAATAAATTAAATCAAATAAATTTATTATTAATTATAACAAGGATCTTTAGACATCTTTTTGGATTTCCGTTGTACTATGGGTTGTTAAATATTTTCAGGCACAGAAAACAAGTTCATTGGAATTGTCATGTGAAACCAGTGGTTCAATTCATATACATGTATTTGTTTTTCCCTCATACAAAGCAGACTTTTTATTAGCATGATCAGGAAAATAACAGCAATATTCACAAAACATTGTCTCTGGTTTATCGTCAGCAACAGCCGACCTTGCCCAGGGGAATCTTTCTGTCCATGACACTATAAATTTTTTTTCCACTTTTCCCGGTCGTATTTGGCATTTTTTGGGAATAAATTTTCAGCCTCATTACCCCCTTCATCATGTTCATCTTCATACAGGTACCCGTACTAAAATATTTAGAAATATTTTGTTTTATGGTCTCATGCTCAACAGCTGTCTGGCAAGACAGGTCTATATCGATCAATGCATCATACCCCCAGGAATGTTAATTGAAAATCTCGGCATAAGCAATGTACAATACCCCCCTGTACTGAGAAATCAATATTGAAAGTACAGGAATTGCAATCAATACATGATACTGGTCCACCCAGATTTAGTTGTTCTATTTTTAAAATCAGTTCAAATTCTTGGAATCCCGGATGATGCAATTGAATCTGATTGGTTAAGATAGAATAGTGATGAAAGGATTATCCACTTTCTATTTTGGAAACGCCAAGAATTTTTTGTTACTAGTCTGTCGGGCATATTGGGTTACAAGTTTTGATTGCCCGACATGCAAATGCTCTAGTCCCCGGCGCCAGGCTAGTGGATATTTTAACCCCTGCAAAAGTCGGTAATATGAAAAAAATTGTTACAGGTAAATGAGGTAATCCACTTATTTGATTGGTCATTAATGATCTTCAAAGTAAATTCATATAAATTGATTTGGTTAGTCAGCATTTCCGATTTGAAAGACTTTTCTTACGATTTAATTTGCGTTTTCATTAGTTTCATGACATTTAAGAAAAAACTTTAGAAGAAAACTGTAATGGACTTGTAAGAAAACATTATCATGATTGTTTTATTTAAATTCTGTTTTATTATTTTTTAAATCAGAATTTTTTTTTACGACTGCAGAAAATTTGCGTTCATATATTGCTATCATAATGTCGTCGTTGTTTGAAGACATTTGGTTTCTGTTTAGGAATTAGGGGCCAAAAAAGGCATTTTTCTAGTTTCCGGACAATAACTTGTGTATAAGTGTATGGATCTCTATGAAATTGTACCATAAGGTTCCATACCACAAAGGAAAGGTTGGGATTGACTTTGGGGGTTATAGCCCAAACTGTTCAGGAATTAGGGGCAAAAAAAGGGGAGGAAAACTAAAAAAAAATAATTTAGTTTGTAAACAGATTTACTAAGTATTGCACAACAGCAAAGTATTGCACAACAGGAAGAAATCTTCAATTGAAAATAAGTATAAATCGTTTAACCAATTTCAGTGAGGATTAATTATTTAAAGTCTTGAATTGTTTGAGGTTTTTACCATGTATTACTAAAATTGGATATTCGGACATTTTTAAATAGGTCTACATTGAGGTCCAAAGGGTCCAAAATTAGACTTTGTTTGATTTTATCAAAAACTGAATTCTGGTGGTTCTATGATATGCTGAATCTAACTGTGCATTCAGATTTTTAATTTTGGGCCCTGTTTTCTAATTAGTTCATATTAAGGTCCAAAGGGTCCAAAATTAAACTTTGTTTGAATTTATGTTTTTTTTTATATGCTGAATCTAACCATGGAATAAGTTTTTGGATATTGGACCATTAAGTAGATTAAATGTCCCATTTCAAATTTTTTAAGTTATCTCACCACATTTATTCTGTGTCAGAAATCTATAATGTGTCAAATACAAATGTATTTAATCACTATCCAAATTCAGAGCTATATATATATATCAAGCTTGAATATTGTGTCCATACTTGCCCCAACTGTTCAAAGTGCGACCTCTGCAGTCCTAATCAGCTGCTCAAGGCAGAGCACATTTTTTTATCTTTGCCTGCCAACACTTTTAATATTAAAAATTTAACGATGGCCATTATTTAATTTGTTGATTGTATTTACTTGTGTATAAGACTTTGAAATTACATGTACTAATGATGTAGAAGCACACCTGGAAATGATAATTTCCTTTCAACATGGTTCAAGAACACATGAAGAAAGTTATGTCAATGATAATTTTTCCAAGTAATTAATTGCAACTCTATTACTTTTGCAAGTAGAAGCCTTTTGAATGTTAACATTTTAAAGCAATAGTTTTATTATATGTTTTAGATGTCAAATAGCTATAGTAACTATTCGAATGTGAAAATAAAATAAGAAATGGCCTGATTTATAACCACACAGTTACATCAATCAAAAAACAAATATGACAGCCAGTAACCAACAACAACTGAGTTACTGTCACCTGACATGGGACAGGTATATATTGAATTTTGTGAGCAGCCAAACCTCTCCCTAACCTGGGGCAGTTGTGTAAAAGCAAAACAGAAGAAAAAATGCATACATTATATTTGTTTTTTGGATTGCAATGTACTGGTACTGTTTCTGTACATTATGTTCATGTGCAATGATGATGTTTAAGGAAACAGATAACTTTTAATTGGAAGAAGTAATTATTGATTTTATCATCTTATGTCGTTGCATTGTTGCATTGTCATAAAATTGCATAACCTCCTTTAAAATATCATTTTTGTATCATAAATCAAAGTTTTCTGTATGCAAAATGCTTTAAATATAGTTTTATACAAATGTTACAACCATTAAATTGTGTCTCTTATTTTTTCTCTTTCATCTGAAGAAAGGACACAAAAGTATTACATATTTGTATGTCATCATGTTTATTAATAGAAATATGAAACTTGTTAAATGGAGATCTAGAAGCTACATTTTTGTACATGTAGGTGCATTTCTTGAATTGCAACAATTTGAGAAATTTTGCATATTTATTATAGAATGTAAAAACTTCCACTTCCCATAGACATTCGAAAAGTGTGAATAGATATATATATGAAAACAAGGAAATGTGCTCTGATTAACAATGAGTCAATTTTTCATCAAAGACTCATGAAAACATTTTTTTTGTCTGTGGCCATAATTTCCCTTAAGATTTTGACTGTTCATTATTCAGCCCACAAAATATCATTTTGACCTATATATATATATATATATAAAGATTGAATATATGTACATGTATGATACTTATTTCATTGCAAATAACAGGTTTCTGGAATTATCTTCATAAGGTAATGCTGGAGCAAAAAGTTTAAGAAGCTAGATGCATAAAACATTTAAAAAGTAAAATAACAAAAATACCGAACTCCAAGGAAAATTCAAAACAAAAATTTCTTTATTAAATGGCAAAATCAAAAGCTACAAAGGAACGGAAAACAACTGTCATATTCCTGACTTGGTACAAGCATTTCCTTACGTAGAAAATGGTGGATTAAACCTGGTTTTATAGCTAGCTAAACCTCCCACTTGTATGACAGTCCCATAGAATTTCATTATATTGACAACAATGTGTGAGCAAAACAAAGCTGCAGGCATGCTGAAACCACCTCTTATTATATAGTTTATGAAATTTGCAGTAAGAATGAACCAATTAATTTTTAAAAGTATTTTAAATGGTCTGTGTGTGAAAATAGTGTATTATTTGAAGCCATGACTTGTCATGATCATCTTAATTCAAACCAAAGGCAATCAATAAAAAACTCATAAATCTGGGAAGTTATACAGCTAGAACATGAGTAATGAACTCTATAGCTTATGGATAAAAATTGGAGATTTTGGGACATGTTTAGTAGAACATCAATATGTTATGACGTCAATTGTAAACAAAATACATTAGGAGAATCATACAAAAGAATTTACAGTCTAAATGATGACTATTTGAGTTCGATGTTATAGCGAGAATTGTTGTACATTGAAATAAATGTTATAGTAAGAATTGTACAGATTGAAAAATGGATTACTTTTATGGTTGTCATCATCCATTGAATTTGAATAACCTTGAATAAAATATATGAATAAGTCTGATTAGTATGTTAGTGTAGTACTCAACTGTTCAGAAAAAATAATAAAGACTAGTTCTGTGTCATATATATTGTCAGTTGTTATAAGGAATGAATGGATAAGATAAACTTCATATTACACTGGTTAATAGTTTCATGAAAATCAAATCATTCTAAAATGACATGAAAATATGATTATATGTATTGTAATAAAAACTTCTGACTTCTGTATTAAATTCATATGTATTGCCCTGAGCACAAAGTTATCTTTTTGATAATACAGTGAATTCGTCTTACAAATGTATTTGTATAAATTTAAAGTCAGAGAAAAGTATTATTATTTAAACCCTGTTGAAAATAGTTATTTTTCCTTAGTCTCTTTAATTTGATTACATTTAAAACCAAAGAAGAAATGATGTTTTATGAAATAAGGGAAACTGGAACACAAAATTAAGTTCACTTCAATATTTCAACTTTAAATATAGATCTATATTTGAATTATTGAATGTGAATGTAGTAAATTTGAATCGACTTGTTGGGAATAGTGGCACATCTAACACTTAAACAAAGCTGTAATTTTAATTCATCTGATCAGCTTTTTACTACAATGTTTAACATATTACAAACATTTTTCTACATAAAGAACGTTTAAAAAGTTTGACAAATTAGATGAAAGGTAATAATCTGTTATGATTTATTTTATAGTTTCCTCTTTATAATGTATTAAGAATTTTCAGACAAATTTTGTAAAAATCAGTCTGGATTATACTTACTTATATATTCTAGCAGATACATGTACAACAAATATTCCTTTATGTCTATGTAGGTATAACCTTACTAGACATGCTAGAAGGTACATTGTAGATGCATCAGTTTAATGTGACTTTGAATTTTGAAATATCTTCAACCAGTTATGATAATTTATAATCAGTTATAATTTATTTTGGCATCTATATATACATGATATATACTCTATCAATACAAGAAGAGTTTTGTGACATTTGAAGGCTGTTATTTGATCATGTTAATCAGGAATTCTAAAAAAAATAAAAAAAAAAACTATATGACAGTTAACCGGGTGCGGGAGTTTCTCGCTGCATTGAAGACCCATTGGTGGCCTTCGGCTGTTGTCTGCTCTATGGTCGGGTTGTTGTCTCTTTGACACATTCCCCATTTCCATTCTCAATTTTATACATGTATATAAGAAAGTACAAATAAATTTGATAGAATTCATAAAAATTGAATATTTAGGAAATGAGGGATACATATAATATATTATTTTAGAAATTGACTGATTTCCTTTATAATCTTTATATGGAAAAAATAATAAAAGAATAATTTATATTGTTCTCATTATGTTGCTGAGTATCAGACCATTTTTATACATAGAATAGATAATAGAAAAGTGTAATGTGTCAAATAGACAACAACCCGACCCATGATAAAATGTGAAACAATTTAAACAGAAAACAATAGCCTTATTGATACACTAGTCTAAAAAACAAATTTTTACTTTCAGATTATTCATGAATTTAGCATTTTTGTTTTTCAGAAGGAACTAGAAGATGTGTTTAGAGTTTTTGATGAAGATGCTTCTTTCCAGTATTTAAAATGTTTTCGACGAGTTCGAGTAAACTATATATTACCTGATGCTGCAGTTAAGGCCAGAATACATTTACATGAAACACAAATTTGTGGACAGGTGTCAAAATGCTTTTTTGTTCAGGTAAGTGTATACAAGCATTTTTTTCTTTCTTTTATCTCTACCAGTCAGTGTTGTTTACATTGTCTAAAAATAATCTTCTACCAGTCAGTGTTATTTGTCTTGTCTAAAAATAAATTTCTATAAGTCAGTGTTGTTTACCTTGTCTAAAAATAAACTTCTACCAGTCAGAGTTGTTTGCCTGGTCTAAAAATAAACTTCTACCAGTCAGTGTTGTTTACCTTGTATAAAAATAAACTTCTACCAGTCAGTGTTGTTAACCTTGTCTGAAAATAAACTTCCACTAGTCAGTGTTGTTTACCTTGTCTAAAAATGAACTTCTACCAGTCAGTGTTGTTTACCTTGTCTAAAAATAAACCTACCAGTCAGTGTTGTTTGCCTTGTCTAAAAATAAACTTCTACCAGTCAGTGTTGTTTACCTTGTCTAAAAATAAACCTATCAGTCAGTGTTGTTTACCTTGTTTAAAAATAAACTTCTACCAGTCAGTGTTGTTTACCTTGTCTAGAAATAAACCTACCAGTCAGTGTTGTTTGCCTTGTCTAAAAATAAACTTCTTCCAGTCAGTGTTGTTTACCTTGTCTAAAAATAAACCTACCAGTCAGTGTTGTTTGTCTTGTCTAAAAATAAACTTCTACCACTCAGTGTTGTTCACCTTGTCTAAAAATAAATTTCTACCAGTCAGTGTTGTTTACCTTGTTTAAAAATAAACTTCTACAAGTCAGTGTTGTTAACCTTGTCTAAAAATAAACTTCTACCAGTCAGTGTTGTTTACCTTGTCTAAAAATAAACCTGCCAGTTAGTGTTTTTTACCTTGTCTAAAAATAACTTCTACAAGTCAGTGTTGTTTACGTTGTATAGAAATAAACCTACATGTACCAGTAAGTGTTGTTTGTGTTGTCTAAAAATAAACTTCTACCAGTCAGTGTTGTTAACATTGTCTAAAAATAATCTTCTTCCAGTCAGTGTTGTTTGCCTTGTCTAAAAATAAACTTCTACCAGTCAGTGTTGTTTGCCTTGTCTAAAAATAAACTTCTACCAGTAAGTGTTGTTTTTCTTGTCTAAAATAAACTTCTACCAGTCAGTGTTGTTTGCCTTGTCTAAAAATAAACTTCTACCAGTCTGTGTTGTTTGCTTCGTCTAAAAATGAACTTCTACCAGTCAGTGTTGTTTGCCTTGTCAAAAAATAAACTTCTACCAGTCACAGGGGCGTAGCTAGGCCAATATGATATGTACTCAAGTGCCGGAGGAGGAAGTCAATCGGCAGGGGGGTTTTGGGTAAATGGTGCAAAATCCTGCATTATCGCAATTTCCTGGGACTTAAAATGACCTCACAGAAATCTTATTTTCATGAGCGTTTCTCGTTGTTTATATAGATTAGACCGTTGGTTTTCCCGTTTGAATTGTTTTACACTAGTAATTTTTGGGGCCCTTTATAGCTTGCTGTTCGATGTGAGCCAAGGCTCCGTGTTTGGTCCTCTATGCTCTTCAACTTCGTACTTTATTTGGCCTTTTTAATTTTTTTTTATTCGAGCGTCACTGATGAGTCTTTTGTAGACGAAACGCGCGTCTGGCGCAAATACAAAATTTCAATCCTAGTATCTATGATGAGTTTATCATATTTCCGATTTCTTTTTATTAACTTCCAAACGACAGTCTTTAAATTTTACCAAGTACGGAAAACAAGCACTTTAAATCTCGAAGCATGGAAAATAAGCACTTTTAATCTCGAAGAACGTATAATTAAGTTGGGGGAATACTTTGAACGAGGCACCCGTATTGCACAACCGAACATAAAAATAAAAAAGTAAAAACACGTTGATCGTCAATTTAAATAATAAAAAAAAAAAGGGCAAACACAATGCGCGAAAGTTACCCTTTACCACCCCCGTTAAACTTTAGTCTGACTGGACTGTTTAAAAAATCTGTTATGACGACGTATATGTTATAAAAGACTATCCATACTTCACAGGAAAATCGTGAGAATGAATCGTTGTCCATGGTCTCTTAAGAACGTAATTTTTTATTTCGTCAGTTACTTTGAAATCTTCAGAAACGATGTCAGGACTGGGTAAGGAGGCATAGAATTTCTGACACCTCGAGGACAATTTTAATTGTTTGCATCAGCAACATAATCATGATGCTGGCTCCGTAAATGAAAGGTAATTTCAGGAACGGAATATAGCTACAACGTGATTATTAACATGTTTGTATAATAGTTTTTAATTTAATTTATTACTTTAGTTTTATTCTTACTAGATTTACCATATTTTTATTTTTGTAAAATTTTCGATGTGTACGCAACTGCGTTTTTGCGTACGGGTTGCTACGCGCCTGAGTCAGTGTTGTTTACCTTGTCTAAGAATAAACTTCTACCAGTCAGTGTTAATTGCCTTGTCTAAAAATAAACTCCTACCAGTCAGTGTTGTTTGCCCTGTCTAAATATAAACTTCTACCAGTCAGTGTTGTTTTTCTTGTCTAAGAATAAACTTCTACCAGTCAGTGTTAATTGCCTTGTCTAAAAATAAACTTCTTCATCTTTCAATGATATTATAATTAATAATGTGAAAACTTACCACACATTATTAATGTTTAGATATTTGAAATAATCTGTTTGAATATATGTTTAAGAACCATTATTGGTGGTCGTCATTTAATATGTGAATTCTGATATTATTGCAATGTCTTCATGTATGTGAAGAATGCAAAAGAATGTTGTAAACCTAAAACCCCCCCAATAACATAACGTGAAGATGTCCTTACAGCTGAACTGACGTGCTGGATCAGCTCCTGATTATCTGCTTACTACAATGTGTGGTGCTGAATAGATGGCTCAACGATGTACTACTATGTTTACAGAAACCAACTCAATGCCCTACAGTTAGCATAAAAGTCTGCGTCAGCATACACTCCAAAACCCATTATGGATGGGGCAGTGCTATGCTGTCTGATGTATGAGGGCCCTCGACCCGTGGTGTTGGGTAATGGACCGTCATTTCCCCGTCTCAAGACAGTGGTCCTAATAATGCTTGCTGTAACCATCAATACTACGTCTATGACTCATCCACCAGTACATGTACTACTAAACATGGTTGGCAGGATGCCCAACTGATCGACCTGGCCCTGAAAATAGCCATTGTGAAGAAGACCTTCAAAAACCAAAATTGTCAACAAACAAAATTGACACACAATAAAACAAAATGAATGCCTTCTTCCTGACCAACTTACGACAACAAAAAACATTTAAATGCTCACCAAGTCGACTGTGGAAGGGCTTAATAGCCAGTCATGGTCATTAAAAACCACCCAGTAGAAGTAAAAGATGTACATTAACTGTATATTCAGGACAATAACATGTTAATGTCAAATGAATCAACCCTGGTTTGTTTAATGTACATGTATATGACTGATATCGCTGAGCCAGGCTATTCACATGCTAGCTAACAAAGAGCAGTTTGCAGGAAGAAATCATACAGACACATTATTCAAACTTTGATGTGACCAGTTTGTGCTGCATATTTAGCATAGAGATAACACTCCTTTGCTATGACCTTGCTAATAGGTCAATTTAATATTATTTCTTGCCATTTAACCAATATCCTTTTTTCTCAATATACTTTCTATTAAAGTTGCTTGCATAATGATATATTTAGGAAAATGATATTATTGGCATTATTTTTCTGTTGCCTCTATATTTTCCAAATCACACTAAAAAGTATTCAAAAACAGCACAGATATTTATATGCTATAAGTGATGTTTGTCTAAAATTAATGTTAAAATTACATCTACAATTTTGTTATAAATTGACTTACTGTTTCTTTGCAGTACTATTACATGTATTATGTAAATTTTGTCTTATTTCATCCTCTCTAAGGATTAATTTTCCTAAAAATCATATCTATGTAATGAAAAAAGAGATATAATGTATTAATGCATGATACAAAATCCCAGCATGCACTTGTAAAAACCCAAAATGAAATGATAAGTGCTTGAATACAAGGATATATGCTTTTCAGAATAGATCAGGTGTATAATTCATGTGTATTTTGAAAATTTTCTAAATTTTCCATAAATGTCACTATATTTTACAGAGGACAATGTGTTAGCTTGATTTTAAAAACTCTAAAAAAATATAATGCTTCTGATTAAAACATATAAGAATTGTTATTCCATTGATAGATTCAGCTCTTAATTTTTAATTTTCAGCCAATACATACCAGTGGAGGTAACAGTCCTCATCTGAAGTTACCACCACTTACAAAACAATTCCTCATCTCACCACCAGCCTCACCACCTTTAGACTGGGAACCAGTGCATGAAGCTGAACCAGTCATTAATTTTGATCTGTTACATGCCATGGCCAATCTTGCTCCAGGTTGGTAGAATATTTTTGATGGACAATACATGTTGTTAATTTTGTTAAAAATTGAAGTGCTGCAGAGGTTTGAAAAAAGTTATTTCCCTTGATGAAGTGTTAGGTAGGCATATATTTATAGTCTGTATGGACCCAAATCCTTTTGAGGCCTTTGGTCAGAGCAAACTTTTCATATTGACATTTTTATACCTATTTACATATTACATAACGTCACAGTACCCAAATTGCACCGAGTACCCAAATTGCATCTATTCAACAAAAATAGCTGAGGAAATCTTGTAAGTTTTCTTTGAGACTAAACAATTGGTATTTTTATGATTTGACATTATACAAGTCTTTCAACACAGGTCAATATATTTAAATATACACAAAACGTTCACAGTATATATCAACAGATGAAGCATTCCCTGGAAAAAGGTAAATCTACAGAAACGTCGCCATGCGACGTTCTCAAAATATCATCTTTTAAAAATGAGCAAATTAAACATGTTACAAGCATCCATTTCTTAAAAAATGAATAGTAAGCATAGGATAATGTCACATTGTTCAAAATATTTGAAGAAATAAAACAAAACATCTGTTATTCGATTTTTAAGGATATGAATTTAAACAAGGATGCAATTTGGGTACTCCTCATTACAGAATCATGGATCGTTTGGTGGTCAGTTCAAACCCATTTTTCTATGATTCAATATGGATTCAAAATTAAATTGGTGTAACTATATATATAGTAAATAAGGTCTACAAAATAAACACAGAATGGAAACTTTTGTCTAGATCATAAAAAAAAGTAGGTGAAAAAACTGTCAAAATAGGTGCAATTTGGGTACCTCATGTTACATGTATTTGATATCATAATAATACAAATCCTATGAGCTTTTTAACAGATAGTTTTGGTGTTTGGCCGTTCTTTGCACATTGCATAACCTTTTCAATAATTTGTTAATTTTCTATAGATAGTCAAAATGCTATTATTGTCATTTTTTTATTGCAGAAACTAGTTAATGATTTGTTCTTTTATCATGATTATCATAATCTCAACATTCTAAAATAGATATAAAGAATACATGTAAATGGATAGAGTAAGAACAGCTATTAATGGTTTACTTTTATAAATTTTGACTTGGATGGAGAGTTGTCTCATTCGCACTCATACCACATCTTCTTTTATATATCTATTAAACAACACTAGTATTAACTTAAAGGAATACATTCTCATTATTAAAACGATAAAATTCTTTGGCAAAACAGAAAAGCACTAATATCATCTGATGGAAAGAATAGACAATAGTTGTCACATTCCTGACTTCAGAAAGGCAAGTAAGTATACCCACAGGAACAATAGTATGTACTTGGCATTAGCAGAATGAAATTTATTCCTTTTTAAATCAAAAATTATTATTGTAGAGCATTGTACTTAAGAATAACATGAACCCATGGTTGTCAGACATGAGTAGCTGTTTGCTAGTAAAAGTAGTCATTTATGTGTACCTAATCTAATTTAGAAACATTGTAATCTGTGTCTTAAGTAGGTCATTAGTTGAAGCATGCTACATAATAGGTTAATTATAAATCTCCAGTCTTTAAATAATTGTACAATTTCCTGTCATTGATTCTAAAGTAAATATGGAAAGATTCATTATATTACTCGATTTTGACTTGATTGAGGCAATATGACATTGATTTCAAATAAAATGAATATCATTCATAAGGAAAAGACAGACCCTTCAGCAGTGTTTAAACATTTAATTAGGAAAATTAAGAGTAAGGTTTATGTACATTGAATTTAGAACAGAAGTTTGAAGTGTATACCAGAAATTCCTAGTAACAGATGCTATTAAATTTGACAATTAATCATTTCAAGTGAAATGGATCCAGTAATAAAATCCTCAGAAAACACGATCTGATAGACCAAAAGTTTAAAATCATAACATTGTTTCTTGTTATTGATTTCAAAGTAAATCCTATAATAAAGAATTGATTGCTGATTTTGTCAAGTTTAAAGCAACATAAATCAAGTCACATTGCACATTGCATTTTTACTTTAAAAATGTGATATTTCTCTTTACTCTCTTGCTTTCTTAGTGCCTAAAATTTGTGTAATCAACAATCAATTCTTATATTTACATTTAAATATTTATAAATATCAAGCATATATAGGTAAAGTGGTCAGGAAATATTCAGTAGTGTTAATTAATTTTAGTAGAGTTAACCATACTTGTTTAACTTGTATTGAATCTGTGGTGGCCGCAAGCGGAACATGCTTTAAAATGGTAACCACAATAAGAAAGTTTGTGATGAAAACTTTAAAAGTAGTTAATAAAAAATCATATGTGTAAAATACCTAGTTTATCATTATATAAATTATCTGCCTTCATGGTTTTTGGGACTAGAAGATAGACTTTATTATTATGCCCCACCTAGGGGCATTATGTTTTTCGGTCTGTGCGTCCATCCGTTCGTTCGTCCGTCCATCCGTCTGTCCTGCTTCAGGTTAAAGTTTTTGGTCAAGGTAGTTTTTGATGAAGTTGAAGTCCAATCAACTTGAAACTTAGTACACATGTTCCCTATGATATGATCTTTCTAATTTTAATGCCAAATTAGAGTTTTTACCCCAATTTCACGGTCCACTGAACATAGAAAATGATAGTGCGAGATGGGGATCCATGTACTATGGACACATTCTTGTTAGTTCTCTAGAAATTATAACCAATAGATATTTGATATGTATAAAATATGTAGATGTGATATAATTGCCAATGATTGTCTCTCAACAAAGAGGAAGTGTCAAGGCTGAAGGCAACTTGGCATTAATTTTTAAAACAATAAACATCATGCGCAAATAATTTTTTTTCTTTAATTTTGCAGGTCAAAGTCATGAACTTCATCCTCAGTCAGACAAACATCCAGCCATTGTTGTACATATTTGTGAAGACTCCTCAGACCCAGACATGAACCAACCTCCAAAGATTATCCAAACACGTAGACCACCATAGTTTGAAATCATACTTTATATTTGACAGAAAACTTTTCCAAGAATTTGTTCATGGCAAATATGTATTCTGCATTTGTTACCATTGACAACCTATGTTGCCATTTGTTGGACATCAAAAACCAATGTTCAAAACATGTATTACTTAATAGGTGTCTTATATGTAGATTTTATTTTTACAAATATTTTGAAAAAATGTTTGAAAATCGAAACTTATTTTTGCTAAAGGTCTGCATTTCTCCTTTTGGGAACTGGAAAGTTTTAATATGTGGTAATATATGAGTTATGATAGGTCTGTCAAACATTTTATCCTTCAATGGGGAAAGAGATGAGGTAAGCCAAAAAAAAAATAATACAAAATAAAGAATTTCAGACTATTGAATATTATAGTCAACCAAAAGGTTTATTTCTGATGTCGCTTTGTTCTTTTTGTGTTTTTTTTACAATTTTTAATTATTTCAGAATTAATAAGCTCTTAATTATAATTGTCTGGCAGTAATTCTAAAGGTCTGTTGGTTGTTGACAAAGTTCCTGTGAAATATAGATTGGTACAGTGACAGGCTGTCCTTGAATTGACTAAATGTAAAATAAAAATCATACCTATCGTAATTATAATATATGAAATAGGAATAAATTGAGTTATATGGCAAATATCAGTGTAACAGCAAAACAACGTTAAAATAGTAAAAAAAAAAAGACATTAGGAGGACATCTTGATAAGGCAATAATTTATCTTACAATTTTTGGCAATGATAACTGAAAGCAAACATTTCTGAATGTAAACATGGTAAAGATTACACCGCACTTCCTTTTATTCATACTTAAAGATGTAAAGTGAAATTAAAAAAAATCTAGAATTTAAAATTGATACTATAAGTCAGAAGAGCATTAGTTAAGGAACAAAATAAGCTAAAAATATTGATAGGTTATGGAGCTCCTTTCCGAAATATTTAATTTTTTTTAAATGGCAGGAAAAGGCTGACTCGGACTTTTACCTTATATTTGTATTGGTATCATTTGGTTCTCAAATTGAAAGAAAAGAAATCTAGAATCTGCTTTAATTTTGGTAAATGACCTTTTATGGGCTATTGAAGTCTTATATGAAAAGAAAAATGGGTGTTATCGGGCAAAATATTTTACCCTGTATCGTAGGAAAAACCCAATGAGTCCGAACATCTGACAAGAATTCCTAAACCTGACCTTAGTACATCCTTAAATTCATTTTTTTTATCAAATGCTCAACTTTATTTAGAATATTATGTCAATCATTTGAAATTTTGAATTTTTTTATTGATAATTTTCTGGTTTACAAATTTTATGTTGGTACTTGTTCTTAACATTTACATATAATTTAATTTTGGATGTAATGCGTCTTCTGATTGGCTGACAGTGTTTTGTCTATCAGCTCATAGACACAATTTGTCATGTAACCGTGACGTCATCAACGTTTTTCATTATTTACTCCGGTATAAAATGCAATTTAGAATTAAATTATAAGGAATGACTGTAATATTTTTTCTGTTTATTCGAAATAACATAAAAAATGTTGTGCACACTTTAAAATAACCTGCTATGTGGGTTATTCAGTGTGCACCACATTTTTTATGTTTTTTCTTCATAGACAGAAAAAATATTACAGTCATTCCTTAAATGAAATGAAGTATTTTAAAAGTTACATTTATGATAAAAATAAAAATAAAAAAACAATTACCATTCAGAAGTATTTTCTAAAAGCAAGGCAATATAGGACAGACTTGTATAAATAATATTTAGAAAGTTGTCACTAGTCATCTTTATTTAGTATTGTCAGTACTTGCATGTAGTTTGGAAAAATATATTGTTAAACACTGGTGCTAGATAAATGTATATAACAAATATGTACATGTAATGTAGTTGTATAAAAATGTGCCATGTTTTGTTGTTGCAGAAAAATCTTCTATTTGAATATGTATTGGTTTTTCATGCTTAACCTTTCTACATGATTCAGGGAAAAGCTATAAAGGGTTGATGGACAAAAATCTCCCCCCCAAAAAAAAACGAAAAAAAAACAGCTGGGCCTTTAAAATTTTGAAAACAGGAATCATGAAGCCTATTGTTTGATTGTGGGGCCATAATATTTGTTCGGAGTCACTACATTTGTCTAAATAGGGTCCTAGCTGGCTACATTAATAACATGCTTTTTTGTTCTTGGAATTTTGATTTATTTCAGAAAAGGACAAGTACTACTGTAGTACCAAGTTTGGTTAACCAGATTTTTTTGTTTCTGTGGACAGGTTTTCTTGAGATTTTCTCTCTGACTTTCTAGCTTCACTTAAAATAGCTGCTTCTAAATTGTAACTTCCTAAAGTTCTCTTTTGGTGTCAACTGTGTATTTTTTTTCATAACTCCTGGAGGGCTGAATTGATCCACTCTTGTGTCAGAGTATTTTGTATTTCTCATTTTATCAATAGTGGTTTCAATAACAGTTAAATCATTTCTTTTAGCTGGTGGTCCTAATTCTTCAGACCAGTTTTTCTACAGTATTTACATTAAGATCCTTACAACTTGTTAAAAATATATATTTGTTTTTTACAATATTGATAGAATGCTACCATTAAAGGCCATAATGTTTTGAAAACTATTCTTTCAATAGTCAGCTGCATTTCGTTTTATGAATGTATAATCATGATAATAGTAGTAGAAATAGGGGGTGTTTAACAATTTATAATGATCAAATTATTAGAATGTATATTGCAAAACACTGACTCATCAACACTCCATTAATTCTAAGAATTCAAGAGGCTGATTTGATTGTTCCTTGCAAAAGTCAGTTTCATCTCATAAGGTTAGAAATTTGTAAGATGAGGCGATTGATTCAATGAATAAAAGTTTGCACTTCTGTGTAATAAATTATATCATTTCAGTAGATGCTTTTTCTGTAGATCATCAATACTGAAGTGCTGATTGTATTTTGTATGAAAGTAAATATAAAAATATAACAGGGTAAAATTGAAGCATTAAACGTTTTGTTGTTAATCATCATAATATGTATAGCAATTAACAGGTGTTCTTGTCATCAATTCAATTGTATATGTAGAATGACAGAGTCATATTAACTTTGAGTTTTTTTAATGTCTTTTATATGGCCATATGTGGTAATACCATCACTTGGTATCCAATGTCCATCTTATAATCGTCTCTTATAGGGAATCACTTAAGGATTAAAACCTAACTAATTATAGATCCTCATTACTGAATAATTCCTGGCCAAATGTTACTTTGATATCATTCTACCTTCCAAAACACCTAACCAGGTCTCTGGTGAAAACTTTTAAACACCTTTTGCAGAACTGGTTAAGGAGATCAAACCAGTTTTGACACAATAGGGATCCTTTTGGGGGAAGGTTTAAGGAGTGTTGAACACCAAAATAGCATTCCTGCCTGCAGAAAACTTTGTTTTTACATTGAACCATGTGTGAACTATTCAGATAAGTATTCTTAAGATTACTTTATTAGACAAAACCAAAAAACTAAAAAGTGCTTTTAAACATGTCATGGGCAGCATTAGTTCATGTGTTTCTAAATTTATGATTTCATTCATTAACTAACAAAATGATGCAAATCTTTCATTTAATAGGTAATGAAAGTTTGGGTTACTAATTATAAGTTGACCTTTAATATAGTTTGATCGAACTGATGATGGTATTTTTGTGGTTTATTTGGGAATTACTGTTAATTAATATGATTATAAGTTGGTATAATAGTTTACAGTGCAGTTTGTTTGTTTGTAAACATTTTTATGGAGGTCTAAGTTATATGCTTTTTGACTGTAAAATGATCTCAGTATAAAATTTATTTTTTTAAGAACACATTTTTTATGAAACAACTCATACCACTTTTTTGCAGCCTCTGTCATTGCTCAGTCCATATACATGCATGACAGACATTTAACCTCCGTGTCTGCTGAATATTCAGATAATGGGAAAATCAGAGTAAAATTTCTGTCATGAAAATTATGGGTCTTATAGAGTATTAGAACCGTAAACAAGTAATTTTAAGCATATAGTTTTTCTCCATAATTATTTTGATGATATTTAAAAGTGACTTGTAAAATACAACCTCATTATAATAACTGTTGTGTATTGTGGCATTTATTTATTCATTGGTACCAGTTTTTTGTAATTAATGAGGGAAAAACTGGAGTCTGATTGCATTTTGGGCAGTTTTTTTTAGATTTGCAGAATTGAAGTGGAAAAAATTACCTGATTATTTGCATGGTTTTAATGAACTTCTGGAACCCTAACTTTAGTCGTTCTTGTTTCTTGATGTCATTGTTTATCAAGGAGTTTTTATTCAGTAGTTTAAATTGAATTTATTCATAGCTTTTCTATAGTCAGAACTATTTAGAGCTTTACAAATGGAATGGGAGGCTTATCAAGGAATACTGCAGTCTTCACAATTAACCACAAGCTGTACAGCTCAGGCCAGAAAAAAGGTGTTTGGCCAGTAAAATTTTTATAAAAAGATGCCTCACAAGCCATGTTAATTTATGGAAATTTTATGAAAGGCTGATTTTAGGGTTTGAACATCTAGAAATTTTCATGAAGACTGTGACTGTATGTTGACATCTGTTTGTTTTTTATTTGGGATATATTGAATTGCTGGGTTGCTGTCTCTTTGATGTTTACCTCTCAATCCTCTCCTATTTGTAAAATCACTAGAAATTACTTTCACAGTTATCATACAAACTGTATAACATTGCATAATGCTTAGATATTTATACAAATTGTTTTGTTGTTTTACGTTTGTTAATTGTTCATTATAATTGTGTATTTACATGAATGAACAGAACTGCCTATAATAAATATGAAAACCATTTGTATTTGTAGTGTTGGCATTAAATAAATTTCTTAGAAAGTAAATTCCAACTAGAGCTGTCCGCATAACGTGGCTAATACATGTGTTTTAGTTGCTGTTGTGGATTTCAGTATTGAGATAATGACATTTTGAGATTTTTGGTTTTCATCGTAGGTTTCAAAGGTCCAGGTCAAGGTTGGAGTGACCTGATTTTAGTATTTAACACATCCCTATCCCTTACAAAGTTTTGTCATTCTAAGTGCTATGGTACAAAAGTTATGCACCATATGCAAAGCAGACAATGTTTTACTCTCAGGGTTCAAAGGTCAAAGTTAAGCTCAGAGTGACCTGACTTTGATATATGACGCATCCAAATCCATGACAAATCAGTTTGGTATGGTACAAAGTTATGCACAGGACACTAATAAGACCTGGTTTTACTATCATAGGGTTCAAAGGTTATAGTCAAGGTGACATGACTTTGGTATATGACATACCCCCAGACCATGATGCAACTGCATGTCAAGTTTGGTTTACCTAAGTTTTATGGTACAGAAGTTATGAGCCTGACTCAAATTAGACAATGTTTTACTATCATAGGGGTCAAAGTCATGGTCAGTATGATGCTTCTGCATACATTTTTTTTTTCAATCTATGTGCTACGGTACAAAAGTTGTACACAACCGAAATCAGATAATGTTTTACTATCACAGGGGTCAAAGTCAAGGTCAAGGTCAGAGATACCTGACAAGTATATGACACACTCTTAGCCAATGATGCATCTGCATACTAAGTTTGATCAACTTAAGTTCTACAATACAAAAGATATGTCTAGGAAACAAATCCAACAAGATTTTTTCTATCATAGGGGTCAAAAGGCAAAGTCAAGATCAGAGAGACCTGACTGGTAAATGACACCCCCTAGCCAATGATGCATCTACATACTAAGTTTAATCATCAAGTTCTACAGTACAAAAGATTTTTGCAGGAAACAAATCAGACAAGGTTTTACAATCATAGGGGTCAAAGGTGAAAGTAAAGGTCAGAGAGACCTGCATTTGGTATATGACACACCCTGTTTATACTAAACAAATTAATATTTATTGAGATTCATTCTAATAGGTTTAACATGTTCACACTAAGAAAACTTTGATTGTGATCAATTTGAGTCACATTAAACATATTGAAAGAGTCCGTACTAAAAAAGATCCATAAAAATCAGGGGCGTAAACCAATAATAAATATGAACAATTAAATCCTTTACAATCAGTTCAAATTATCTTAACCTACACATGCATTTACTTACCACTAGAAATTGTTCTGACAAAATATTTTTAATGAAAACAACAGAATCTATCACAATCAATTAAGATCAATTCAATTGAGAACAAATGAACCAATAAAGATCGATCACAATCAGTTTATATGCTATGAAATGATAATCCAAACTGATGTTAAAAGACCTGCTTTTATTTGCATTGATCTAAACTGAAATATGAACATCCTTTTACAATATAGAAATGGACTAAAAAATATATTTCTAGTATAGTTAAAGGGAACCAAACCTTCTTTTAAGTGCATTTATGGATAATCCTTTTCAAAATAGTCAAAGACCAAAATTGGAAAGCCAATCATGCATGAATACATGGGCAATAGTAAATCAAAAGTAGATGAATGATTATTTATATTTAATGCTCAAGTCACTACAATATTTTCAATAGTTAAGGAAATCTCATTTATAGGATCACCTCTTTAGTATTCATCCATTGAACCTATCTAGTCTCACTATTTTTAATATATACCACCTTTGATAAGTGTTTAGTATGACGATAAATTTTCACTTTTGTTCTCGTACTAGGAACAACAAAATTATTCATTTTGTAAAAATTATTTCTGTACTCCATGTATACCTTACAACAAAATTATTTTCATTTACCTGTGTACGTTATTTTATTTTGCGGCATTTTGTCCTAGGTTATGGTTGTCTTTTTGATATTGTTTTACATCTAACCCCTTTGTTTTATTAATTTTGTATTAACATTGTGTCCTAGATCAAATTTATTCGTTAAGTGTATGTTCACTTGTCTTTATACAACCGCAAAAAACTTTTGCGGTTGTATATTGGTATGATGTTGGCGTCGTCGTCCGAAGACACATTGGTTTTCCCATAATAACTTCAGTTTAAGTGAATGGATCTCTATGAAATTTTACCATAAGGTTCAATACCACAAAAGGAAGGTTGGGATTGATTTTGGGGGTTATGGTACCAACTGTTAAGGAATAAGGGGCAAAAAATAAGCATTTTTCTAGTTTCCAGACAATAACTTGTAGAACGGTGTATGGATCTCTCTGAAATTATACCACAAGTTTCCATACCACAAAGGGATGGTTAGGGTTTGCTTTGGGGGGGTTATGGCTCAAACCATTTAGGAATTAGGGGCAATAAAGGGGATAAACAAGGGTGTCCTGGTTAATGGACAATAACTTTAGTACAAAACATAATTTAAAGCAGTGTTAGGGAGGTAATACAAATACATCATTTGAATTACCTCCCTTACACTGCTTTTAAATTATGTTTAAAGTAATGGTTAATGAACAATTAAGACAATTTAAAAGCAGTGTAAGGGAGGTAATCTAAATACAACGTTTTGATTACCTCCCTTACACTGCTTTTAAATTATGTTTATAGAAATGCATATTTATAAAGGAAGACCAGTAAAAATATCTGCAAATGTTGCACCATTTTTTTTTACAAAAAAATTCATATGAAAGGTTTGACACCATATATTAAATTCTATTATAAAATAGATTAAGTAAGCACTATGGTAAATTTAAATGGGTAATTATGGTTGCAAACTTGCAAACTCCATTGGAAATTTGAATTGAGATTATGACCATATCTTGAGGGAAAGAAATTTTTTAGGGAAAAAGGGGGGGGGGGGGGTGGGGGGTGTAAAAAAGAAATTGTGGGGAGTCAATTTTTTCTCATTTCAGATTTCAGAAATTAAAAAGAAAAATTCTTCAAATATTATTTCTTTTGCAAAAAAAAAGTGTGTGTGTGTTGTGTGTGGGGGGGGGGGGGGGGGGCTGGTTGTTAATACACAACAGAATAGTGTATTGCACAAAAGCAAAAAAAAAAGGGGGGGAGGGTCAATTCGATACAGCAAAGTGTATTGCACAAAAGCAAAAAATTGAATATAAATTCAAATCATATAACCAATTCTAAGTTCTTTGACTACAGTTATTCTGTGTCAGAAACCTATTATGTGTCAAATATTTAATTACAATCCAAATTCAGACCTGTATCAAGCGCGAATATTGTGTCAATTTTTGCCCCAACTGTTCAGGGTTGGACCTCTGCAGTCGTATTCAGCTGCACTCGGCAAAGCAATTTATTGTTAATATGTCTTTTGATTGAGTTAAGCCCTTTCAATTGATATTTTATAGTGTGTCTTTTTATGTTGTGATGTTACACTATTGTTTCAGGTAGGGTGAGATTGGCGCCTATTAAAACGTTTAACCCCGCCACATTCTATATGTGCCTCTCCTAAGTCAGGAGCCTGTAATTGAGTGGTTGTCTTTTTTGCTGTTTCTCATATTTGTTTTTCGTTTATTATCTGCACACTTTGTTCTTATGTTTTACCGTCACATCACTGTCCCAGGTTATGGGGAGGGTTTAGCGGCAAAAAACTAGTTCAAACCCGCTGCATTTGTTTGCACCTGTCCTAAGTCAGGAACCTGATGTTCAGTGGTTGTCGTTTGTTAATGTGGTTCATAAGTGTTTCTCATTTCAGATTTTTTATAAAGATTAGACCGTTGGTTTTTCCTGTTTGAATGGTTTTACACTAGTCATTTTTGGGGCCCTTTATAGCTAGCTGTTTGGTGTGAGCCAAGGCTCCGTTTTGAAGGCCGTACTTTGACCTATAATGGTTTACTTTTACAAATTGTGACTTGGATGGAGAGTGTCTCATTGGCACTCATACCACATCTTCTTATATCTATTTACCTGAAAAATCAGTATCTAGCTGAAATTTGGTCACTCTGACCTATTTTTAATGCTCTACTGACATCACTTAACATCAAAATTTCATATTTCACTCCACATTAAGTGCAACCAAACATTCTGAGACAGGATAAAGATAAACAGACAAATTAAAGATCAATAAAATAACAAATTATAAGGTCATCTTAACTTGCATACAATAAACCTTTGATGTAAGTATAGATGACCTTATGAGTTGGTAAATATGCTGAAACTCTGAAATTCTGTAAATGCTTTGTTGACTAAGTCTAGCTTATATCAAATATTATAAAATGTAGGTCATCTAGCCTTGCATGTAGTTACTGACCATATGAGACCCTCATGGGTAGTCAAGGTCGTTATACACCCCTCTAGTAGTACCTGCATGTAGATATTCTTTATTGAGTTTGTCACCGTCCTGGAAGAAGTAGGTTAGCTAAACTCACTTTACTTGCTGTACTAAACTTTGGGTCAATTTTTCAACATTTTTAACTCTTACACATATCACCATTAAAGCAAATTAAAGCATCACCTTAACTTGCATGGACCGAGGTATCTGTTTCGGAGAAGGTCAGAAACATGGAAAAAGAACTGAGAAGTCAGTCTATTTCCATCTTAATATGTCATATAGATCAAGGTTAACTGAGGAAGTTGTATAAAGAAATATATGATAAAATCTTGCATATAAAGGTGGAAAACTGCCAAAATACAACATCTTCCAAAATAACCTCTTAAAGCTGTTATCCTAATGCTAGCAAGTTAAAGGTTTGGTTGGCTTGCTTGCTTTGTTTGTATACATGTTTGCTCAAGCATAGTAACTAAGATTGAACAAGCTGAAACCCCGCCTATCTATTGATAGCAGATGTCAATCTTAGTTACAATGCTAGAGCAAATATTTATACAAACAAAGCAAGCAAGTCAACCAAACCTTTAACTTGCTAGCATTAGAATAACAGCTTTAAGTATGGTTAATCTAGAGATGATTGCACACACACAGTAATCCATAACCTTATTATTAAAGACAAGAAAACATCTTAGATTTTTATTCTCTTCAGTTTCATAAAAATGCAAGTTCAATACAAAACAACCATATATATCAGCCATAAAACTTTCATACTCACAAATAAGCAATCTTTAACATGGTTGGTCTACATAAATATATAATCACAGCTTCCATATCAACATGGTTAAAAATATAACAATGAATAAGTTACTGAATTCTGAAAGAAATGCCCCCAAAAGTACAAAAGGACATTTAAAAAATTTTAAAAACCTTATTTTTTCTTTAAACTCTGTCTTAAATCAATGATATTGATAGAAATGAAAAACATATTTGAAAATTTGTTATTCTTTATATAAATGATGGAATGTTATCAGAAACTACCATTACAAAAAAAAATTCAACAACTTCATAGACATCAAGAATCCACTCTGTCAAAATTTTGCTAAAAATAACTGCACTGTTATTAAATGTACCATCTTGACCAGATAAAACAAAGAACTGATGAAATCTTTAGGTAGAGATATTTTTATTCTACCCTTTAAATACTCTGACAACTGTTGCATGATAATTTGTTTTGATTCTAAATATTATGTTATTCACAGACTGAAGGATACTTTGGAAAAAAAATCTTCCTATTAATCCCCCCCCCCCCCCCCCCCCCCTCCAAAAAAAAAAACAAAAAAAACTCAAAAAAAACTCGAAACAAAAATTAAATTAAACCCATACAAAGCAGTTACTAGATTCCATCCAAATTAACTTTAAAACTATCTACTTTCTTCCAATCTGTGTGTTCTTCAGATTTCTTTATGAGAAATTCAAGCATCTCTGAACGCTGAATGTTGTTTACTATCATAAAACACAGTGACGTTTCCATCAGAAACTCACCATTAATATTCTAAGTCATATTTACATGTATGTATGTACATAAAATAAATACTAAAACAGACAAATTCAAAACTGTAAATAAAAGCAACAACAACAATGATAGATAAATATAACTTCACAACACATGTGTACTTGTATGTGATATACTATAATTAGGAATGTTGTATATATGTGATAAGTCATGAATATTCATGAAGACGTAATTCAAGTAAAGTAATGCTGATTAAAAAAATTAAATTAACAAAATTCTGATTATTAGAATTAAAATCCAACTTTGATTTATGAAAACAAATTAATATCTAATATGTACAATGATCAGTAACTTGAACGATTTGCCTTTGATCCATTTGTCTGATATTAACGGTAAAATTAACACTACCATGATACACAAATAAAACCAAAATAATGGCATTTTCAAAATTCTCAATAGTTACAGAACAGATGTCAAGAATCTGACCTTGATCTATACGACTAACTGAGAAATTAGAGATAATTTCTGTCTAGACCTTTAAAAACAACCCTTATTTTATATTCATTAATGATGTGAGATTGTTTGCAATAATTCATTTAACATAAATATACTGTTAGTAGCAGTGGCAGATCCAGAACTTTTCATAAGGGGGGCCCGCTCCAGTCATTTTTCAGTGATTCCCTATATAATCAACCAAATTTTTCCCACGAAAGGGGGGCCCGGGCCCCCCAGGATCCGCCTATGAGAAGGAAAGTAAAAGGACAAATATGAGGCAATACTTACATTTGTCAAAACACGTCATACCAAAATTATAAACATCTCAATAGCACTTTATAATATATCACACCAAATGTTTGCACTATAGTTACCTAAAAAGAATTGATTTTCAAGATGAAAAGGAAAATATTATACATTTTATATTTCTTGGTAGCATGTTAATAGTTTGTGTCCTAATGAATCTTTAATTTTGGCATTCTAGCACTTGTTGCTTTCAACTTGTCCACAATAGACAACTTATATAACTAGATCAAGGAAGAAAACATCTATCTTTTTTTGTACGTTTACATTGCACAAAAAATGTTTTTTAAATGTTTACATGAGGTTAGATCTGTGAGCGTATTACATGTATAATATTTACAACAACTGCTGCTACCTAATAATACTATTAGCCTATGATTAAATATTGCACTTGATCTTTGGAAAAATGGAAGGTGATCAACTTTAATTTACAGCAGCATCTTTCATGAATTGAAATGAAATTTAAAATTATAGAATTTTATAAAGATGAAAAGATGATTAATCATATGCACTAAAACAAATTCTTACAGTTTGAGAAGATAAAAAAAACACACATAATAAAATTATTCTGGTCAAGAAAATCCTGACTTCAAATGTAAAAACTGCATGAAAAAAAAAAATCTAGTGCCATGTCAATCAGAAATCAAAGCAGATGAAAACAATACTTATTTAAATTTATAGATCTATAAGAGCCTAGGACTCACTCATAAATTGACTACTAGTGACACAGGAATTCTAGTTATACTATTTATACCGTATCTTACTATTAAAATCTAGATCTAAATACCAAAAACAAATTGAGAATGTGCAAGTGCACTTCGTGGTACTAAGGTAATATAAAATACAAATGGCTTAAATCCAATAAAAAGTTTCCATGAAATTGTTAGCAAATATTTCACTAATCAGGGGAACCCCCAATTATTTAAATCTCTCCACTTAGAAACCCTAAATGGAGAATTTAAATTCAGAATGTATTACTTCAAAGAACCATGATACAGGTCTGGCTGAGATCAGTAGTTAATGATCATTCTGTTGTATGTCCCTTCATAATATAAGTTCCTAATACAAATACTTAAAAAAACATTATGGAAAATCTTTGTTCCAAACAGTTCAAGACAAAATGCAGTATATGAAGCAGTTACTTTGCTTTTTTGGTCACTGAAACCACTATCAAAATTATCAATAGCTACTTATAAGATTCACAAATTCTCATACTATATGTGTTTCTATATAAGATATCACAGATTAAAAAACATAGGTCAGTTTTGTTCAGACTAGTTGGTGGGACAAGAAAATAACAAAGTAGCATGTGAGTATGTTACATAAATGGGTAAACAACTTATTCTATTACTGTTTAGTATTGAGCATATGTTTGAAAAAACTGATAACTCGAAAAATAAATCTTTTCACAGATAGTTACATAAACAAACATAATGTATCATCTGACAGATTATTTACATGAATAAGTAATTTTGACATTGATTATAAAAAAAGTTTTTGATAAGAAAGAAAGCAATACAAAAGATTTACAGAAATCATTAAACTGATCATCCTATTTTGGAAAACACTATACAAAACATTATCAAAAGTGAACAATTTTTAATCTGCCTTGGTATACTAATAGGAGAGGAAAAGAACAACTCAAATTTGGTGCTTCTAAATCTTCTTCTGGAGCCCATATGTAAGAAGACACTGCAAGATGGGTAATTCAAAGTATTTCAAACTTATGTTTAAAATATATCTACACATGTATTAGTCATTATTAAATATCCATACAGGAAACAACAAGAACAAACCAATTTCAAAATGCCAATGTTTATATATATATGTCATCTATAAATCAAGAAAGAAACAGATTCCACATCTGTTAGTTTTGCTCTTAACATTTAAATGTCAAATATTTATTCAACTGCTGTGAATAGAAAAATATATATCACTTCATGCAGAGGCAAATTGTGCTTCAAAAGTTGTATCAAAATTTCTACACTTTAAAGGAACCTATAAAATTGAGAATGGAAATAAAGAATATGTCAAAGAGACAACAACCCGACCAAAGAGCAGACAACAGCCGAAGGCCACCAATGGGTCTTCAATGCAGCGAGAAAATCCCGCACCTGGAGGTGGTCCTCAGCTGATTTTGTTTTGAAATTAACTTATGCCTAGTTCTGGTTCCTTGTCTGGGTTCAGCTTTACTTTTGGTCCTTTTTGGTTTTATCAGGCTCTTCAATGTTTGTATCAGGTTTTGGATATTCAATATTTTGGCCTAAAGCATCACCAACTTGTAGAAATGTTCAACTGGTGCAGTAAAATTGGTACCATTAATGTTATTATAATAAACAAAACCCAAGAAAGTTTTTCATAATAAAATTTGCTGACTTCAAACTTCTGATAAATTATAAAATTAAATAAGCTTTTTTGTTGAAGTGTTTAAAGCTTTACAACAGTTGAACAAAATATAAAAATATGAGAAAATCTTTATATCACCTGGTGTGAGTAAAGAATGTTTAGTACATGTTTGTCAGGCTGTGTAAGGTTACAATGAAAACAGCAATAACTGCTATTAATAGTTATTGTAATCAGACATGGGGTAATTGAAATATGTAATTGTAATTGGCTGTAATTAATTACAATTTCTCAAGTAATTGAATGTAATGTGTAATTGAGCATTTTTTCAATTACAAGTAATTGAAAGTAATGAATTACAAAGCCAAAATTGTCTGTAATTGACAATTACTTTTCAATTACAATTCAAATACATTTGAAATTTGGGATCAGAAAGATTGAATCTTGTGTTTTCTAAAAAAAATATGAAATGCCATGACCTTAGCAAATGCAGTTAGCTGACAAATCAAAGCCTACAAGGTATACCTTCTGTAATTACACAACAATGGAAGATTCTTTATTTTGTAATGAATGAACAAAAAATTAAAAAGAAAAAAAAATATTGTAGAAACATGCCATAATTTGTGTTTAAAAGAAACCATTAGTAAGTCACTGTCTTATACCTTAATTAGCTTGTTACCTACATGTATATTCAGATGGATATTGTTAGACATTGATTTAACATAATCAATTTGAAAGGTCATAAGTCAATCAATAAATATAACCTCTGGCTATTTGTTTTATCATAAACTATATAATGACTGTTTTTACAACAGTTATGTTTGCATGTTAAACAGGTGTTAAGCCAATTAGAGAGAGATAAATATACCCCTAGGTACATGATTTTTTTTAAAATTAATTAATTGTGATTAAAACTACATTATATTTTTAAAAAAGTCAGACTTTCTAAATCATTTCTTTAGGAAAAATAATTTTAATAAGTTTTGATCAAAATAAAAAAAATAAAATTTTATCTATAGGTCTCTCTTCTTGTATTATTTTCAATGAAATACATTAAAACATAAAATTTCAATAGGTAATTAAACAAAATTTAATATTTTGCAAATATTGAATAAGGCTTTTTATCATTTTGCGCATTAAATTAAACCAGACATCTAGTCCTAACCATTCCTGATAGACAAAGTATTATGTGCACTTCAGATTTATGTTTGTTTTTTCTTTATTCCTGTAACACACAAGATATTTAACTTTTACTCTTCTTTGATACTGGCTGAATTTGAAAATAGTCACTGTAGATCTCATTTGTTATTACTATAAAGCAATATATGATAATTATGTACATATGATAGAATAAATGCATGTTCTAAATTTTCCTTTCAAAAGTAATTGAAGTAATTAATTACATTTGCCAAGTAATTGGAAAGTAATTAATTACATTGTAAAAAAAAAGTCAAATGTAATGTGTAATTTAATTGAAGATTAATTAATTACTTTCAAAAGTAATTGACCCCATGTCTGATTGTAATCTGGCTTGATTCTGAATGTCCTTTATCACAGTTCATTATACATAAAGTTACAATATAATTAATTATTAAATAACAGACTAGACGCAAAAATTAATTACAAAGAGGTAATGTTAGATAAAATATTTGATACATGAAAAAACAGTTACACCTTGATATATGCCAAATGAAACAAACATACTCTTTTCATTATTCTATCTTGCTGTTAATCTATACAAGTAAAGCTTAAAAGTGACATGTGATGTTTATCATTAATAATGCTTATATTAAAGTCAAAAGCTATGAACAAATTTGTTACAGGCTTGATGAAATTCCTTCACAACTTTTAATCTATCTGCCAACATTATTCTTAAATCAGTGCATCTTTTAGGCACACTTACTGTAGCAGGAATATTTCTAATAGGATACTTATTCTAAATCAACTAGTCTGAAAGTGGGTAGGTCTAATTCTAAAAACAAGACTAGAACAACCATAAACTTCCAATTGAAAGCCCATCTGAAAAACAATTTAATTTCAAAACAAATCAGTTATAAAAGTTATTGACAGACATGTCACAGTTGTCTGACAATATCTCAATACTACTATCATTGTTTGGTGTACTGACAGCTGTCCCACTTCCTGAACTGGAATTACTGTAGCCATTTGTCTGTATACTGGTTTGAAGACGTGCAGATAGTTCTAATTTTGGCACTATTGCAGGGAACACTTGGGTATTTTCTGGAGTTGTTTTGACTGGACTTGCAGTTTGAACTACTTCTGGGAACACAGGGGTACTTGATGGTGTTGTTTTGTTTGAACTTGATGCAGAATTATCAGGTGACACTTCAAATCCGAGGATTTCTTTCAGATGGTTAGGTAACTTTTTACTCTCTTTCAATTGTAGAAAGATGGATTCTGCCTTCTTCAGTGTTTCTTCCAAATGTATGGCGCCAGTCATATCATTGATATGCTGAAATAGAAAAAAAAGAAAATATTTATTTATGAAATTTAAATCCTTGGTGGGGTTTCGTGTTGCTCATTCTTTAGTTTTCTTTGTGTTTTGTAGACTGTTGTTTGTCTTTTGCTTGTTTTTTGTTTTTTTGCCATGGCATTGTCAGTTCATTTTCAACTGATGAGTTGTAAGGTCTATTAACAAACATTTGTTTCTTTTTTCATTGAGAAAGAGATACATGTATGGTGACTTGATTAATAAGTTAACCTACCTTTAAAATTTCAGTAAATCCAAATTTGTTTTCTATAAGCGTAGATTTTTCTGTATCTAGTATGGCTAAGCAAATAATGAGATGAAAATTCTGGCAAGGTCTGTCTGTCCAAAGAACCTGAAAAAATCATCCATAAATTGTAAATTTCACCAATATTAACTTCAAAACATTCTAAAAGAATACTAAGAATTCAACTTATTTCAACAATACAATTGTTTTATGGTCTTTCAATTTTTTTGTGTTTTTTGTGTTTTTGTCCTAAGAACCTGAAAAAATCATCCATAAATTGTAAATTTCACCAATATTAACTTCAAAACATTCTAAAAGAATACTAAGAATTCAACTTATTTCAACAATACAATTGTTTTATGGTCTTTCAATTTTTTTGTGTTTTTTTCAAGATTTTACTATTTACCCACAAACATGCAGTGACATACAAAACGGTAGGAATATGTGGCCTTTGAACTCCCTTAATGTAAAAAGATTTTACACTTACATCTATATAAGTTTTTGAAACAAGCGTACATGTGATTTTCTGAGTTATGTCCCTTAGTCTATCAGATATTTTCCAAGTGCTCTTTATAGACAGTGGTTTTATATGTAGCATGGTCTAGCTGAAAGTCTTTTTGTATGAACTTTTTTAATAGGCTGTACGTATACATCACCAAATTTACAAGGTTTTGACAGGCGAATGAACTTGTTTGAAAAAAACTATTTTGTATTAAAACCGATTCAAAGTTCTTACCTCCCATAATCTCTGAACATCAGGAAAAGAAAATTCTCGTTTAAATAATATCAATATCCACCGGAAACAGAAATAAAAGTTACCAGAATCATGGCTCTCTGAAAATAATATAAGATAGATATATGAAATAACAGAGATAGTTTTTGTTAAAAAAAAATAAGCTAGTAAACCACAAATTGATAACAAAGAACATTTTTATCAATACTAACACTGATAATACAAACTTTTTTGAAGCTGGAAATACAGATGTTGTTTGTGTACTTAATCACTTCTGATCAGATAGTTATATTCAAACAAAACTGTAAGTAAAACCTAAAGATGATGGGTATGTTTAACAATCTTGATTGGCTATAAAGCTCTTGCACGTTTGGAAAATCTAAAGAGATATATCTAATAAATTTGTTTGTAAATACATGCAACTCATAATAAATACTTGAGATTTTAGTGAATGGTATTTCTTTAAAGTTTATATCTTAATCAGTAGTGTCTATTACTTCATTTAAAAGTGCCAAAGTTCAATCTCACATGATACAATCAGGTCCAAGGACACAGTTATCGTCCTTTGGTTTTCGTTGTCTACAAATATAGTCCCTAGTGTGAACAGTGTATAACTTGCATTTTTTTTTTGATACACTTTCCCAATTTATTTCTTGATATTTTATGCATGAAATATTAAGTAAGGGGATGAAATTACATGTTAAAAAAATTTGGGTGCTGAATCTTAATGTTAAGTAGTGATTTGGTCCAGTTAAAAAAGGTCAAAAATTAGAATGTCTGAAGCTGTCAAACTGAATTTTAGCCCCCCTTAACACAGAATTGTCAATATTTTGAGTTAGAGCTGGTAGAAGTTTCTATAATTTTGATATTATTTGTATCAATAGTAGTACACTACACTGTAAAAATCTTTTTGAGATAGAGCAGGTGCGATTTTTTTAATTTGAATTTATTGTCTAAAAGAAATGCACTACGAAATAACTGTGTTCTCGGGCCTAAGAGATGAATTCCGTAAATGTAGATTCTGTACTTTGGCAACTTTCCTGAATGGTTTGCTGGTTTCAATTTGTCAAACTCAATAAAAGTAAAGGATTTACATCTATGTTTGACAGAAATTCTGTTAAAATGTCCCATTTTGGCATTATACGGCTAAAATAAGCATTTTAAAGCAGTTTCCATATTATGCCTAAGAGCCATGCTGAATTTCTATCTGACAGCTTTTTATGTTCCTGATATTTGTGTTTCTATGCTTAAATTAAATTTAATTAACCATTTGTGAACTCTGAATCTAGAGAAAAGTAGATTATCACAGAAAAAATGTGCAGAATATTTGTATTTATGTCCCTGGTTAAACGGCCTGTTTGATGTATGTGAAATGTGAAGAGCTTTGTTCATAAAATCTGTAGTCCATCACAAATATTTCACTAAATCTGTAAAAAAAACCACTTTACAATGATCAGTACACCCTATTCATTTCATATGCTACCATATTTTTCTTCTTTAGGATAGTAAGTGGTTCAAATATATGCCAATTGAGACTAAAACTACATGCAAGTTTTCCATTGAAAAGTGAAAAACTGGTCATCAGACCATACTGCCTGCAAAAAAAAGTTGAATTCAAGAGTCCTTTTGCAATTAGACTTCTTGTATCATAACATCTTAGCATAGAAATGAGCAAAAAGTAACAAATTTCCATTTCTTATAGCCTCTGTGTGCATTTTTATATGTAAATATGGGCTACGGCCTAAATCGACTCTAAATAATTCTCAGTATTACATGGCCTAAGACCATTTTATACTCATGTGGTATGCTTTTTGTAACTTTTCTTTACATTTAAAGTACATTTAATATATATGGAAGAATAATGTATGGTTAAAAAACTTCAAAAACTTCAAATTGGTTGAAAAAAATGCATGTTTATGTAAGGCTTCCCTTAATTCAAAAATCTCTATTTTCAGGCACAGGCTCATATAAATTTGACTTTTGAATAACTGTGATAAATCTGATAAATCAAATGAGTGTTCCGTTGCTTTTAATACTTATTATATTATATTCAAGAGTATTTAAAAAGCAAATTTTTGCAATATTTAAATTTTTTAGGCCAAAATCTTGACAGTTGAAAATATTTGATTTAAACGTCAAAAATAAACATCCAAATTTCAATATTAAAATGACCCTAGTTTCTATAATATATATCCTATGGCCATGAAACTTGGCCAACTATCTTATAATTTCCTAAGCTTAAGTCATGCAAAGTTTTATTAAAATTGGTCAAGTCTTTCTATCCTATTAGGTCCAAGGACACAGTTATCGTCCTTTGGTTTTCGTTGTCTACAAATATAGTCCCTAGCGTGAACAGTGTATAACTTGCATTTTTTTTTTGATACACTTTCCCAATTTATTTCTTGATATTTTATGCATGAAATATTAAGTAAGGGGATGAAATTACATGTTAAAAAAATTTGGGTGCTGAATCTTAATGTTAAGTAGTGATTTGGTCCAGTTAAAAAAGGTCAAAAATTAGAATGTCTGAAGCTGTCAAACTGAATTTTAGCCCCCCTTAACACAGAATTGTCAATATTTTGAGTTAGAGCTGGTAGAAGTTTCTATAATTTTGATATTATTTGTATCAATAGTAGTACACTACACTGTAAAAATCTTTTTGAGATAGAGCAGGTGCGATTTTTTTAATTTGAATTTATTGTCTAAAAGAAATGCACTACGAAATAACTGTGTTCTCGGGCCTAAGAGATGAATTCCGTAAATGTAGATTCTGTACTTTGGCAACTTTCCTGAATGGTTTGCTGGTTTCAATTTGTCAAACTCAATAAAAGTAAAGGATTTACATCTATGTTTGACAGAAATTCTGTTAAAATGTCCCATTTTGGCATTATACGGCTAAAATAAGCATTTTAAAGCAGTTTCCATATTATGCCTAAGAGCCATGCTGAATTTCTATCTGACAGCTTTTTATGTTCCTGATATTTGTGTTTCTATGCTTAAATTAAATTTAATTAACCATTTGTGAACTCTGAATCTAGAGAAAAGTAGATTATCACAGAAAAAATGTGCAGAATATTTGTATTTATGTCCCTGGTTAAACGGCCTGTTTGATGTATGTGAAATGTGAAGAGCTTTGTTCATAAAATCTGTAGTCCATCACAAATATTTCACTAAATCTGTAAAAAAAAACCACTTTACAATGATCAGTACACCCTATTCATTTCATATGCTACCATATTTTTCTTCTTTAGGATAGTAAGTGGTTCAAATATATGCCAATTGAGACTAAAACTACATGCAAGTTTTCCATTGAAAAGTGAAAAACTGGTCATCAGACCATACTGCCTGCAAAAAAAAGTTGAATTCAAGAGTCCTTTTGCAATTAGACTTCTTGTATCATAACATCTTAGCATAGAAATGAGCAAAAAGTAACAAATTTCCATTTCTTATAGCCTCTGTGTGCATTTTTATATGTAAATATGGGCTACGGCCTAAATCGACTCTAAATAATTCTCAGTATTACATGGCCTAAGACCATTTTATACTCATGTGGTATGCTTTTTGTAACTTTTCTTTACATTTAAAGTACATTTAATATATATGGAAGAATAATGTATGGTTAAAAAACTTCAAATTGGTTGAAAAAAATGCATGTTTATGTAAGGCTTCCCTTAATTCGAAAATCTCTATTTTCAGGCACAGGCTCATATAAATTTGACTTTTGAATAACTGTGATAAATCTGATAAATCAAATGAGTGTTCCGTTGCTTTTAATACTTATTATATTATATTCAAGAGTATTTAAAAAGCAAATTTTTGCAATATTTAAATTTTTTAGGCCAAAATCTTGACAGTTGAAAATATTTGATTTAAACGTCAAAAATAAACATCCAAATTTCAATATTAAAATGACCCTAGTTTCTATAATATATATCCTATGGCCATGAAACTTGGCCAACTATCTTATAATTTCCTAAGCTTAAGTCATGCAAAGTTTTATTAAAATTGGTCAAGTCTTTCTATCCTATTAGGTCCAAGGACACAGTTATCGTCCTTTGGTTTTCGTTGTCTACAAATATAGTCCCTAGCGTGAACAGTGTATAACTTGCATTTTTTTTTTGATACACTTTCCCAATTTATTTCTTGATATTTTATGCATGAAATATTAAGTAAGGGGATGAAATTACATGTTAAAAAAATTTGGGTGCTGAATCTTAATGTTAAGTAGTGATTTGGTCCAGTTAAAAAAGGTCAAAAATTAGAATGTCTGAAGCTGTCAAACTGAATTTTAGCCCCCCTTAACACAGAATTGTCAATATTTTGAGTTAGAGCTGGTAGAAGTTTCTATAATTTTGATATTATTTGTATCAATAGTAGTACACTACACTGTAAAAATCTTTTTGAGATAGAGCAGGTGCGATTTTTTTAATTTGAATTTATTGTCTAAAAGAAATGCACTACGAAATAACTGTGTTCTCGGGCCATCATCTAGAAATTAGTCTAATTAATTTCACAAATTTTTACATTGATAGTTTAACATACTGTATAGTGTATAAACTTTTTGGATGTCATTTTATATATACGGAACCTTACCTAGATAACTACATAATTCAGGATCTGTATGCTGCATCAGTTTGTGTATTTGTGCCAGCTGATGCTTCATTCCACCTTGGTCCATTTCAAAATTACTACACTGTATTAAATATAATAACCATAATATGAGAATAATTTCTATAAACTTAAAATAAATTTATGGAAGACCCTAGTCAATAAGAAATGTAGTGTAATATTTAACATAATTGTCAGTTATCTACCGTCTATCATGGTGAAATATTTTTCTTTTATAAACTGTATTTATGTAATCTTTTAAGTTAGGGTTATATAATAAAAGCATGATATGTTGTATTGAATTCCCTGACCCATTTCGGAAATAACCTTTATGGGTTACCTAGCAACAAAAAGTTGTAACGCCGAATTATATTAAAAAAGAGAAGTCCAAACAAATTATCATACCATTTCCAGGCACATGACATGTTTTGGTGGATATACTTCATAAGGTAGCCTCAAGTTAGGTGATAAATATATATGTTCACTATCTAAAAATAGTTATCATTAGTTTTTGACAATAAATATTAAATAGGCCACCATTTTTATTTGATTACATATAACATACCACTCGTTCCATTAATCCAGCAAAGCACCAAAAAGCATCTACTTCATTCTCCATGACAACCAGTACCGGAGACAGTAAATCACTCATTCCCTGAACATAACCTGAAATATTCCCACAAAAAAATCAAGCTGAAAACTTATTGATCACAAATTCTTAATTCAATATAATATTCATTTTAATGGAATCATCTTCAATCTTAGTTTTTAATAACATGGTCTTCATTCTATGATCTTTTTGTCAACTCCCAAATAATTCAAATTGTACAATAGATAAAGAGTATTAGAGGTCTTATATAATAAAAACTACTGAAAACTGAAAAAAAGACTGTTTGTGTTTGATAGTTGAGCTATCAAAGTTTTTATTTTACAGTATGTTTTCTTCCTGATTCAAAGTAGACATTGCCTAAAAATCAAAGTTGCCACCAGAGTAATAATATTGGGAACAAAATAGACTTCTAGAAACACCTAATACTGTAAATTAAGAAATTATTGCGTGCATTTATTATTGCGATTTTGTCATTTTTGACTAAAATGCGATTATAATTTTTGCGATATTGAGAAAAATCCTGTTTAATTCATATAAAAAATTTCAAAATGCGAGTTTGAATTATTGCGATTATAACCCTGTCGCATTTTTCGCAATAATAAAAACATCGCAATAATTTCTGAATTTACAGTATCATCAAAACAATTAAGGATCTAAGTGCTGAGAATGTTACGCTTTGAGATAAATTCACTGTAGAGTTTTTAATATTTTTCTTCCCACATGTTGCTATATCTAGTCTCTTCTACATAACTGCTTTGCCAAGCTAAACAATCATCTATAGGCAATTTATCAACTTACCTAAATCAAAGTTGAACATACAGTATATCATCAGAATACTGTCAACTTACCTAACTAAAAGTTACCTAAATCAAAGTTGTACATACAGTATGTCATCAGAATATCATTTAATACTTGTAGATTAGGATTACATTCTTCTCCTGTGCATACCTTAATCAAAGTTGTACATACAGTATGTCATCAGAATATCATTTAATACTTGTAAATTAGGATTACATTCTCCTCCTGTACATACCTTAATCAAAGTTGTACATACAGTATGTCATCAGAATATTAATTTATACTTGTAGATTAGAATTACATTCTCCTCTAGAACTTACCTAAATCAAAGTTGTACATACAGTATGTCATCAGAATATCATTTAACACTTGTAGATTAGGATTACATTCTTCTCTAGAACTTACCTAAATCAAAGTTGTACATACAGTATGTCATCAGAATATCATTTAACACTTGTAGATTAGGATTTCATTCTTCTCTAGAACTTACCTAAATCAAAGTTGTACATACAGTATGTCATCAGAATATCATTTAATACTTGTAGATTAGGATTACATTCTCCTCCTGTACATACCTTAATCAAAGTTGTACATACAGTATGTCATCAGAATATCATTTAATACTTGTAGATTAGAATTACATTCTTCTCTAGAACTTACCTAAATCAAAGTTGTACATACAGTATGTCATCAGAATATCATTTAATACTTGTAAATTAGGATTACATTCTCCTCCTGTACATACCTTAATCAAAGTTGTACATACAGTATGTCATCAGAATATTAATTTATACTTGTAGATTAGAATTACATTCTCCTCTAGAACTTACCTAAATCAAAGTTGTACATACAGTATGTCATCAGAATATCATTTAACACTTGTAGATTAGGATTACATTCTTCTCTAGAACTTACCTAAATCAAAGTTGTACATACAGTATGTCATCAGAATATCATTTACCACTTGTAGATTAGGATTACATTCTTCTCTAGAACTTACCTAAATCAAAGTTGTACATACAGTATGTCATCAGAATATCATTTAACACTTGTAGATTAGGATTACATTCTCCTCCAAAAAATTTATGCGTTCTGTCTGTCCTTGTTACATCTTTCTCTGAAATAGCATATTTCAATTATAGAACAAAGATATAGATGTTTTTTGTGATTCAATTGTGTTGTGTTTGCTTTGTCATTGTTAAACTGATCATTCCCATTATTAAACAGACAAAAACAGAATCCTGCCTTCAAGACTCTTAATATTAAGAGTGAAAAATATACATGTAAAACTGGATTAAACCCAACACATGTCTGTACCAAGTCTGGCTATCTGGACCATGTGTTGTTTGTTGATGTTTGTCATTGTTTGAACATCTATCATCTGAGAGAAGTCAGGTGTGGATAGTTTGTATGGTTTGTTGTACTGACTGATATTTTAAGTAATTCCAGTTATCCTTTTTAAGGGCTATTTTATTGAAAACAAACATGGTACACAGGGAAGCAAATTTGAAAATAGGGTAAGCACCTATAAATACAATTTTAGAATTTCCAATGCATATTCGCTGTAAAAAAAAGTATCTTACACTCATATGTTGCAATATCAAAGTTAATTCCCTGGGTCCAATGTACCAGTATGTATTTTTATGGAACAACCCTTAGTATTATATTAAGAGAATAACATTAATTTTAATTACACATGTATTGTTCAAGTTTTTATTCAAATTGGTTCCATTTTTCTCAGTAGAAGTAGATAAAAAGAAATGATTCCATTAGTCTTCAATATGAGATTCTGTTTACTAGTGTCAAATTCTCCTGTTATTCCAAACTAATTCTGATGACCAAAAACATCTTTGGTATTTGGTTTTTATTTTCTATAGAAAAATCCATCTTTTTATTCAGAATGGATCGATAATTTTCTTACCAATAAGACATTTCCTCTCTCTTAACATAGCAAATCTTTTTTCTTGTTCAGCAGTTATAGTCTTCCATTGTAACTTCATTCTAAAATAATCATCTCTGAAAAAAAGAAATTATTTTATAATATATTTATTGAAAATTTAAAGTAATAAGTCAAAGAATGTCAACCTTACAATATAACAATCAAAAATTGGCTTAGAACTGAAAATATCCAATGTAATATTTATTAACTAGAAAATTATTTCAAAAATAGAAAATAATAAGAAAATTTATCACTCTAAGTCACATAAAGAGATAATGAGTGGCAAATTGCTTACTGGCATATGGACTTTGTAAAGTGAAAAAGGTGGATTAAACAAGATTTTAACGTAACATACCTCTAGCTATAAATGTAGGAAGTCTTTCAAGATTTTAAACAGAAATTTTGTTCACAATATCTTATATAGCCAGTCTTTTTCACCTTAATTTTGACCTTCATTTTCCCACTTTATTTATGGCTCTACCATAATGATATGGATAAACAGAACTTCATGATAACTACCACTAGTACGAAATATCTAACAGCTTTCCTTCTGTAAGTGGCACTTTATTAATATTGAAGCGGTACTAGATGGTTCACTCGATTTAGTCCCATGAAAAATTATTATTTACAATTTAAAATAAAATTCATTGGGAAATTAATCAATATACTGTGGATTCATTCATTTTTGTGTATACCAATTTTCGTGGATTAAGGAAAAATTGTATTTTCGTGGATATTTGATTTCGTGGATTTGCCAAAGTTTGTATACAAACCTATAGACTATTTGTACTTGGTTGAACATCTAAATTGGTGGTTCACCTGTACCCATGAAATCCACCAAAATTAGTATCCAATGAATAATAACGAATCCACGGTATAAATAAAAATCCAAACATTTTATCAGACGTTGATTCCAATAAAAATCTAATTTTACTAATCTAACAAGCAGTTTATTGGTTTTGACCATCTGAACTCTTCTATAAGGTGGGTACAAGGTATGTAACGGAATATTTTAACCCTTCTTGAGCATTAATTTAGAATAAGGAGATGTGCTATGATTACCAATGAGACAATTATCCGAAAGAGTCCAAAATGAAGTTGATTTAAGCAACCATATGTCACCATACAACCTTAAACAAAGAGCAAAACCCTACCATATAGTCAGATATAAAAAAGGTTCTGACATGACAAAATGTAAAACTATTCAAACAAGAAGTAAAGACCTAAAGCCTGATTAATGACAAAACAATAAACGAAAAACAGATATAACAGACAGCAATCAACTCTTAAGATCACTCTTGATATACCGGTCATTACTTTTAAGATTAATTAGTAGGTATATTTCTACATAAATATATAATAACTATTAAACTATAAACCAGTAGTGAATAGTAAACTTACACCCGTCTTTTTCTTTCATCTGTCCGAGTTTTATATGTTGACTGCCAATTATAATAACCTAGCAAGAATTTCCATACATCTATTCTTAATGCTGGATCGACTCCCTGTAAAATATAAACCCATGTATTACAATCATGAATATACATCATTTCTTCTTTAATTTGGTAGACTAGGATTAAAGGAGGATAACCCTTAGATCAGCAATGCTTTTGTTTCCTCAATGTGAAACAGAATTAATACTATCTGTTTTACTAAGAAACTTGGAACAAATTTATTAAAATTGTTAACAAAAATGTACAAGTGAATTTAAAGAGTTATGTACCCTTAACCTTGAGTCTTCCTCCTTAAATTATCTAGCAATAGTAAATCTTGATGTTCAAACTGAAATTCACATTACATTTGTTGATAAAGGAAAAATGTGTAAGGGTTCTCGCCTACTTTTGCTGTTAATCGCAGGCTCAACAAAAATGAGGAACAAAATTAATAAAAATATTCCTCTCTAGACTATCTTTTGATTGTAAGTAGCTTCTGTCCAAGTTTGGTAAAAATCCAGGATAGTTTATGAATCTAATAAATATTTTAAAAACTTAAACTGCAGACTGTATGTAATGTTAACTGGAAGAAAAACTAAGTCCATTTATAAGTAAAATAAGGAAAAATTGGAATTTTTTTTCCAAAATTTCCTTCTAGATACTAGCTTTTAATCATAAACAAGCTTCTGTCCAAGTTTGGTACAAATCCAGGATAGTTTAAGAAAGTTGTTAAAATTTTAAAAACTTTAACCACAGAGTGAATGTAATGTTAACTGGCAGAAAAACTAAGTCCATTTATAAGTAAAATACAAAAAAAATAGAATTTTTTTTTTCCAAAATTTTCTTCTGGATACTATCTTATGATCATAAACAAGCTTCTTTCCAAGTTTGGTAGAAATCCAGGATAGTTTAAGAAAGTTATTAAAATTTCAAAAACTTTAACCACAGAGTGAATGTAATGTTTCCTGGCAGAAAAACTAAGTCCATTTATAAGTAAAATACGGACAAAATGGAATTTTTTTTTTACAAAATTTACCTTTGAATATTATCTTATGATCATAAACAAGCTTCTGTCCAAGTATGGTAGAAATCCAGGATAGTTTAAGAAAGTTATTAAAATTTCAAAAACTTTAACCACTGAGTGAATATTTGTGGACGCCAACGACCACGACAACGACACCGACGACGGAATGTAGGATCGCTATGTCTCGCTTTTTTGACAAAAGTCGAAGGCTTGACAATAAAAGGAAATATGGGATAAATTTCGATAAAACAACAACCAAATAACAGAAGGGAACAAACCTAAAACTGATTTTTTTGTACTATTGCATAGAAATTGAGAATTGGAAGTCTTAATAAACAATTCACCAAAGTTTCATGCATATTGGTTAAAGCATTTTTTAATTAATGTCCCACATGTTGACGACGGACGGACAGACGGTCAGTGGTATACCATAATACGTCCCGTAAACGGGCGTATAAAAACAACTCAATGAAATCCTGTCAAAATATCCATATATGTCAACCTGTTTTCAGTTCCAATCTGATACACGAAGAATACTTCTGTAAAATTTAAACAAGAGCCTGACAATTATCCATTTAGCTTTATTTGGTGAAAATGATCACATTTTCATGGCTATTACCTACCCCTCTAAATATTACATCTTTAAGTTTATCTATATCTTTTATTTTGCCATCGCTATCCATATGTTTAGACCATTGCTCTCCTGTAAGTGGAGTACCTCTGGATACTGAAGGTCTGCTGGGTAATTTTGTCTACAATAAAAGATAAAAAAAAATTAAACATCAAATATGTTGAACAAAGAATATTTAAAAAAAATTAGTAGTTTTCTAGTTACTGGAGATTCGTTATAATAACGTTATAAAGGGACATAACTCAAGAAGGCTAAGAGTGACGTGTGTTTTGTGGAAATAAGCATTGTGTATAAGTTTCATGACATTTGGTTGAGGCAAACTAGTAAGAGAACAGAAACGAAAAATTTAGCAATTTTTCCATTTGTAAAGGAACATAACTCTAAAACGGTAAAAGTGACGCCACCAAAATTCAAACCTGATCTGTGTTTTGTGGTAATAAGCATTGAGTTTAAGTTTCATAACATGTGGTTGAGGCAAACTAAAGTTAGAGAACGGAAACCAATTTTGGGACGTACGTACAGACGTATGTACAGACGGACAAGGGTAAAACTTAATGCCCCCTCCGCTAAGGCGGGGGCATAAAAAAAAGTAAATTCATTTAATACCCTTATACATCCCATTAATCATGTCTTCATCTACATATTCCAGCCACATATCTGCAATCTTATATAATTCTTCTTCAAATTAATAACTAGCCTATTGCATAAGACAAAGAATACCTTCGTTATAAGTTCATAACCTGGTTCATCTTGGTTACTTATTTCCATTCCAGGAATGTCCTCACTGAGGATATCTGCTACCTCCTCTCGCTGTCTTGGAATCTGGGCATCAGGTTGTAACAACACATCTTTCAGGAAATTTGTGACCTTGGAAAATCCTGCTAATGATGTTGTGTATGGATCTTTAATAAATTTCTGAAAATATATAAATGTACTATGAATACTGGAGGATGAATTATAAACATGACAGTGAAACCCTGATCCTCTATATTAAAATACATATGTAATTTCATCGATCTAAGCTAAAGCAGGGTCAACAAATCTCATTTGAATCAGGTTTCTTTTCCTGTAATCTAATTCAGCTCATTATTTCCTGCATGATTAGCACTGTATGGCTTTCCTCCTGATCCACAGAATTTACATGGATTAATACAATGATATTTTCCAAAAACGAAGATTTTCCATGTGATTAAAAAAATATCATAAAACTGGATTGTCTCATTAGTTGTAATTATATCAAAATATGATTGTATTGGATTTTAATAAAAGACTTATCACTAGTAGTTTCAAACTGATATTTACCCAAATACAACAATAACTAGAAGGAACTGTTTTAGTGGACTAAAAACATATATCTGACCTTGATGCATGTTTATAGAAGTCATTCCAGTATGAGAAAAGCACAACAAAAACATTCTAGTACTGAACTAACTGTTTTATATCATTTGATGAATTTTGTGTTCATCATGTTCATGGCAGACCTTTGATAATCTCTGTTTAATTAATTCACAAATTTTTCAAACGCATGGCAGTATAGACCTTGACATATAGTATAGATTGAAGACCATACATTGACAACTGGAATTTTGGATGTCTTTCCATTTCTAATATTGTTGGGTTGCTATCTCAATGACATGAGAAAATGAGAAACCACATATTAATTTCAGGTGGCCTAACAGTGTATTATTTCTTTTTTTTTAGGCCTATTTAATCAAGGCTTTTAAAATCATTTTTTAATGTAATACAATGCTTCCTGAAGTGCATAGCTATACTGAATTTGAAATCTATAGCTTCCCTAAAATTATAGCATCACCATCATTAAACATTCTAATATAAATTCTATTCAAACAGCACCACTGTATAAAATAAAGCACCATGATACCATGTTGCTATAGGGTTCTAGGCAGATCACTAACAGCTTGTTATTTGAGACATTAACATTAGCATTTTTTTTTTTTTTATATACAATTGATCAATATTGTCACAGGAAGCAGCCTTAGGATCTTTTTAAATTGAAGACCATAGCATTATTTTTAATTTTAAAAGAAAAATTCAAAACACAATGCAAGGTTAATTTCCTGGTAACTTTTGTTAAGTCCTAATTTTCATAATCTTATTCAGTACATGTATACTTTATATGTATACATTATTACAGGTTAAAAATACAAAAATTAACATTTGCAATTATAAAGAGTATCTGTAAAAGTGGATAAAATACTTTAACCTATATTCTGTAAAGTACATATATATATATTTATATAATTCAAACATGTTCCTGTCCAGTTAACAAAGAAATTAGCCATCTCAATACCCCTAATAAACAAACAATGACTTCAAATTACCTTAGATACAGGTGTAAGACCCACACTTTATAATATATCCATAGTCATAATGATCTGTACACGTACATTTTATCAACAAACCACTTAATACAGAACAATAAGGATATCAATACTTAATTGTATAGTCAAGGTCAATACACAGAAAATTATCTTTTAAAACATAGATCACACCTCATTAATTCTTCCTGGTCTTGTTATGTAAGACCCTGATATACTGTGTGAGCATTATGGATTTATTTGTGTTGTCTTGGTTTTTTTTTAAAGTCAACAGTACAAAGTCTTCTTTCTACTTTATTTTGTATAAAGGAAACTTAAAACCTGACAGGAAAACTTTATTTTCATAATACAATCAAAATCATTATCAATTTAGCTTAAGAGTCGAACAAGGACAATTTACCAGGACATTATTATACCATACATGTCAGATTATTAAAGTCATTTTCTACAAAAAATAATTTTTTTTTTCAAACAGCTGAAAAAATTTAAAATATAAAGATTTAGTCACTACAGCTATTAAAACAGTCCTGAGTACTTATACATTTAATTTGTCCCGTCAACTAAATTAATCTAAACAATCATAAATGCAGAAACCCAATGAATGAAACTTAGTTATAAAAAGTGGAGAAGAAGTGATATAAGTTTGACTGAAATCTATTTAGCAGTTTGAGAGATAAAAATGAAAGTATTGTGTTGATAATCTACAAGAAACAAGCTGAAAGTCTTTGAATTAATACATCAATTCTGCTGTGCATGCCAGTACACCAATTCCACAAAATTAATGCTTGAACTATCCAAATTAAAGATCTTAGCTATTATAATCTAAACTATAGTATCAATCGCTTGATTAGTTATGCACAAAATTAAAACACAGTCTGATTTAAACCAGATCGCCATTTGTTTTGTTATACTAATATGTCACATGCAGATCTGTTGAATCTTATTCAGGGGTTACTTCTCGTGTGATCACCGCGAACTTTACTTGTTGAAATGAGCATCTGGTAAAGTAAAATTGGAACTCTTTTAATGTTACTTCTAAAGTTAAATTTACAGGAACAATTGCCATATTATGCAGGGGTTTATGAGATGAATTAATACCTTTTTTTCTAGGATAAAAATGTTTTCTTCCCAAACTAGAATTGTATCCATTATTAAACAACAACTATTTTCATGTAATTGGTTTGTTTTTGAGGTTGGATAAGGTACAGTTACAATCCAGAAATACACTTCAAATGCTTCAAAAACGGATTTTTTTTTTGGTCTTACTTTAATTTACAAATGTATATGCAAGGTATAATATGTTGGACTAGGATAAGATAAATATTTGAAAATTGGCTGATGCAACATAAGTTACATAAATGACAGAGTAAGAAGCTCTTTAATAGGTTGGAATAAAGCATACAATGTTCTTGTTCCTTGAAATCATAAATTACTTTCTGATAAAAATGAAAACTTACAGTTACAAGGTCTCCTTGAGAGTCAGCAAACAAATTGAGTTCATCAAAGGACTTGGACAGCATATCAGGATCATGTTCTTGTACAATGAATAATCTATTATCCTTTGGTGACCTAAAATAATAGATGGCCTTTATACATGTAAGAAGGCTTGGACAGCACATCATATTCTTGTATAATGCCCAAAAATATAGTTATGTTTCCTGTCTCCTATAGCTACCTACCACAAGTTTTAATGCCTAACATAACACATTTGTTATGGACATTTCTGGTTAATAGTGTTGAAGTCCAAATATAAATGGTTAAGCACTTTTAAAATCAATAACATTCCCACATTTGTCTTTGTAAAATAATTTGACCTACATGTACCTTCTCTATTTTATCTGCAAGATGACAGGAAACAAGTATATATATATATTTTTTTGTTGCCTTATAATTAATCTACTGGTAAAAACATTGGGCAAAATAAATGGCTTTGACAACAATTAATATTCTTTTATGTATATTTTTTTAAGTATGATAATTAATCTCAATTAAAACCTGCATTAAAAGACCACTCATGGGAGATGACAAAAGTTGTCCTTTACTACAGGTAGTCATCATATACAGGTTCAAACATCCTTACAAAGGAATGACTTCAGCTTTACCACTTGGAACCCTTGATTCAATAGCTTCCTTGTAAGCAGCAACCTTCTACCAAAAAGGTATAACAAAAATACAGAACTTCAAGGTAAATTTAATAAAATGCTCCGCAGGGCGCAGCTTGATACGACCGCAGAGGTCGAACCCTGAACAGTTGGGGCAAGTATGGATACAACATTCAAGCTTGATACAGCTTTGCATTTGGATTGTGATTAAATATTTGACACAGCATAGGTTTCTGACACAGAATGAATGTGGTCTAAGAACTTAAAAATTTTAAATTGGACATTCACCTATTATGGTCCAATATCCAAAATCTAAATACATGGTTAGATTCAGCATATAAAAGAACCCCAAGAATTCAATTTTTGATGAAATCAAACAAAGTTTAATTTTGGACCCTTTTGACCTCAATGTGGACAAAGTTGATAACGGGGCCCAAAAATCAAAAATCTAAATACATGGTTAGATTCAGCATATCAAAGAACCCCATATATTCAATTTTTGTTGAAATCAAACAAAGTTTAATTTTGGACCCCGATTTGGACCAACTTGAAAACAGGGCCCATAATCAAAAATCTAAATACATGTTTAGATTCAGCATATCAAAGAACACTAAGAATTCAATTTTTGTTAAAATCAAACTAAGTTTAATTTTGGACCCTTTGGACATTAATGTAGACCAATTTGAAAACGGAACCAAAAATTAAGAATCTAAATACACGGTTAGATTCGGCATATCAAAGAACCCCAATAATTCAATTTTTGATGAAATCAAACAAAGTTTAATTTTGGACCCTTTGGACCTCAATGTGAACCAATTTAAAAACGGGGCCCAAAATCCAAAAACTAAATACACGGTTAGATTCAGCATATTAAAGAACCCCAAAAATTCAAGAATAAAACCCCATTGAAATTGGTCAAGAAATAAGCAATTTATACGAAGTATCTTCTTTTGCACAACACTGTGCAATTAAAAATTTCTTGCTATTGTGCAATACTGTACAATTGACAATTTCTTGCTATTGCACAATATTGTGCTATTTGATATTTCTTGCTATTGCGCAATACTGTGCAATTGAAGATTTCTTGCTATTGCGCAATACTGTGCAATTGAAGTTTTCTTGCTATTGTGCAATACTGTGCAATTGAAAATTTCTTGCTATTGCACAATACTTATTATATAATAATTTACACATCCTGTTTGGTGTGTATCTCATACCATATCATTATTATTTGCTTTTAAATATAAATCAGAAATAACCAACTTGAAATGGAAAATTTTAAAAGAAAAAAAAAAGGAAAAAAAGAAAAAATAGGAAACCCCCCCCCCCCCCCCAATTTTTTGAACCCCCTTATGATTCATCACCCCCAAACTTAATCCCAGCCTTCCCTTTGTGGTATGGTACCTTGCAGTACAATTTCAGAAAGATCCATACACTTACACACAAGTTATTGTCCTGAAACTAGAAAAATGCTTGTTTTTTGCCCCTTTTTGGCCCCTAATTCCTAAAATATTGAGGCAATTACCCCCATCATCAATCCCAGCATTCCCTTTGTGGTATGGTACGTTGCAGTACAATTTCAGAGAGATCCATACACTTGAACACAAGTTATTGTCTGGAAACTAGAAAAATGCTTATTTTTGGCCCCTTTTTGGCCCCCAATTCCTAAACGTTTCGGCAATTACCCCCAAACTCAATTCCAGCTTTCCCTTTGTGATATGGAACCTTGTAGTACAATTTCAGAAAGATCCATACACTTACACACAAGTTATTGTCATGAAACTAGAAAAATGCTTGTTTTTTGCCCCTTTTTTGGCCCCTAATTCCTAAAATTTTAAGGCAATTACCCCCAAAATCAATCCCAGCATTCCTTTTGTGATATGGAACCTTGTGGTACAATGTCAGAGAGATCCATACACTAACACACAAGTTATGTCTGGAAGTTACAAAAATGCTTATTTTTGGCCCCTTTTTGGCCCCTAATTCCTTTACTGTTGGTACCATAACCCCCAAAATCAATCCCAACCTTCCTTTTGTGGTATTGAACCTTGTGGTAAAATTTCATAGAGATCCATTCACTTAAACTAAAGTTAGAGTGCGAAAACCAATGTGTCTTCGGACGACGCTGGACGACGCCAGACGACGACGACGACGACGACGCCAACGTCATACCAATATACGACCACAAAAATTTTTTTGCGGTCGTATAAAAAGGGGAAGTCCATAAAAACTGACAAAATCAAACTTTATCAACCAACAGAACGAGTGAAAAATGACTGTCATATTCCTGACTTGGTACAAACATTTTCTGAAGAAAATGGTGGGATGATCTTGGTTTCATTGCTAACTAAACCTCCCACTTGTATGTTTCATCCAAGTAAAAATCTTCCAAAATATATAATCTTCACATGCAATGTATATCCATTAAGTTTTCAACATTTTTAACATTTTATAAATTGCCTACTGTACATGTATGTGGATTCATTATTATTCGTGGGATACCATTTTTTGTGGATTTCGTTGCCAAAGGTGAACCACAAATTAGTATGTTCAACCAAGCACAAATTCTCTATATGCTTGGATGCAGACTTGAGTAAAACCACAAAATCAAATATCCATGAAAATCCACAAAAATTGATAACCACGAAAATAAAGGAATACACAGTATTTCACTTAATTGACATTGGTAAAAAAAAATCTCTTGAGGAAGTACTCTATCCATCGATTTGACTACTTGTTCTTTTATCAGACACATGTTAAACTACTCCAAGTTCCACAGCCCTTTTTAAGAGCACAGTTCTTTTCTTCCACATTTCATTTATTATATTTGTTCATTTAAATTGAACAATTTTGTTTCTATAGCTAATATAAGTTTAAATAAAAGAAGAATGTGTCTGAGGACACTTATGCCCCCGTTCGAGCTTTGTAATTTTCCAAGTTAAAAAGGGGCATAACTCTAGAACGATATATGACTCACTGCCCAAATTCGAACTCGGTCTGTGTGTTGTGGTTTTTAGCATTGTGTATGAGCTCCATAAAATTTGGATGAGGCATACTAAAGTGAGAGTGCGAGAAACGAAAAAATTTGCAATTTTCCAAATTATAAAGTGGTATAATTCTAGAAAGGTAAGTGACTCACTGCCCAAATTTGAACTCTCTCTCTGCAAGTTTTGGTTCTTAGCATTGTGTATAACTTTCATAAAATTTGCATGAGGCAAACTTAAGTTAGAGTGCGGAAACGAAAACTTGACAGGTGGATGGTAAGACAGAAGGATGGAAAGATGGAAGGACGGAAGGTCAAGGGTAACACTTCATGCCCCCTTCGCCTATGGCGGGGACATAAAAATTGCATTCTAAACATTTGAACTGAAAAATAAATAGTAATTAAATGAGCTTTCTTGGGTATTGATTGCTGAGATTTCTGATTCACATATGTATAAGTAATTAAAGAGGTCATAATGTTAAGTTAAACATTAAATATTAAATAAATGCTCAAAAGTCATGCTCACCTCTGAATGTGAAGAGTTTTCCCTAAAAATTGTAGCATGGCTTTACTACCACCACTATGGAAATGTAAAGCTGGATATGTGGTCCCATCCTTCAGTATAAATATCACATAGGCCCATCCATGGTTTGGTGCATTCCTCTTAAAACTTTTTAAATCCAAGATATCAAAACTTATATTATATTTTCTTCTTGCTTCTTCTTTTGCTGCAAGACATAATAATAATTGAATGTAAACCATTATTATCAATTCAATATGTGCCAATATTGTTTTCCGATTTTTTAAAATCTCTTAAACTCATAATTATTCAATAGAGTGAATCGATTTTATTCTGTATACGTAAATAAAGGACTCACAATTATTATTGGTGGCTTACATGTACAGCTTTTCATAAAACAAGACTGTCACTTTTAAATTTTAAGATAACTTTTAATAAGTAAAATATGCTGATAATCATTTTTATAAAGAACAATTTGTTGGTTTATACATTTCTGAAAAATTAACTTACTAGGAACATCTGACCCTGACCCTGTATCTGGTTTATAGCCAACAGATAAAGATGATCCTATAACTGCCCATTCATGTTCATTCTGACCATCTACCTGCAGTATCTCTTCTGCCTTCCATTCTATAAATACTCCCTCAGGCTGAAATTTAGAACAAAATCTTCAATAATCATCATATTAGAAGACACAACAAAAAACAAATTCCTTATCATGCTTATACATGCTACTGTCAAATAATTCAAATTCATATTTTTTGTGTATCTTTTTTTAACCAAATCTTTTCAATACTTTTTACATACATATATTGTTTATCTACTTGGATGAATATTGTTAGTGTTTCATAAGCCTCTAAAGGCTGGCTGATATAGTATATTATTACTGATGTATTAAATTGTAATTGTGGTGTTATATTATGTATATTGTACCAGGATGCACTTTAAATAAAATAAATCTAAATCTGAATCTATGTAGTGTGATAATTTCATTGCCTATTTGAAAACAATTATTATGGTTAATTCACTTTTCTATCACACAGCTTGAACTGAATGTAAATCAACTTCTAACCTTAAAAAGAGAGAGAAAATACCCAATGATGTAATAAAAAAAAATCATAATTCCAATATAAACAGACAACACCAAAAAAAAAAAAACAAAGAAAAGACAAAACACATAACAATATATCACAGAAAAATAAAGATTAAGCAACATGAATACCACCAAAAATACAGGGGTGATATCAGGTGCGAGAATAAAATCTAGTGTTAGTATCATTCATAAATGTCACAATAAACATGATAAAGGAAAAGGGGAAGGGATAAGATACAGATAAAATACTATCATAATTTCTTATCAACTATTTAAAAATGCCAATTCATTTCATATTATATGAAAGAACAAGAATGTGTCCATAGTACACAGATGCCCCACTCGCAGTATCATTTTCTATGTTCAGTGGACCGTGAAATTGGGGTAAAAACTCTAAATAATCTAAAATTAGAAAGATCATATCATAGGGAACATGTGTACTAAGTTTCAAGTTGATTGGACTTCAACTTCATCAAAAACTACCTTGACCAAAAACTTTAACCTGAAGCGGGACAGACGAACAGAAGGACGAACGAAAGGACGCACAGACCTGAAAACATAATGCCCCTACCACTATCGTAGGTGGGGCATAAAAATATTTTACAAATTTTTATTTGAATAGGAACTATATATGCAGATGAAATATCTTAAATATTGGCTGTTCAGTTCATTTATTGCAAAATTACTTGTGAAAAGTTTGTGGTAGATGTTTAAAATGGTATTTCATACTTTCTGCAAGTCAATTACGCTGCCTAGCATATATACATTTTACGATTATATGCCTTTAGTTCAGAATTCTACTCATCTTGGAATCTAGAGTGATCACATTAGGAATCATAGGCTGCCTAATGAAACTGAACTAAAACTATTGTGCTGTTGGGTTGCTGTCTGTATATCACTTATCTCTTTTACTTCATATGGAATGAATGTGCAACTAAAAACATGTCAAACTGAAATTTATAATTGTTTAACCAGCTAACCTTTTATAGCCAACTATACAGTATGGGTTTTTCTCATTGTTGAAGGCTGTATGGTTGCCTATAATTGTTTACATCCACTTCATTTGAACTTGGGTGGATAGTTGTCTCATTTGCAATCATACCACATCTCCTTTTTTTTATATTAGTACAGCAATTTTACCTTTTGTATTATAAACACTTTTCCTGGAATGTGTGCATCTTTGTCTGAATGGTGTGAATTTACATTAACATGGATGAAAACACTATCTTTTTCAAACAACACCTGAAATTATAAATAAAAAATCTTAACCTTCTACATGTACCACAAAATACATATATATGTTTTATGTACAGTATTTGTATACAATTACACTAATTAACTCAAATTTTACTGATGTTACATGACAATATATTTAAATCATAAATATACAGTTTGATAAATGTTTAAACAATTACATGATAACAAAATAACATTGAAAAAAATAATCTGTCAAAAATGTACATGTACATAATTAAGTAAAGGGTCCATCCAAAAAAGTTGTCGGATCATCCTTTATTCAAAATGTTGAATGTTGAAAAAAAATAGCTCTTATCAGAGCTCCAGATAAGAATTCACAAATTGGGGTTTTTACCCACCATTTTTTATTTAATTGAGTGAAATAGTTTTTCAATTGCATTATGAATTCCAATTTACCCCTCAAGCAAATATCAAATTGGGTTTTTCAACACCAGGCTCTTTAATGTATTGGGTTTTTTCATAAACACGATATTGAATTTGTGTGTTCACTCATCAACTTAAATTAAATATTATATATCATTTTTAATCTTAGTTTCTTGTGTATAATTTGGAGTTTAGTATGACGTCCATTATCACTGAACTAGTATACATATTTGTTTAGGGGCCAGCTGAAGGACGCCCCTGGGTGCGGGAGTTTCTCGCTGCATTGAAGACCCATTGGTGGCCTTCGGCTGTTGTCTGCTCTATGGTTGGGTTGTTGTCTCTTTGACACATTCCCCATTTCCATTCTCAATTTTATCTTGAACTAAATTTATTTTATTTTCTTGTCTAATTTTATTTAGATAAATCTGGATTCACTTGTCCTTTATTAGAACTTTTGGTTTCCGATGCTGACTTCATATAAGCAGTGATAAGTGATTTGGCCTTTCATGTTCCAACTGATTTAGTTCAGACGAGTTCTGACACGCAAACACGCTCTGGGCGCGCCAATGCACGACCCCGTGCGTTCAAGGGATGCTTTCTGATAACACTTGGCTAGCTGAGTGTTGTTATCATCATATTTCCTCAGCTCTCAAAAAGAACTATTCTATATTTTTACCGGATATTTACTTTCGTTTTAATTCATTGCTAAGTTTAATGATAAATCCCGAGAAGTACAAAAAGAATTATGACGACATGGCTATAACGCGAATTGGATAAAGACAGAGAATATCGAAATGTTTTTATCACCACATGTACCTTTTAAGCAACGGAAAATTTCAACAGGTCAACGCTCTATTTTTAGAACGAAAGTTTTCAATATTACAATAATAGATTGACGCGACGAATATGTAATACATAAGGGTAAATAACGCAAACGATAGCCACTAAAAGCGTTAAGAACTCATGGTTTTGACAAATTAATGGGTTTTCCTTAGCATGAATTGGGTTTTAGAACGCTGCAATGGGCACTTGCATTGGGTTTTCAATTATTTTTATTGCGTGATCACGCAAATACGCAGCTTATTTGGAGTTCTGTCTTATATGCGAAAAAGAACATATTGTTGGTGTCAATTCATGCCCAAAGATTATTTGAAAGATTTTTAATTAATCTAGTATAACATATATAACAACAATCTTAATTTCAAAATTTTAAATCAAAATTAAATAAAACTTAAAAGCACAAAACAGAATTGGTGTAAATTAAAAAGAGTTAAAAATCGGCACAATAAATGAGTTTTGAAGAGTTCATATGCCAATGTCTGTTCTGCTTGAAGTTACTTCTACTGTCATGGATATGATAACAGTGGAATCCTGTGTCCGCACGGCCAGTGGTATCGTGCATCACCTGATTTCGTCATATCAGGTTGTGAGTTTGAATCAGCAATGTACAAATGTAACACAAATAGAATTGTTCTTGTAATTGTTTTAGTCTTCCGAAGGGACAAAAATGATTAAAATTGATAAATTCAAGCATAAATTTATAACTGCAATCCCATGATTAACCATATTTACCCATTTTCCATAAAAACAATTACATCAGATAAAATTGGTTTCAATTTAAGTCAAATTTTTATCAAAATGCAATACATTTTGCTCCGCATCCTTGGTAGCCTGTTTGGTTCAAACTGAACTATATTTCGTAGTATAAAATCATTCCTGTATTCAAAATTAGCTTTTTTTTAGGAGGCAGAAATCACCGGACATTTGAAGAACTGTCAAAACAGGGGTTTCCCTAATTTTGGACACACGTTACATTTTATCTTCAGGGTGAAACCATGCATAAAAAAGATTTCATGAAATTAAATTATGTCATGAATTTGTTCACACAATATTATCCGATTAATGGTTTTATGAGATTACCAAAGTGAAGCCAAAAGTATTAGGTGCGCTAATACACCAGACTGTACCGTATGTTACTTTGTATGGGAAGCAGCTGTCACTAAAGTGTTAAAAAAAATGATTCGTTAACAAATTACATGTAACAGACCAAATTAGTGCAAGCATGGATTCATTACGGCTAATGAACAGAGTTTAAATGTGAACTTGGAAAACAAGGGACACGCTTTAGCATAACGGAGAAATTTAAGTGTGTAACATATTTAGCATGTACATTAAGGAAGGGAGTGTGTGGGGGGGATGTTGTTGGTTGCTGTTGTCAGTTGTACCTGTTAATATATATTTTTATACTTATTCCTATTTGTGAACAATTTACAAGCTAAGTAACTTACATCTTTCTTTCTTTCTTTATTTCTCATCATTCTTTGATGCTTGTGTCTATGATTGTACTTCTCATACCTAGACCGAAGACCAAGCTTTACTTTCACAATTGGGTGCATTTCAAAGATTTAGAAGACTACACTTTGCTTTACAAGCTCAGTCATTCAATTTCATACTCTTATAATCATGTGTTATTTAGCAAAACATTACTCATTTTAATTCGAAAAGAATTCTTGAAATAACCGTTTACGGATGTGCGTGTGACATATGACAAGATAATTTGGAAATGCCATGACTGATGACACTGAATATTGTTTTGTAACTTGTCATGACACTTTACCCTAAACCGCTGATAATTTTGTGTTAAGGGTGATAAATGCATACACTGGAATACAATATGTAATTCAATTACCTGTGATTGTGTTGCCATTTCTATATTTATCTAAACAGTCGATTCTGACAGAATGTTATGTTTTGTACATGACGTCAAATCACCTGTTACCGCTTAAATCAATAACTAAAATTATGACAGGTTATTTTGGATTATCATTGATATGTGATGATAATATTGCATTGTTCTTTAAGCTATTTATTTAAATAAAAGTCATGTTACTGTTTCATTTTTAAACTTGAAAGTGATCAAAGTACGGGAAAATGGATATGTTTACATTTGTCTATGATGTAAGGGTCTTAGCGGAACTTCCTCGTGACCTCCCACCATGACGTAAAATTTAGAAACGCCATGTTGCTGTATTAAACAACGTCGAAAAGAAGGGGAAACATTGGCTACACTTTTATGCTACACCTTTTAACCTATTCATGACATAGAAATACTAAAACTGACTACATACTGTTAATCGGAACGCATTATGGCTGGCGTTAACGCCGGAGGTGGACGTAATTCATTCAAAGTTGTCCTTCTTGGTGAAGGATGTGTTGGAAAAACGTCTCTTGTTTTACGCTACGTTGAGAACAAATTTAATGATAAACATTTAACTACACTTCAGGTACATAAATTTGTAGCATGTATAATTATATAGTTTGTATGTATGGTTGCTGTGTAGCATTACCCTTCTATGATTCATTGTCTACCAAGCATTAGTAATAAATTTTGCATCTAAGTCCGTTCGCCAAGGCTCACTTCACGACACATTGGCATTGCCCAAATACCTGTCTGCCCACTTACCTAATTCGCGTCAGATCTGCTCACCCTAATTATTGATTTTGTTTATTGTGTTGTATAATCGTGTAACTAATGATATAATAGATGGTATCAGGTCTGTCGACCATAATTAATACATGTTCGCCCTGGGTTTTTGTAGTACGTTCACCATGGGTTGGTTCTCCATATTTAAAAAAAAAAGTATTATATCTTGTATATTGGTTTTTGTACTTATCATGCTTATAGATGTTTTTTTTGGTAAATGTAAACATGGTAAAAGAAAATGCATATTTCTCAACATGCTCAAAATTCATGGGAAAAGATAATTTCAAATATTTTTTTTTGTTTTCAAGCAATGATTGGCTTCGTTGGTACAATTGTTATTATTTAAAATAAGTTTTTATTACTAATGATTGTAATTATCTAATGATTAAACGGGTATTACATATAGCTGTCAAATTCATGTTCACAGATTAAACGCAAATTCCCATATATTATTTCTAGCATACTTAAACTATTTCCACAATTATAAACACTTAAGTGTTCTTCCCAGGTCGTTTTAGCGCTGCGGTATTCAGCGCTGTGCTATTGGGCAGACCATAGCGGTATCCAATCAAATATCAGCGCTATTGTTTTTCTATTTTCAAATTCCAGTGTTCATCTGTACAATTTCGATCACGTGATCGACTGGTTGATTTTTCTGAGATCGTTTATTCACCTAACGGAGTCAAATATCGGAGGGAAGCCAGTTCAATGAAAGAACAAAATGCAGGCCATGATCTTGCCGGCGAAATGACGATTTAAGTCGCCAAAGAATTTTGAAAATCGCTAAATCTCGCCAGCCGACTGACTGCATGGCAATGTCAAATCGCTATGAAAATCGGTAAAAGGGAGACAACTTGTGAATTACAAGTCTCCCAGGTAAAAAAAATGGCGACTGACAAGGAAAATCGAGATTTTCAAAACGACCCAGGACTATTACTGTCGACGATCAAATTAAATGAATACAACGGCGACTTTGAACATCCTCGGATATAACATTCAAAACTATTCAAACAGAAAACTGACCTTCTGTTAAAGTTATCATTTTACGATGATTTTTATCTGAGGATGTTGTGTAATCACTCAGCTGATTTGTTTTATTTTTATTTATTACGAGTCGATCAAATTGTACTATTCGGTAAGATAAGGGTGGGAATTAACGGTAGATTTATTGTATTCATTGAATAAAAATTGAAAAGATTAAAGGTAGAAAGACAGCTGATGGATAATGTGGCAAACGTACGACACTCGACCAGCTGTGATCAGCAGTGGATTTTTTTTCACGACCATTTCGTTGATTATAAGCAGATAGGGAAGATATCTTTAAAAAATGATAGAAATTAGCCCTTTATCGGTTAATTAATATGTGATTGACAGATATTTTCGTTTATAGGCTTACAATCTTTAACGAGAATCTCAATTTACAACTACATGTAACATGATGTCCTGGACATTCAATAATGTTTTACAAAATAATGACAAGTGGTGATATAAATTAAATTCCCAGTCATGTATTTCACCAGGAAAACTGGGAGTCATATTTTTCTGGACATTTAAAAATAAATTTAGGCAGATGCACATGAATTTAATGCATCATAATATTACTAGGCTACTCCCTCATGTCCCAATGCAAGCAACACATTTTATTTAAACTTAAATTCAAGTTGACAGTACAAATGGTATCAATGAATAAATAACAACTATATTGTCTAAACCTTTTTTTTAAGAACTTTTTATTTATACCTTTTGTACAATAACATGAAAAAACTGCAAGTATATTTTTTATTGCATATAAAACAATTTCCTTAGTGATAAGCACGAGAACACTATGCAACCGAAACGGTAATGGAATCTCACTTCAAGAAATTGACCACTTCTCCCTTCTCTCTCATGGAAGGAGAAGTCACTTCTCCCTCTCCAAAATCCTAGATTAGGCCCTGCAAAATGGCGTCATTGGCAGAAACTTTAATTGTCAAAATGACCTATTTCTTTCTCGAATTGTTCACTTTTAAGAATAAACCAATGCAGAAACTTTATGAAAGGGATGGATAGTGCTCGATAAATCATTCCCAAAGTATTTGAGGAAAGTTTTACCCTTTCTCTGACGACATGGTCTTGTCCATTTTTTGTATCATCTACGATTATTTTAACAGTTTCGTGTTAACAACTTAACTGTTGAACCTGCATCTCATTAGGGGAAACATTCCAATTGTCCAGGGATTCATTTCAAGCCCGTATTTTACGATTAATAGTCCTTGCATCGCTATTTTCAAAATCAAATAGGGACAAGACAAAAGAAAATATCGCGAAAATAAAAATAAAATATCGAGTTTTGCCATCCAATTTTCAATAAATATAAATTAAATTTCATTTTTAAATCAATATTAACTGAGGATTGCTTGGATGTAAGATAGCATTTAATGATTCATAGAAACAGCCATTTAGTCAAAGTATAAGGTTACAAGAGCGCAATTATTTGTTTACATTTTACCGGAAAGTTTTTTACCCCAAGATGGTACTGGGAATAGAATCCTGTACGGCTTCTGATTGGATGATACAGAATTAGAATTACTTTTAATCGAAAGCTTATCCAATTAGGTTTAAAAAATCCAGAAAATCAAATTCACATTTTGCAAAGTATAGAAAATATCTTCCATTTCTGCACGTCGGGGCCATTTAAAATATGCCTTTTTCATTAAGCGAAAAAAATAGACAACCTTTTTCAAATGCATTTTATGTCAATTTTTGCCACATGACCATATATATTTTTATACGACCGCAAAAAAAATTTTTGTGGTGGTATATTGGTATGACGTTGGCGTCGTCCGGCGTCGTCCGAAGACACATTGGTTTTCGCACTCTAACTTTAGTTTAAGTGAATGGATCTCTTTGAAATTTTACCACAAGGTTCAATACCACAAAAGGAAGGTTGGGATTGATTTTGGGGGTTATGGTACCAACAGTAAAGGAATTAGGGGCCAAAAAGGGGCCAAAAATAAGCATTTTTGTAACTTCCAGACATAACTTGTGTGTTAGTGTATGGATCTCTCTGACATTGTACCACAAGGTTCCATATCACAAAAGGAATGCTGGGATTGATTTTGGGGGTAATTGCCTCAAAATATTAGGAATAAGGGGCCCAAAAAGGGGCAAAAAAACAAGCATTTTTCTAGTTTCATGACAATAACTTGTGTGTAAGTGCATGGATCTTTCTGAAATTGAACTACAATGTTCCATATCACAAAGGAAAAGCTGGAATTAAGTTTGGGGGTAATTGCTGAAACGTTTAGGAATTGGGGGCCAAAAATAAGCATTTTTGGAAAATGACGCTATCAGCGGCATGTTTCCGATACCATTGACCAGAACTAACGGAAGTCGATTATTGCCTCCGCCTACCGCACTCGGTTTCATATTTACTATTTTACATACTAACTGGAATCTGCTTGTATTACGCTACACTCGAACAAAGTGTTGTAGTCGGACGGGACCAGTGTACATACTTTATTTTATTTACCAAAAAGATATCTTGACCTGTCCATATGTTTTTTGTTATTAAATGGTATTTGGAGCTATCCCTTTGTTATATTTTTCATATTTATTCGAGCTTTCACTTTTATGCACATGTCTTACAATCGTAAGCAATCGGTATGTATACATGATAAATAGATCCGTTTTGTTATGGTGTTGGACTTTTTACCCTCCAATGATCAGCAACCGCTAGACAAAATACTTCTCCTAAATAATGTCAGCCTTTCATGCCATTTCAACTTTACAATCATTTAAAAAGGTGAAAATCGGAATCATTTTGATATCCATTGGATAGAAACTGGTCTTTATCCAGATTTACGAAGATTTTAAAAATCGGAAATTAGTAATACGGTTATACCCACGCGGTGCGTATGAATCTTTGTTTACAAAACAGGATTTCGGAACGTCTCTAGTTTTTAGATCGTAAGTCACAATAAACTCAAACTGAAAGAAACAGTTGTTTGTAAGACGCAGGTTTACTCACCATAAACAAGCTGAAACGTTCAGTATGGCATATATTTTCGGTTAAAGACGGTCCCATTCATTTAAAAAGCATTTTGAAAGTAGACGATGGGATTATTTCAGGTTTGGGGAACGAGTAAATTATCACAAAGTTCATTTCTTGACGACCTCATAATTTCATCATGTCGATGGTACAAATCGATTTTTACTGTTTACTGTCGCTTAATTCTCATGTTTTGTATTTAAACGGTCGTTTATTTTTAAACCCGAACCAGGCATATGGATTCTGTAATTGTGCAAATTTTCGTTCTTTGGTCAATTGGCTTATGGATAGTTGTATCAATTTCAACTCTTACATTATTTTTTTTTTAAATATTTGCATAACACATGCAATGGCAGTATCTTTCCAATTACTATTTATGTGTTGTGTCTAAATTAAAGTTGTAACACTTTATAGTGACTGGAAAGGGTAGAAAAATTCATCAGATGAGAAAAGGCTGAAGATACTTCAAACGGCACCGAATCATTAGATATTGCATCTTATATTTTTATAAAAAGAAACTGAGATTTGGATAGTTCCACTTCAAGGTAAAAATGTTTATCTCTTGTGAAATGAAATAAAAAAAATATTGTAACACTGTAGTTAATTAATAAAGATACTATTACGTGTATTTCTGTATTGGCCTTATTATTGGTTCTCGGCCAGCAGTCAAACGGCACCGAATCATTAGATATTGCATCTTATAAAAGGAAACTGTGCTTTGGATAGTTCCACTTCAAGGTAAAAATGTTTATCTCTTGTGAAATGAAATAAAAAAAAATATTGTAACACTGTAGTTAATTAATAAAGATACTATTACGTGTATTTCTGTATTGGCCTTATTATTGGTCCTCGGCAAGCAGTATTGGCCTTCCGCTTCGCCTCAGACCAATAAACACAAGACATGGACCAATAACAAGGCCAATACAGAAATACTTACGCAATGATATTATAGAATGACAGTATGGTTCAATAGCGGGAATCAGCCCCTCAACTACTTTTTACATAAATATTAACTTCTGGCTTCAACGCTTTGTTCGTCTTGTCTGGAGATCTTGCTGTAGTTCCAGTTCAGCAAGCATTTTAGAGACGTATCCCGTCCATCCTCTTTTGACTTGTAATCTCTGGTGATAGATTTTGCCTCTTGACATTGTATCCTTTCAAGCTTGTATTTTTTTGTTACCATGTAGGGGTCCCATACTATGGCTCCATATTAAATTATAAGATCCATTCCTAAAGATCTAGATCATTGTTCTAATCTGACACAAATTTCAATAACTGGAATGCTACCCAAGTTGAATATATGGCGACCAACGAGAACAGCATTATCAATATTGAAATTGTGTTTAATACTATGATTGTTCAATGTTATCAACTTAAATGTAGACAGACATTTGACCTGAAAGATATGAAAGGTGGTGTGGGAGTGCAAAATCAAAAACTAACTGACCATGATATATGGTTAAAGAATGAATATCAATTACATGGGTCAACATGGTCAAGGGCAGAGTTGTTATAAAATAACAATATGGCAGAGAAGTGGTTTCAAGTTTCATATAAAGCGACCTGACTGACATGAAATAAAAAATCGAAGGAGTATCCCTATTTGTCTAATCTTCAAGGTGAAATAAAACTAGTAAAACAATATTATACTATTGTCTAAATATACAGAAATATAATTTGCTTCAAGTAACAGAAATAACTAGGTCACTAGTAACTTATCTAATGAGTATGTGGGGTATAAGAGCTCTTCATAATCATTTGGTTTGAAAAGGATACTAGTAGTCTATATTCTTGATTTAGAAAAATGTGATTGCAAGAAAAAAATCACATTACTTAGAATACTTTAGATCATTCAGGTAGTCTTTATTTATATGTACAAAAGAACAGCCAGTACTCATTGGATATTGTAGATCATTCAAATAGTCTTGACCTTTTTATTAGTACAAAAGAACAGCCAGTAGTCATTGGATATTGTAGATCATTCCGGTAGTCTTGACCTATTTATTTATACAAAAAAACAGCCAGTAGTAATTGGATACTGTAGATCATTCAGGTAGTCTTGACCTATTCATTTGTACTGAAAAAACAGACACATATACGAATATCAATTATATGCTTACGAGACATGTTGCAATGTTAAACTTATTACGACATGTGAAAATCAAGACTTGCATAAAAAATATCTCAATATTAGAGACAGTGGCGTCATTTTTCCTCAGAGCTTTCAGCTCTTTGATTCTAGTTTCCAGACAATAACTTGTGTTCAAGTGTATGGATCTCTCTGAAATTGTACTGCAAGGTACCATACCACAAAGGGAAGGCTGGGATTGATGATGGGGGTAATTGCCTCAATATTTTTGGAATTTAGGGGCCAAAAAGGGGCAAAAAACAAGCATTTTTCTAGTTTCAGGACAATAACTTGTGTGCAAGTGTATGGATCTTTCTGATATTGTACAAGGTTCCATATCACAAAGGGAAAGCTGGGTTTGAGTTTGGGGGTAATTGCCCTAATTGTTTAGGAATTTAGGGCCAAAAAGGGGCCAAAAAACACATTTTTCTAGTTTCCAGACAATAACTTGTGTGCAAGTGTATGGATCTCTCTGAAATTGTACTGCAAGGTACCATACCACAAAGGGAAGGCTGGGATTGAGTTTGGGGGTGATGAATCATAAGGGGGTTCAGAAAATTAGGGGGGGGGGATTTTTTGTTTTTCCTTTTTTTTTCTTTTTTTCCTTTTTTTTCTTTTAAAATTTTCCACTTTAAGTTGGTTATTTCTGATTTATATTTAAAAGCAAATAATAATGATATGGTAGGAGATACACACCAAACAGGATGTGTAAATTATTATATAATAAGTATTGTGCAATAGCAAGAAATTTTCAATTGCACAGTATTGCACAAAAGCAAGAAATCTTCAATTGCACAGTATTGCGCAATAGCAAGAAATCTTCAATTGCACAGTATTGCGCAATAGCAAGAAATATCCAATAGCACAATATTGCGCAATAGCAAGAAATTGTCAATTGTGCAGTATTGCGCAATAGCAAGAAATATTCAATTGCACAGTATTGTGCAAAAGAAGATACTTCGTATAAAATGCTTATTTCTTGACCAATTTCAATGGGGTTTTATTCTTGAATTCTTGGGGTTCTTTAATATGCTGAATCTAACCGTGTATTAAGTTTTTGGATTTTGGGCCCTGTTTTTAAATTGGTCCACATTGAGGTCCAAAGGGTCCAAAATTAAACTTTGTTTGATTTCATCAAAAATTGAATTATTGGGGTTCTTTGATATGCCGAATCTAACCGTGTATTTAGATTCTTAATTTTTGGTTCCGTTTTCAAATTGGTCTACACTAAGGTCCAAAGGGTCCAAAATTAAACTAAGTTTGATTTTAACAAAAATTGAATTCTTAGGGTTCTTTGATATGCTGAATCTAAACATGTATTTAGATTTTTGATTATGGGCCCAGTTTTCAAGTTGGTCCAAATCGGGGTCCAAAATTAAACTTTGTTTGATTTCAACAAAAATTGAATATATGGGGTTCTTTGATATGCTGAATCTAACCATGTATTTAGAGTTTTGATTTTTGGGCCCCGTTATCAACTTTGTCCACATTGAGGTCAAAAGGGTCCAAAATTAAACTTTTTTGATTTCATCAAAAATTGAATTCTTGGGGTTCTTTGATATGCTGAATCTAACCATGTATTTAGATTTTGGATATTGGACCATAATAGGTGAATGTCCAATTTAAAATTTTCAAGTTCTTAGACCACATTCATTCTGTGTCAGAAACCTATGCTGTGTCAAATATTTAATCACAATCCAAATTCAGAGATGTATCAAGCTTGAATGTTGTGTCCATACTTGCCCCAACTGTTCAGGGTTTGACCTCTGCAGTCGTATCAAGCTGCGCCGGCGGAGCATTTTATTAAACATTATGATCGTGACTCAGTTGCTATTCTAGCAAAAAGCAAATTTGGTGAAAATAGGCAAAAAGTGCCCCTAACCAAACACCAACAATTAGTTAAATTGCAAAGTAGAAAAATTAATCTTGGCATTGAATATTGTAGTTCAAGAATAGTTTTTCTTGCCAAAGTAGTAATGTTATCATATATTCGAAATTTGGAAAAACTATAGTCTGTTTCAAAAACGTATTTTTTCAAGAAATGATTTCATTTAAAGCCATTCTTCAAAATTCTATGTAGCTTTTCCATATCAGAACGGTTTTTGTCGGCAATATGATCAGTGCTGGATGACCTATGAAAAATTAGGGCAGTAAATAAACATTATCTTCTTGTCTTTTTGAACAGTACCGTATTTGGTAAAAAAATCAGTTCAAATTTTTGGCCTGATCGACGGGCAATTAATAATTCTCCAAATTCAGAGAGTGATCAGATAATGTTTTGAAGATGTGATATGAGCTATAAAGACGCTAGCGCTTCATTTGGCCCGGGCCTTTATTTTAGAACATTTTTTGCATTACTGTAAAGGTTACAAGAGCGCAATTATTTGTCTACATTTTACCGGCAAGTTTTTTACCCCAAGATGGTACTCGGAATAGAATCCTGTACGGCTTCTGATTGGATGATACAGAATTAGAATTACTTTTAATCGAAAGCTTATCCAATTAGGTTTAAAAAATCCAGAAAATCAAATTCACATTTTGCAAAGTATAGAAAATATCTTCCATTTCTGCAC